GGTTATCGTAAAAGAAAATGTTCAAAATACGGTAGTTTTGAAATGGTAAGCTTTCTTCTGTTTATGTTCGTTCGTTTGTTACATAAAAACTGTTAAATAGGCGTTTTTTATGAGAGTAGCAAAATTAATAAAGGTCATAACAATAGTAACTAACCTACCGGCCATATCGCTTTGTTTTGGCATTAAATATTTAAGATTATTTATTTATTTTTTGAGCATTTTTACATATATTCGGCTAGTATGTATGCCAGTATACTGTATCGTAAAAAAAAACTCTTATCAATAAAGTTAGAGTTTATGTTATCTGTTAAACTGCTGTTTATAAATTATTTATAGTTTAAGTTTTATTACTTATAGTATTTAATTATTTAGTCTCACCGGGACTACTTACGGCTGCTACAAATAATCAAAAGTAAAGTAAAATTTTGTAAACAAGTTAACTAATGGGTATATTTCACGTTTTGAACCGTTACCGTCTTCGTAATCTATTTATTTATTATAACTTTGTCGAAACTACACTGCTGAACCAGTTCCAATGAACTTAAGGCTAATTTAAAATACCTATTTACAATATTTTCTATCTTACATACCAGTAAAACCTCAAAGATAAAAATATGGTTTGAAATTCTATTTTCCCTAAGTGGACTTTGTGTCTGTTTCATTGATAAGTTTTATTTACAGACGTTTAAGTAGTTGATTTGACTTATCCACCCCAGTCGACTGAAAGTTGGTAAAAAATAATTTATAATGGAGTTTTATTTATTTATTAAATATATATTTATTTACTTCGTTAAAGTGTTTTATTTAGACGATTGTTATTGTTCTAACTTTTTATGTAAACCGAACGCACAAGTTTAACTTGTGACGACATCGGGCACATAACTGTCTTTATTACCACGTGTTTTCTAATGAACAACCGTTACCAAACATGTTAATTGAAAACGTTTGAAATTTCCAATAGACAGTGGATGGTTACTGTGCCCAAGGCTAGGATGACAATGTATGGCTAATAGTCATCTGGTTGTTAGTTTGATTGCCACTGAATCCTACTGTTTCCAAAGAAAGGCTTACGATAATCCCGAACTACCGTCGACAGACGCGACAGCCGTAAAATTTTCGAATATTTTTTAAATTTTCTACGCTGGGGTACATCTATCAAGTTACCCCCTGCTAGTTTGTCTTACTCTACTTTTAAAAAATAGGATAATACATGATATGTTGCCCTTGTTTTATTTAACTGTTATACTTAAACATATAACATTTTAAACGAGTAACTTATATTTCACGTATTAAACCGTTGAAATTGTTATATTTATGTGTACTACTCGAGTAAAATACAGACAATACTTGGAATATTTTTTCTCGTGTCACTATTTCCGTAGTTATCAATAAAATCGTTACACTTTTTTTTATGTGATGTGCAAACAAACATATACAATGACAGCTAGAAAGAACCTTGTTGGGAGATTAGTTTGAATATCACCTGACTAAAAAAACATGCAAAGTACACAGAAGGTACATTGAATTGAACATCGAATGCTTAAAATTATGAAGGTGAAGGTTTTGTATTGTCGGCCTATTTATGACACACTTGCAGTTTTGTAGATAACCTAAATGAATAGAGAAAGTCGTAATACATAGTTTTTCGTAGACGTCGATACTAATATATAAAGCTGAAGAGTTTGTTTGTTTGTTTAAACCCTCTAATCTCGGGAACTACTAGTTCGAATTGAAAAAAATATTTTTGTGTAAGTAAGAGCATTTATCATCACATAGCGACTAAGAATAACAGCGGGGAATGTGGAAAAACGGGAAAAACTATTCATCCTTAAAGGTTTCTGATGCGTACGCTGTGAAAACGCTTTATACGCAAAAATATGTATGAAAGAATGATTCCTCTTTGAATAATAAAAAAAAATCGAGACACTATCTATCTTTGGAGATTAACTTGCAAGAACGGCGGGACGCAACCATCGTAGAAACGGTTTTAATTTATAAAGATGAAGAGGAGATTTGCAATAAACAAATTTGGATGCCCAGAATAACGATTCTACGCGGACGAAGTCGCTGACACAGCTAGTACACGTATGCAGTAGAATAATCGACGTCAACTTTTTTCCACCAATGTCAGTAATGTCGTTATAACTTTTCCATCGTCGACAAGGACAAAGACAAATTAATGATCTAATTAATATTTATGTGCCGATATGTCGATAAGCCAAAATTTAAATAGACATTTGAATACAATACATTTCTTTTGTAATATTATCAGTTTACATAAATTATGGACCGCTTACTGTATTATTATTTACTGATAGTGGCAGTCGAAAGCACAAACATGATAGTTTTCGAAGTTACATTTTTGATCTGTGAGTATCCGATCTGATGTACCTACGTGTGTGTGTGTACCATCAAGTGAATGCATGCTTGTCTGTTCTCCTCCTCCTCTCCTGTAGTTAAAGCGAGTAGTACGCTTTAAATAAAACACTTATAAGTTTATTTATCCATTTTAATGTATTAGTTTCGTCTTTGCAGTAGTCGTGTCCCCCCGTGACCACCGTATAGTTGAAACAAATTGTAAATAAGTTACTACTACATTAAAACAGTTATTACTGTTTTATTTAATTTACCAGCTAACACGAATTTCGCCAGTGTGGTAGTTGAGGGTTTTATGCCCTATTACACTTCGCCGTGGGAAGAGTTAGATGTGCCCTCTCATCTCGTTGATCATGCTATCTCACCATCATAACTCTTCATTTGATAATGATGATAAGTGTCAACGTAAGTGCGCGTAGACTACAGACAATACTACTAAATGTTTCCTGCACGTCTACGAGAAATAATAGCGGTTTTGTTGAAAAATAACAAAAGCTTTGTCTATAAATTTCGATAATAAATGCGTGATAGAAATATTGAAATTCCGTCCGGGTCACAAATTATCCACAGATGAAAAACCCGTGATATTTAATTGCGTTTCCGTCTGTGGATTTCGAAAAATCCATAACCAAAATAATTTCTTATCACTAAAAGTTTCTAAAAAACATGGCAAAGTAACGTTTTAGCTAGCCACTATAAGAAATGACACTATTCCCTTGCGGATCTAAGGATTTTAATTGTTTGAAAACTGATATTTTCACATGATGGCACTAAATGAATTAAAAGTAGATAATAAATTCTGGTTCCGTGCATTTAAGAGCAACAGCAAATTCATTCAATCTAAAATCGATGTTTGTTTTTAATTGTGTTTCCGATCAGCTCGACGAATTAATTAACACCGAGTACAATCAATGTTCTGTTAACGTAACAATTCATATACCCTATTGAAACGTTCGCCACACATCTGCGACAGCGCGACAAGCGGGCCGATAACGCTATCTGTGGAATTACAACATAAACAATATTATCTTATTTATTTAAAGCACAATTCTAATATATGATTTCGTGTTCTGTTCTATTGATGTCTAGATGTTATTACAACACAAAGCTTTCCTATTTGCTATAGCCGATTAAACGTTATAATAATACACCGGTGTGGCGTAGAACCAGTTGACAGGCTTGTTGGTTCAATGGTAGCATTGTTTTATAAACAACGGGTCATAGGTTCGTCGCTATCGGGTCAAACATGTTTCTAAAAAACGTATATTTTACGTATATAGAAAACTGGATATTAAACGGATGGTGGTAATATAGAAGTTTCCGGGTCTCGAACTGCCGTCTACACGTGAAATAGCTGTGCAGTTTTAACGCAGCTTCAGGTGCAATTTCGACCTATTTTAGCGTTGGATGTTGGATTTATATTTAGAATTACAATCAAGGAAAGTGATTTAATCGTCAGCGTCTGAGCAACTGCTCTGACGCTGACGATGCCGGTTCAAGTCCTGCCCGAGTCGAAATTTTTTTTAAATTTATTTTCGATTTTTAAATTATATAGTGCCTTCGTGTGCAATAACATGTAAAAAATATTAATGTTTTCAAAGGAAAGTGATACCAGAAGGACCGACTATCTGGATATTTTTTACAATTATGCAACATTGGTTTTCTAGTTCGACAGCGTATATAACAATTATATTTTTTATTTTAAATAGCTTGACAGAATGCTCTTTACCTAGTACTCACACCTCTGGTCTAATACGTTCCTTAGGTGATAATGAAATAGCGGGACTCATTAGAGTCGTGAACGACAGTCCAAGTACAACACTAAAATATCACACGACCCTACCTATACATGTACAAATACTAAACGCAACTGAATATATCGATAAACGTGACGGCACCGATGTAGATTAAGAGACATTTTAATTCTATCACTTTAATATTCCATGAGTAGATTGATAATTATCACAATATAGAAAAAAGTATGCACGACTGATCTATGCAAACTTGGATTTGGTATAAATATATTAGATAAGAACATATATGTATACTGTGAGCAATAAAACAAAAGCCGATAGCATCAACCATATGATATGTGTTAATAGAGTAAACACGGCTTTTATTCTTTATGACAGACAAACATGGAGTTCACTCCATGTGAAATACCCCAACCATATAACATCTAAATAAGATGCTCTGTCGGCCTATTTTGGCTTTGGATTTTTGAAAATCTACAGAATGAAACCGAACCGCGATTAATATTCAGGCTTTTCCATCAGTGGCCCGGACGGAATTTTGATGTTTCTACATTCTTTAATATCCAGGTTCCCAGACGATGTCTAATAGGACCCAACGGGGATCGAACCCAAGAGCCCGTCAACCGCTTGTTATAGTATGTTATAAAGCACGTAAAATAGATTTTTTGTAACATAATATTATTTGACAACTGTAATATTTTGAAAAATCCATTATAAATTGAAAACTCGTACAGGACTTGAAGCGGCAGCCACAGCGTTCCGTGCTGTTGCTCTAACCAATTAAGCTATCGAGTCGGTTCAAGTCGTAGCCGAGTGGTAACTTTTTTCTATTTATGATCGATTTTTAATTAAAATATTATTTTCCCTCAGATCGCTGTCGGCCGCAGCACCAGAGATCACACGATAGACGTGGATTTGAGCCTCGAAGGGCCAGCTGCGAAGGTGTCGCGGAAGCAAGCCACGATTCGTCTGCGGAACAGCGGCGAGTTCTTCGTGTCTTCGGAGGGCAAGAGGCCGATATTCGTTGACGGTCGACCGATTCTTCAAGGGAACAAAGTGAAACTGAATCACAATAGCGTGATTGAGGTATGTGTAATCGTTTTGTAATTACACAGATTAACCACACGAATATTTATAGTCAGTGGCCGGGACGATAGTGTTATCGCAGTTAGTGGTGTGAGGAAACCTTGCTTCATCACCTATCTTCTTCTAGATATAGATTGGGACAAACGATGGCGGATTAGACTTCGATGAGGGAAAATATTGTTTCCCCGAATTTTAAAGAATATCTGTATAGCTACTTAATTTGTATTTTAAGGGTCAAACTTTTTTATTTTTCCGTGTGTATAAGCGAGATGATAGAGGAAAAACAATCTAAATTGTATATTACAAAATAAAGAAAAAGAAATCTTACTCGAAACTTCTACGCTTTCTGGGTTTCTGTGTAATTTAGCTGTTATACTTAGAATAATTGATTCTATGGGCCAGTGTGTCAATGCCGCGAGTACATGTGGCAAAATAGGGGCGTCCTTTCGTTGAATGACAATCTTTTCGCTTTTTCCGCAGATAGCGGGCCTTCGTTTCGTCTTCCTCATAAACCAGGACCTCATCAGCGCCATCCGGCAGGAAGCTGTGAAAGTGACTATACCCGCATAATAATAATAAAGGAATTCAGAATAAAACGCGTTTTATTGAGAACACGTTTATTTGGTCAAATTTAGAACAATTCTCAAAACTAAGTTTCACTCGAAAAAAATACTATTATACCCTCTTGAAATCTTACTTTAACACCCTATATTTATATACAGAGTGTTTAATATTTACCTCTATCACGATACACATCACGTGCGTTACTGGCATAACATATGCTTTTAACATTGAAACACGAAAACAAATTACATAGACAAAATTAAAATTACACCTTAACCCTTATAATATTGTTGTAACCGCGATAAAATATTCCATAATTTCTCTTAACAATCGCCAACAGTGCTCGAAAACTCAACAATTCACTCGACAGTGCTAACAAATATACATTTACTTTTGAACATCCTTATTACAAATAAATTAAAGAACATTAGTAATATCAGTCAAAAGACTTGACAGGTGGCCTTCACTTAGTAAATAAAGGCTAATTAGCCTCAAAAAGAAAAAATATATAATTTAAAAACAATCATTTCAATCGGTTACCCTCCTCACATTTGTACAAATACGTGGTATATTAAAATTCTAACATGTATTAACAATATTCTAAAAATACCCACCTTAATTCCTATAATAATATATATAATAAATTAAACAGTCTAAGAAATCACTCGACACATAACACTCATTAACCATATTATACATATATTTTCTATAGACTTATCTACAAAGGCAACTTAGGTAAATAAAAGCACATTTTTTGGTATATTTATATAAACACCCTGTGTGAATATTCTATGGTTAGGCACAAGGTGAAAGAATATGATGGAGATTTGGTGCCTAAATATGAGATCGGTACAGGATAATATTGTCGGATCAGACAAACTTCTATCCATGCAATTGCAAAAAACTATGAAAATCAAAGATTTGTGATAGACCTGAAGGGGCCTTACTCGTGTGATTGCAAATTTTAGAAATAGGCACAAATTTATATAAATAAATTGTGAAGTCACGATCCAGCAAATTGCACGAATATCTTTTAAGCTAAACCATAATACGTTCTGTAGCGTATATATTTTTTTAAACAGCATATCTATACTATCTATCTAATGAGTGGAACCTCGAGGCACTTCGTGTGAAAAGGCATAATCATGTAGAAAATAGTCTCGTAAACGTGTATACCTGCCATGTTAAAACGGTCAAAAACAATAACAGCATTATAAAAAGCTTTCTTATATATCTCGACATTATACTTCGCCAGTACTTTGGTTATTTCACGGTGTAATTTTATGGCTTTATCGCTCACCTCGCCACACCGATGCATTTGCGCGGCAGCTTTTCAAATATATCAACGACGAAAATCGTCGATCTTATGTCAATTTCTATACAATACAAGAAATTAACATCACATCTCTTCGCAAAACTCGCACTTTTGTACTTCACCTTAAACTAGGTATTTACATATTCATATGAAACAAGGAATATATTCTGTGCTTACGAAATATATGAGCAATTTTACCACTTTGAAAGTTAGCAAGTGGTCATAAACTATTTACAAATTTTTGGTCCTTGAAAACAATAACATAAACAACATGACAATATAATAAACTTTAAAGTCTCTTAAACAATAAGGAATGACAATATTGTGTGCTTACATCTATTCTAGAATAGAAAAATACAAACGAAAACTGTATCTTTACAGGAATTTCAGAACAGACCCGACCCGACGGGCATTAGTCATTGTTTGTATCTTAAGTTGAATTAAAAGAAAATAAGATTTTTTAACATTGGAATCGTCGCAGATCTGTAGTATTGCACACGCATTATTAATTGTAAAGATAAAAAGTTTTCTTAAGTTATCTTAATAATAATAAATATTTTTGCTTCACTAAATCACACTAAAAATTTTGGCTTTATACATCGAACGTCGTGTTCTAACATGGGTAACTACAATTACGCTACTAGTAGGAATGCAATAAGATGAGACCATCCAGGGTGGGAATTAGTATGGGATAGCCGAGATGGCTTTAAGAAATATCACCTCCAGGAAACTGTTACCAGACAGAATGTTAATAATTATGTTTCAACCTAATTGTATATTTTAAATTGCCAGATGATGTGTTGTCGGATGAAGGCTGCGATATAACAAACTTTGCTGTGCATATAGATTTATATTTCTTGAACTTTTCTTGTAAGATAAAAGTTTTTTTCCTATGACAGTAAACGGCTTTATGTTTATTCTTTTGAGCCATCCTGTCGACTAATTCATTACGTTCTATAAATACCCACGGTTGCCACTTTCGACCCGTTAAATCGGGATTGAAAGTACGTTTCTTAACCGGCGTACTAGCATAATGCGCCCCATTTTCAGTTTTTTTAATAACTACCTTTGGAATACTGTGTTTTGTTTTCTTAGCTTTTTCTCTATGCATTTTAATTTGAATTTCGTCGATACTTTTAAGGACATCTTCAAACTTTGGTTTGACTTTTTTAGTAAAATTAGATTTGTGGTGTACAGTTGTCTTTTTCTGTTCCTCGACACAACTTTTCTTCTTGTCCAATTTTAACTGCTTTAGTTTATGCAGACTCTGTTGTGGTAAAGGTAATTTTACTTTTAAGTCTTGCGATTCTATGAGAGGAGGAATATATTTTTGTGCTGCTTTTGTTATAAGTGGTCTATAATTTGTGGAGTAATCATTTCGTTCGGTAAATTTGAATCGCGTTTGTTCCATCGTCTCAGCGATTTCTGACCGTCTGGAACCATTTACGCTGGTGATTTTTAATAGAATGCTAGAATTTTTTTCTTCTGATGTAGTAGATGATACTTCTGGTGAGCTAGACACGGAATACTTAGAATCACTACTGCTTAGTGACGAACAGTTATTAGTCAACCTATATGCGGTATCATGAACATCTATATCTTCGTCGTTCATAAAAATTTCTTCATTATTTGACTCATTATAACAATTTAATGACGAGGTATATTCATTGTCGCACGTGTTTGATTTTTGAATCTCATAATCACAACGAAGAAATGTCTCTTGAATTCCTTGATTATTTGAACAACGTGGGCTCTCTTGCTGCAAAAGTTGGTTAGTAAGTAAAGAGATCGAATTATCCTCTTGCGTTGTATGAGATTCAATATCAACAAGAGTTTTATTAACTTCCATTTGAGGCATTTTGTATAATGTCTCTACAAGTTGTATATCGGTCAAGTCTATATTATCACCGTAAATTTCTTTTATTTTAGCTATATGTTCACACTCGCTATCAGAACCAACGATTTCTTCACTATAGATATCATTACTAGATACGTTTGAATTTTCAGGTGACATAGGAGCGCTAATAGTTATATCCACAGCGACATCGTCATTAAATATATTTTCCATGTCTTCCTCGGTTTCCACCCACTCGGTTTCGTGAATAGTTTTATCATCCAGAGAATGTATATAAATTTCACCTGGCGCATTATCCACAGAAAGCGTATTTTCAGGAGAGCTAGGAACAATTTCATAGTTCATAATTTCAGACGATTTGTGAACATCAACGGTATCTTCTGTAGAGCATAGTTTATTGGAATCATAGTCTTCTTGCTCTATTACATATTCATTGCCAGTTAAAAGAATATAGACACTCTCATCACTATATATTGTAGATATTGAGTTTCTTCTATGGTTTTGAATTAAATTACTAACATCTTCACTAACGTTGGAATTCGCGAAATCTTTGTTTAGGAGTTTTCTTCGTTTATTTAATGATATTTGTTTAGCACAATCGTTGTCCGTGCATAAGTCGAGAGCTGAGTCTGATAACGATCGTTTTAAACTTAATCGTTGATTTAAATGATTGAGGTCACTTTTACGAATGCAAACTTTATCTTTTTCGTTTACAGTGTTTATTATATCGTGTATATTTTTCTGATTTGGTACAGTTTCTTCCAAAATTTGTTCTGCATATGAAGTAATCAAATGTTCTTCAGCAGAATAACTTTCAATATCATTTGATGTTGTGTTTGGTAAAACTTTCTGTTGTCTAAAGCAATCCATATCACTTCCTTCCCTGAACATCAACAGTTTCTGTATCCAAGGTGAGAAAAGTTCCTTTCGAAAACAATTTCTAACGCAACAATATCCTACATGACTTTTTAATAAAGAAGGGATAGGGTTTTTTGCTTCCTTACCTTTGCATTCATAAGGACTGTTCAATGGTTCTGTTATATTCAAATCACCGCCAACTTTAATTTGTGGATCTGCAAGGTTGTTACCGAGTGTTTGATTTTCGTCAATTGTGCTTGTGTTATGGATTCCATTATTATCACGATGGCTGGTATCGCCACAATTTTCCAGCAAGTTATTTTCTGAATTATGTGTATCAAGTTGCGGTGTTTCAGTAACTTGTAAATCACTAGAATGAGATTCTAAAATCTCATTGGGTTCATAATCAAGAGAGTTATCTGTATTTTCTGCGAAGCTATTCGTATCTTCGTTTTTATCAATACTATTTGTTGATGTGCTTGCAATTACGCCTAACACAGCGGTAGAACAATCCGCCCTTCCTAAATCCATATCTATTACTTGACTACAATTAATTGTCTCTGTTTTATTTATGATCTCAGCATGGTCACTGAAAATATTTTTAGGATTTTCACCAATACTTTCAGGTTTATGCACAATCGTTTCATTTATGCTCTCAGCGCCGTAACATATAATGTTTTCAGTATTTTCGTGTACATCTTTGCAGACATCAACATTTGTACTTAGTTTTTCAACCACCACTGAAGTATCTTGACTAACGGGATATTGTACAGCCAAAAATTTTTTAGTATTATCAGGTGTCAATGTATTGGTTGGGTTCTCATTTATTGCACTGTCTCCGTTTAAACACTCTTCAAGATCTACTTTATCATCTTTAGTTATTAAATCAGAATTAACAATTGATTGATGAGTTTCTTCTTTAGGCTGTATTTCGATATTATCATATTTTGTAATGACTGATTGATTAATAAAACATTCTTTATTGAAATTGTGTTGACTAATATTATAATCAATGTCTGTTTCACTCAAACTTCCTTTAGTATTATTTAAGTCACTATAATTTTGATTTGAAAATTCATCTAAACTCTCCTTAGGAATACTAGTATTCAGTCTAGTTTCGTTTTCTTGAATGTTATTTTCAATTATATCTTTATGGAACTGTCGGTCATTGTGAATAGATTTTTTCATGTCATTTACTAATTTGCTTTCTTCGTCTTTGCCGTGAAGACAATTACTATCATATTCAAGATTAGCCTTAGCATTGGATTCGTCCAAACTATTATCAGTGTATTCCAGTGTTGCGTGGCCTTGTGGTTGAGAAATATTAATTTCGCTTTGTTTAGGAGAAATAGGTACAGTACAAACCGATCCTAGAGATAAATCGCTTACAACTATGTCAATATCTCTATTTGAATCAGCTTCATTGTTCTCAAATTCTTTTAATTCCATTTCCACTTTTTTTGTTACTAATGAAAGGGCATCAGATTGTATTGCCTCGTCTCCAATTTGAAATTCATTATTACTCTTTGTTGAATCATAACTGGAATTGAACAGTAAGTTTTCAGGATCAGTAACGTTATCCATGCTTGAATTAATTTTATTTAAACTGAAATCAATAGCACTCTGATTGCAGTCAGTTGTATCATTATTCGATTCTTCTTGATGTTTCAAAACACTGCTTTCGATTAGTACTTCGTCACTAAATGCGATGGTTGAAACGTTCGAATTATTTTCATCATTTCTCCTCGCTGTGTCAGGATTTTTTATAATTACGCTATCCGTTCTATTGTTTAGCGTTTTGTAAGTGTTATTCTCTGACGAAGCTTCGGACACTTTATTTTTTCGATATTTGCTCAATTTGGATGTTTCTTTATGTATAATTGGTAGTTCTGGTGTTAAAATTCGTTCGGGAATATTTTTCTTATCACTTTTGCAATTAGGGATAGTATCGTATGGGATAGTCTCAATATTTTCGTGAACTTTTAACTTATTTGCATCTATGAACTGCTGATTGATTTCAGGGAAGTTAAGTTCAATATCACTATCGAGTCTAGGTAAAGACGCTAAACAAACACCCGAATTACTTTCTAAGTCTTGTAAACAATAATTACTATTTTTAATTACATCATTGTTTGAAATATATGGTGAATTCATTTTACAGCTAGAAGATGGTGACTCTAGCATAACATTTTCAGGTGTATTCACAAGATGAGGTGTATTGTTAATACTTTTGTTTCTAACTTTTTCAATGGTTCTTTCGTCAATTATATTTTGTAATGGAGTAGCTAGTTCAACATTTAGCATTTTTGGGCTACATGGCTTAATTTCAAAATTGCAGCCAACTTCCTTGTGTATAACCGATTGACTAATTTTTGCCTCAACATCTAATGGTGATATGGGACGTGAGAGAATAGAAGAATGTTTAGACTTTGGCGACATCTGATATTCATGTAATATTGGTTTATTAACATGACGTAAAGCAGGTGTTTCTACTAATTGCTCATATTGGTTGAGTAATTCAATACTATTATATCCCTTTATGTTTTCAGGTAGTTTTGAGATTTTTTGTATATGCTCATATTTAGAGAGTTCTTCATTTGGTATATTAACAAGCCCTAAGACTACAAGCTGTTCTGGGTTACTTATTGTTTCAGATTGTGTGGATAAATTATTAGAGACTGTTGAAGCATTACCAACTTCATCCTCACCTTCATTCCACATTTGCAAAAATTGCCTTACGTCAAGGCTTTTTTTATTGGAACTCTTTGAAGACAATTTATTTTGCATGTTCTTTGTGGATGAATTATATAAACCTTCGTGAGTTTTATAAATATCTGTTTGAAATCTATAATTGGAAGAATCAATACTTTTTCCACTTGTAGATGATGACTGACTTGCATAGCCACAGTCTTCATGTGACATCCCTAAAGTTTGGATGTCATTGGTGACATTGTAGTCAGCGGGTGACTTAATAAGGGCAGGTGAATATGGTATTGGATGTCTTTGTAAACCATTGTTGACATATAAGGGATCCATCACCCTGTGTTGGAAAGCCTCAAATGACACATTTTCTTTTCTATATGCATATGGTTGTGATAATCGATGCATACCAGGATGTGTAGATAATGCTACGTCACCTTTTCTATTAAGTTCATTATAATAAGTAACATTGTCAAGAGGATACATTTTATTTCTTATGTTATCATAATCTACTAACATTTTCCCATTAACATCATATGGCAATTTTGATGGATTTAATGGTTTGGCTGAAATATCTGTTGGATAAGAATACATTTTGCTGGCTAAGCAGTTTCCTGGAACTGGTCCATAAGAGGGTGGAATGTATTGATTTGGATAGTGATTAAAATTTGGTTGATTAGTTCTTTGGTATTGATCTATAACAGGTTCAGGTATACGCCTAATTGGTACTTGTGTATACATTGGATAAGGGTGTGATGGTAAAGTTTTACTAATGTCAAATTTTTGGGGTTGAAATGAAGGTTGTTGTTGATATGTATTAGGAAAATTAGCAATATAATCATACCTTTGTTGTGGATACCTCTCTTTTGCATTTGGATATGGTTTGAACCTCACATTACTTTCATGGTAGATCCGTTCTGCATGTACTTGAGCAGGATCTTCATGTGGGGGCCGATGAAATCTTTGCATTGGTCTTTGGGCCAAGTAATTGGGAAAATCTGAATATTGATAAAAATCTGGAGCATAGGCTCTCTGTGGCCTAGGATTAACACCACTAGGCCACCCTTGTGCTTGTATGCCCCTCACAAAAGAGGGATTCGGGTTTGTTATAGGAATATCAGAGTTCCTCATATGTTTTTGACTATTTACTGTAGCATTCATTGAGTAAGGCACATCACAGTACTTAACGTCTAATGGTGTCTCACCTTTTGAACTTTTTAAATTATTTTCAAAACTTTTTGTAGCATGATATGAGGGTGGTAACATTACACGCTGCATATTTTCTTGAAATGTTTGTCTTGGCGATATGTTTCTCACAGAGTGATATTCTGGTAACTTTTGTGAAAAATCAGTTTGTGGACGGTAAACGTTGTCTGAACATGGCCATGGTTCGACTGAAGCTTTTTTTAGATACGCATCAGTAGCTGTGGGTGGTGGCACCACTCTGTCGGGGCCTATAATAGCACACGGTCGCGCAACTTGCACCTCCACTTTACCCAATGAATTTGATCCGATTTCCTGATACGTTTTAATTCCATTATTTTGTAAAGTAACAGCGGTTTGGTCATAGTTTGCGTCTCCATCGGACAGTGTTGCATTATGAGTCGCAGCTTTTCTCAAATCCTTAGCATCCATGGCCTCGTTCAGTTACGGATGGTGTGAACTGGTTTCTTAGCATTTTATATTGTAAATTCCTTTCCCGTTTATTATACAAAATGGTCTCGTTACTCCAGGCAAAGCTTTGGTCATTCTGAAAAATAAACAAATTATTAAACATACATACCCAATGACAACTGTCAAAACACTGCCACATAAGCCTATTAATAAATTACTAACGTAATGATTAACAGAGCTTAATTGAGTTTATTATGTGCTGCAAATACAAACCTTTACATTTAGTAAAGAAATCGAAACATCAATAGTATTTCCTTGGAGACACCGATTTATTACGTTTTCCAAACTCTGTCGTGTAAAAACGGGGGTTACTAGTTAAATCTCAGGAATTACAAACAAAATAATAAAGTTGTTGCCATGTAAAAATATTGTCTTTTTACGTTTTAAACTTTTTATTCTTCTTGCATACAAATACATAGTCGACCTAGAATAAAAAGCATGTCATCACCACAATTAAGTCGGTCCTGATTTTTTGTTTCTACTGCCAAAAAATGGATTGATTCAAAGTTGCGAGTCTTTTTAATTTATTTTAGATTAAAGTATTAATTGTCTACTACGTCACTTCGAACACAAATCTGTATATTTTGATTTGACATAATCATAAATTATAATATTTATATATTTTATATACGATTAAATCAACATAAAAAATAATTAAACATTAAAATCTTAATTAAAACAGAATAATAAACTTCCGCAGATAAGAAATGATGTGAAATCTATTTTTTTGTTGTCCGCTTGTCATATCATAAAATAAAAGCGGAACAGACTAACATTAGGTTTAGTGAATGAAAGATAAATTACCACAGCTATATACTATTCAAACAAGGTATCCTATTGAAACAAGGAATTGACATTACAGATTCCAAAAATAATACCTGTAATTACAATTTACAGTTACGTGTATTATATAAAAAGTTCTATTGTAATGGATACTTTTATTCGACATTCGTAATAAAATAGTTAGTGAATAAGTGGTAATTCACAGGATTTATACTATAATTATTTTATAAAATATACAAGAACGAGAAAAAGAGGTGCAAGCAACAGCCTCTTTTTTTACAAGCTTATGTCAGTTATCATTTGTCAATTGTCATGTCTAATTAAATTCCGTTTGTGTTTGATTTCAACTTACGGTTATTTAATTATTAATTTTATAGTCTCCATAGTGATTAGATTAACACTGAAATGAAATACATCTCATTTAGTTTAGTTGTATCTTTACTTTTTGCGGGCTATGTTATTCATATAATATGGAATTTAGCTGAACTTTTTATACCGCCGGAATGCCGTCGTGGCGAAAGATGTATAAAATCATATTTATCGTCGAATCCTGTACAATGTTTGGTTCTATTTACTTCTGTTGCTGAAAATCCTTATAGAAATGAAGTTTCCGGTGCAACAGTTAATAAAGTTCATACATCATTGAAATTTGACTACAGAAAACCCGCTAATATGTATGTTTTTTTATTGTTTATATACCTTTTAATACACTTGTAATACTAGTTACACTGAATCATGAAAAAAATATTTCTGTTTTAGGGTTGTGAATTTGAAAATACCTCGTCGTACTCGGAATAATGGATCGTTTTTTATGCATGCTGTGCTTTTGGAAGAGAAGCACTTATATGATAATTTTGCGGACATCTTTCGCAGAGAGGCAGTGCAAACATTACCTCTTGTTACGTTTTTGGAACCACAGGCAGAAACCTTTAACCTCTTGAAAGGAGTAAGTGAATATATATCTGTTATAATTCATGTAAATGTTACTGACGATTATCTGCGGATACATTACAAGTCTCTGTAAATTTATAATAGAAATTGTAAGTTAAATAAATACGGAAACATCGGGTCCAAGTTTTACTGATTCATCTATTTGTAGTTTCTCTTAAGTAATTTCAAAATATGTAATCCATTTTCAGAAAGAGGTGAAAAAATCTACAACGACTAAAATTAGACCTTATGCACACATATCAACATTGGCACCATTGTCTGTATTGACTGATGACTTAAATCTGCCACTAAACAAAATTCCTGGTGAAATGTACCCATATATAAAGTAAGTGGTTAGCTAATACTCTTATAAAATCATAGGAATAACTCGATTTAGATTGAAAAAAAAAATACACATTACACAGATGGGACATAATAGGGCATTCACAGCACTCCATGCTTTTGCTCTAATTAATTGTGCAAATTAAAATATTGAAACTTTATAAACATGCAAAATCTATTTTATCTCATATTGTTTCATCTACCACGGCCCATTTGGCATGAGCTTCATCGGGGAATGCAGTAGTTAGGGTATGAATTCCTCACAACCACATCTCCTTGTTTTTTATTTGGTTATTTCCTTGTTATAGTAATTATCTCACTTACTCAAATTGGAACTTAATAGAATTTACAACAATTTTTTTTTTGAGAAACCATTCATTGTCAATTGTCCCTTCAGTCCTCTACATTCTTAAATAACTTTTTCTTCCTTACAGGGTAAAAAACGAAAGGTTCCTACCAATAATTCAGCATAGTGTTTTAAAATCCCGCATATCTCACTTGCAACTATTAAACAGTAGTATGTCGGAAGTAAACATCACTGTTGAAGTGGCCCCCACATCATATGGAGTGTTGAGATTGGCTCTGCATGTGAGGTTGGCTCTAAAACAACTACAAACCCTTGGTTTTAGTGAAAAAGATGTTGATGATGTGAAGGGAATATTTGCTGATACAAATCTATACCTTCTCTCAGCCACTGTCTTGATTGCTAGTTGTCATGTAAGTAACTGGTACTCATTTATCAATTTTATGTAGAAGTACATCTAAATGCACTTTTTTAAATATGTATATTACTTACTTTTGGACTAACTTACTTAAGAACATGTTCAAAATCATTAATTTTGTACCGGATACTGAGGGGAGCTGGACCAATCCAGCTCCTCAAGCCCACCCATATAACAATACCTAATCCGTTTTAAAAGAAAAACAAACCGAGTTCTTAGTTTCATTTTATTTTGTAATTGATACCTACTGAACCCCTTGAACAATACTATAATGTATTCCTGAAATTATATTTTAAGGACATTAAAAATGATATGTTTTGCTGTCCTGGTGGTCTCAAAGCCTTTTTATTGATAGTAACTTTAAAAAAATCTATATTTCATACTGTCTATAGTTGACGCGAGTAGTACACATTTAAATAAAATACTTTAACGGTTTAAAACTCGATATATTACTTAAACTTATTTGAAAATGATTTTTAACTTCGGCCCGACGTTTCGGATGCTTTGCAGCAGCGGTGGTCACGGGGAGACTAAAGATGGAGGATGTCTCTGACGTCAAAGTAAAAGTCCGAAAAGTCGGGCTGAAGTTAAAAATCATTTTCAAATAAGTTTAACTAATATATCGCGTTATAATTTAAAAATTGAAAATATATATTTTTTTTAAATTTCGACTCGGGCAGGACTTGCACTGGCATCGTCAGCGTTCCGTGCTGTTAATTTTTTATTTTTTTTTTCGATTTTTTAAATTATATAGTACCTTCATGACGTATGAATAACATGTAAAAAATAATAAAGTTTTCAAATAATATATCGCGTTTTAAACCGTTAAAGTGTCATTGAAATCTATATTTCTTTATTCACAGCTCCTATTCGACTTTCTAGCCTTCAAAAATGACGTATCATTTTGGCGCAGTAAGCGTTCGTTGGCTGGTCTATCGGCTCGTACAGTATTCTGGCGAGCTTTCTCACAGATGGTCATCTTCTTTTATTTGGTGGATGAACAGACTTCCTTATTGGTGCTAATACCAGCTGGTATTAGTGCTATTATTGAGGTAATTAGTTAAATTTACGAATATTAAACACAAGTTAAAAATATTCCCATGTCAAAACGTTGATATTTTTATATTGTCTTTTTGTGTCACTTTTGTATCCAATCTCTGTATATTATAATAGTACATTACGATATAAGTGCGGTAATTTGAAAATTACAGCCGAGGCGATATTACTAGCCCGAGTCATCGGCGAGGGCTATAAGAAAGCAGAGGCTGTAATTTTCAAAGCGCACGTATGTCATACGACGTTTTATAACATATTTACGAGGAAATTAACAAAACGCTAACTTAGTTAAACGAATAAATCTTTAATTAATTGTTAAAGCAAATATACAAATTTTTACTTGTCCACAAACAAGCGATGCTCGCGCATCAACTTTAAGGCAATGGTACAAAAACAGCCAGTATTACTAATAAAGTAAATTAATATTTTTGTGTTTTTGTTATAGATAAATGGTTGTAAATTATTGTCAAAATTAATTAAGTTAAAGAATTACATGTTTATTTGTTATATTTTATTTCCCAAAGTAAATATTATTCGTAAAATATTGACCACTTTCTTGATTTTTAAAAGTATCGTTCATTTTTAGGCGGAGTATCTTAAAACTTTATTTAAAAAAAACACGTGCCTTTTACATTACATTATCGCACAAGTACGTAATGATACATTACGATATTGAAATTGGTGTAATTACAACCACTTTACGAGCAAATATGTTATAAAATACTTTATATAACCAACCTTTTTTCCAGTTGTGGAAAGTAACGAAGGTGTTACATTTGAGAGTATCCCTGAGTGGTTGGAAGATAAGGGTATGGCGTGACAATAGTGTGGATGCAGCTGAAAAGAGTACTGTCCAAGCTGATGCTGAAGCTATGCGTTACTTGGCTATGCTGTTGTACCCACTGTGTGTAGCGGGTGCTTTCTACTCACTGTATTATGAACCGCACAAAAGGTAATGAAAACCATACTTCACGAATTTGTTTAAACATAGTATTAGTAAATAGGAAGTAATTTGTAAGGTCCAATGGTAGCGATGTGTAACTAATCAATGTGTTATGGGTTCGGTTCCCACCGGGACCAATATCTTTCCAAAACCATTGTCAGTTTGTGGTCCAGGTGGAATATTTTACGCGCTCATTTTTGTATTGGTAGCAATCCCCACGGGGTCCAGATAAACCGCTGGACGGTTTTTTAACCATTTATTATTAATCTTAATAAGACTTATGTATATCAATAAGTTTATAATTAATAAAAAATATATGTAAAAAAGTAGTAAAGTTTTATCGCGTTTAGGTTTCAGTTTGCGGATTTCCGAATATCCAAAGCCAAAATAGGTCGACAGCTTGCGGGTTCGATTCCCACCCTGACAAACATTTTTCTAAAATTATTATCAGTCCGTCCCGGCCAGGAACCACCGCCCACGGCGAATCTCGTTGAGATGTTCACATTTAATTCCAGCTGGTACTCATGGGCGCTGCACAGCGTCGTGAACGGCGTCTACGCGTTCGGTTTCCTCTTCATGCTGCCTCAGCTGTTCGTTAACTACCGTCTCCGATCTGTGGCCGCGCTGCCTTGGCGCGCTTTCATGTACAAAGCCTTCAACACGTTCATCGACGATGTCTTCGCCTTCATCATAACTATGCCGACGGCCCATCGCGTGGCCTGCTTTAGAGACGACTTGGTGTTCCTTGTGTACCTCTATCAGAGATGGTATGTGTTTGTGTTTATTATATACTAGTTGTATATGCCCACGTTGGTCGTGTCTCGTCATTTTTCAAGTTAATTTTAAAATATAGACATAGTGGTGGATATTTTTTAGATCATTCAAAGGAGAATTGTTCTTGCGTATACATATATAACAACTAACGCGAAAATAAATTTTCAATTCGAATCTATACTTAGTTTCTGAGATTAGCGCATTCAAACAATCTTTTCAGGTTTAAAGTAACAGTATAGATATACTATATGCTAAACTTTCGCCACCATGACTGATTGCCATGATCATTAGTAATATCATCATCATCACCATATTAAACCATACGTCACTAACTGATAGGACTGATCAACTGGCTTTCTATCAATGTTCCTAATAGACAATAATAGTAAAATCTCAATTACGAACGTCCCCATGAGTTGCTTTGCAAAACGCTAAGAACTTATACAATTAATAAAAAATAATGAGTTTCACACATTTCATACTAGAAAATTACTGTGGGGCATGGGCGAATACATGTCTGTGTCTGTATCACTGATCCATTCTTTAACAGACAACTAGTTGATCAGACTTCTGTGACCTGCCTGACCGAAAAAATTGTTTTTCCCTGGGATTCGAACCCAGGACCTCTCGCGCTTAACGCATTGCTAGGCATACGTTTAGCCATTTGGCTACAGAGGCGGCCCTTTAATTGAAATACATTATTGTTGTTGATACTATTATTCTATCCTAAAATAATATTTGTCTGTAATCAAAAATATTTAAAAAACATTTATTTGTGTCTCAGGTTATATCCAGTAGATAAGACCCGTACTGATACATCTGCGAGTATGGACGAAAATCCCGAAGAACTGGAACCCATTAAGCCAAAGAGAGAATAAATCTATAATTGTGTGGATGTCACAGCTAAATTATTCAGTCCATGTTACGGCTAAAATCTACGGTATTTTTATATGTGTCTAAACTTAAGTTAATTGATTTGCACAAGCTTTTTTTAGAGAATATAAACAGACATACACTTAGATACATTCAAAGCATCCAGTAGCGTAGCTAGGTGGACACGGGCCGCGGTCTACCTAATTCTGAGGCTCAAAAAGGAATCGGGTCCTCATCCCCTCTTTTAGCATAGCTTGAATTAAATGAACCTCCAAAATTATAAATAGCAACAAGAACGTTAAAATTTTCTTCTACGCTTATATTTCCCTAAGTTCCGGGGCCCTGATGCACTGTAGCACCTGGCCCTGCTATAGCTACGCCACTAAAAGCAAAGTATCCCTTTAATTTAATATAATGTTTGGTAATTTTTTAGCTTAAAATGATATGGAGCAACGAATTGTTTTGTTTTTATAAAAACTGAAGCTGCGTTTATGCTATTTCAAGATACATTAAGTAAATTACCAAAAGGCTCGTTTGAATTAGGCTCAGAGTAACAAAAAGGCTGATTTAGAAAGAAATAACTTTTTACATTTTTCATGCATTGCGCATGAGTGCTTATGCAAATTGAAAGTGTTTTTAAAAATTGAATTCGATCGATTCACAGCCACGTGGTTTCCTAGATCATAATTTATAGTTTTTTCTGTCAGACTTGAAATCTGGACATTAAATGGGGACCGGGTCACGAACCACCGAAAAACCCGTCAAGTATACATGCGACTTCAGCGTGTGGATTTCAAATTCCATAGTCTAATAATAGTACACAGGCCATCTTGTTTAGATGTCATATGGATTGTGGTTTTTCACCTTCCATCAAGCGAACCCCAACATCGATTTTTTCTATATTTCTAAAGGTACTTCTTTAAAAGTGAGATTGTAAAAACGTTGAGTGACTTTTTGGTGCTCGTATGATCTCACTAACGTCCTAATTGAGTTAGCCAATTTTTTAATGTTCCTTTGTATCGCTTAGACAATGTTATTTATAAATAAATGTTATCAAATAAAGCTATACGCTTATCGCTCAATATACGTATGGAATGGACTTTTAAAGAAGCAGGTTAATATGGCCGAAAACAAAATAACATTTCGTCTACGTTAATTTTGATTCACTATTTTCATTGTTTCCAACGATGCATTGAGCTTTTCTGCAACCAGAAATTCTGTGACTAGAAATTTTACAACCTGTCCTCCGCCAACACCCACTTGGCAATGGAAAGTTTAAGGAATCCCTAACATGGGAATTATTAAGTACGAAGCAGGAAATTATATTTTTTTACCAGCTTTCGACCTCGTGGTCTGGAGTTGCATTCCCAGTTGAATACCTTGATGTATTCTGAATTCAGCGCGATACGTGCATCTTTGGGTGAGTTTTATATATACATTGACATTCCTAGTTTAGATTTAATTTAAATTCTGTTACTTAAGTTATTTGTTATCATTAAATAGACATTTTAATAAAGCACATTACTATTTGTTTTACGCAAGGAGTTCACATTTAAATAAAACACTTAAACGGTTTAAAACTCGAATTATATCAGTCAACTCATTTTACACTTAACCACGGCTGCTAAGCATTTAAAACGTCGGGCCGTAATTAAAACAAATTGTAAACTTAACTAATACATTGCTCGTATTAAACCGTTACAACAAGTGTATTATTTAAAAGATCATTATTAGAAAATTCTTCTGTCGATGTTTAACACCGATAGTATAACATCTTCGTAATTAATATGTCGCTTTTTTACGATAATAATATACGATTTGTTTTATTTTGGCATTGAACTTGACATTTAAGATAATGGTTGAATGTTATGTTAATATTTTAAACTTTATTCGTTCTGTTTAACTAAATAAATGGTCTTCATTGAATTGTAATTATGTTTTATTGACTATATATTATATGATGAAAATACCGGTTGATATTACATATTGGCCTGTATACATTAAAAATTTTTCGACACGGGCGGGACTTGAATCTGCATCCACAGCGTTACGTGCTACTGCTGTAACCAATAGGGCTACCTTGCTTGAGTTGAATTGGTGGCCCGTTTCGTAACATTGTTCCAAACTACATAGATTTTTAATTTATGTCATACCATGTGAAGAATATTAAAGTTCAAATATTGACCTGTATTAACATTTTTGGACACATTGTAATTATGATATCCAAGTAATATCTACAACCAATCTACGAGTCAAGTATTGGAAAGGACACAGACATGCAGTTTCTAACGTTCATTTTAACAGTGGAAAACGCGAACTATATTATTACTTACAAATTACGACCCGACGTTTGGGATGCTTTTCAACTTACATCACATTCCTATAGATACATAACTACAGATCAAGATAATATAGACGTGGTGAAGGTCAGTTGTAAATAGTTTATGCAATAAATAATTACAAGTTGACGACGATGACCGACTTAGCGACTTGTTTTACAATTATTTTTAGGGTTCCGTATCTAAAGAGTAGAATTAGGACCTTAGCAGGTCCTTAATCCTTATATAGGTATTTCTGTCTGTTTGTTACCAGGTTGTATCTAAAGAACCACGATAGAGAAATCGCAGAGTCGTTGCTGTTTCAAAAGAAGGGCTATACAAGAAACGCTATTTTGGTACATATTTTTTACGAAATTCAGTGGAGTTATTGAAATGTTCACAATTGGTTCCCTAGCTGGTGCAGAGGTCGTTACCAAAGCTTAAGTGGTCGTCCAAAGCGAACGGTCTCCCTCCAATTCCTTCTTACTTTCTTCATCTCCTCATCAACTATGCGCCACCAGGATTGTTTAGGACGGCGACGTTTGCACTAACCTTGTTCCAATCAAACGCCTGTTTGGGTATATGATCGGATTCTATACGGAGTATGTGGCCAGTCGATTTGCGGTGTTTAAGATGCTGGTCAATTAAAGTCACATGACACTGTTGTAGAAGGAGTCCAAATCAAGATGAGAATTTAGAGACAGCGGTGTACAAAGACTTGGAGCGGTCTCGAGATGTCGTTAGTGACCTTCCATGTTTCAAATCCATATAGCAATAAAGCTATATGACGTTGAATATTTTTTTGCTTCATTTGGCGGGTTAGTTGGCTTAGTTTTACTCTGATGGAATAAAAATAAAATCTTTACCTACTTAAGGCTATCTACGACAAATGACTTTTTAGTTTGATATCAATGTTAACAGGTAGGCACTTGCAAAAATTTAAATAATATGACATCTTTTATCCTACTATTATTCACGTCAATGGTACGAAACCCTTTGTCTGTGGTCGCAATTTACCGGTATTTAAATCTCATAATTCAAAAGAATTGTATAACATTATCTAGTGTAAATAGCGTTCCTTATTGAATACAGCTGATACAAACAGTGCAAGCCCACATTTTTATTAACAATTATCTCAATCATAATATAACTGACGTCTCTGCGCTGCGCACGCGTCGCATTTGACCAAAAGCGATGTAAAGTTCTCTCGAGATGTTTTCGGATTTCTTTTATGTGTTGTTCCAAGTGATTTTGTGCGCGTGTGCTATTGTTATTGTTGTGATATCCAGAAAAACAAGGACAAAAGGTCAGTATAGATTTTTTGTGACCCTTAGAGTATATATGTACATAACATCTAAACTATGCGCTGTCGGCGTTTTAGCTTTGAACACTGATACATTCACAAACTGAAAATGCGGCTTTTTCATATCTTGACCGAATTCACTACAGACAGAGACTTGCTTATTTCACAAATAATATAATTTAGTTCACAAACATTGTATCTAGCGGGTAACGAACCGACGACCAGACCACAAACATAGCTACCATTAGACCAACAACAATTAAAAAAGATTAAAAGGTTGTTAGACACATACATTCGATAAAGTCGAGATTACAAACACCTGCACATATTTTATCAAAGATTTTTATCTGGTTTTCGCCACACGTACTTATGAGCTTAGCGTGAATGTTAATTAGTACATTGAATTAGTCATAGTCACTAATCATAACTCTAGGGAATCCACACTGACGATCTTGGGCCAATAAACGGCTCGTGTATTCGATACCCACCGGGTCCATAATAATTGGTCGACAGCGTTTAGATGTTATATGGCTAGGGTATTTTACCTTCCATCAAGTGTACCACATGTTTTGCCATGTCCTTTAAATATAAAAATAAATAAATAAAAAAGGTCTACGCTTGTCAAAAGCTGTGTAATTTGAAATATAATTTTAAAGTGCTCAACACGACTCGCCATTGCCCATTTGTCATTATTTAATAGTAGTGGCAAATAAACGAAACATCTATTGTATTGCAATAGTCTAGAGGACCAGAGTATATATTACAACCATTTTTAATGACCTTTTGATAACCTTTCGTTGTTTAAGATTAGGGAAATCGTATTTAATAATATTAATAGACGCTGTTACGATGCGGGAAGTGTGATATTAGAAGTAATTAACAAGTATATTTATAGGATGGAGTTATCCCTTCAAACTGTTAGCGTCCCGTCCCACCGTGCAATGGTGGAAGTCCAAATTACACCTAAGCCCATTACGCGATACGCCATCAAACCAGACTAATGGTTGTGACGCTATTACGATTAGAACGACAGCACCAGATGGATCAGCGGTTATTCTATATATTAAGAAATTGGGTGGTGAAACTCCACTCGCGGAAGTGCACGTTTTTGTTAAGTTGGCGGACGGAAACACGTATAAACTGCCGGGTAAGTACATTTCTTAATGACAGATGGAAACCCCATGCTTCTCATGAGAACATGGGTGTCAGTAAGGAAAAAGACTTCAGTTCTACACCATTTAAACAAGGTGTCCTGTCGACCTAAAATCACAATGATGTCGAATGAATTATAGATAGTGACATCGATCTGTGATTATACTAACGAACTTTACTCAGACTATCATGCTTGCTCGTGATGCGAACCCAGGCTCATGCAATCAAAAGCACCCTGAATGAACCAAGCTACCGTCGGGTAGTTATGTGCTAATTATAGAACAAGAGAATTTTTTTAAACATGATATCCTAAACCTATGTCTTTTGTCGTCTTTAAGACGAATCGGGAACTTCAAAAACCGCTTGGGAAGACTATTCAAATGGCTGGAGCGCTGGTGGTCTCAAAGTTGAGATCCTCGAAGACCAAGATCGCTGTCGGATCCTGTACAATGGTCTCATGGAGGCTGATGGAGCGATTCAACATGTCAAATTAAATTTAATGTAACTATAATTTTCTTTACTCGTTGCCTCGTTGATGTAGTGGTCAGTTCACTAACCCCAGGTCGTTTTCCTGGGTTCAAATTGATTTTTTTTGTTTGAGTTTGGAAGTAAAAAATGTCATAACCACACGCTTAGAGGTGTTGATTTGAATACTACACGATATCAAATTTAAAAATATTTTTCATCGGGGTGGGTGGGGATAGTATTCGTATTTATACAATATAATATTTACGGTTAAAACACGACATAAATTAGTTATTTTTTTTTTAAGAATAAGTTGACGTTTCGCTTTACTTATAATTTTCCTCGATAAATGCTCTAACCAAAATAATTGTTCAATTCTAACCAGTAGTTCCTGAGATTAGCGCATTCAAACTAAACAAACTCTTTAGCGTCTTATATAAGTATAGATAGTTTTTACCCTCGACATCATCCCGTTCTTTCTTGCGTGTTAATCTTAAAAGATGATGTAGGGATTTTTGCGAGCAACGAAATAAAATAATCAAATATTGATAACTCCTTGTAATCTCGTCTTCTTTCTAATGCGTCTTAGCTTTTAACGTTGTAGATGGGCATCAGCTAGTAGATCAACAAGATATCCTGAAGATTGGAACAATCGATTAGCTGCAGAGACATTAGCCCTGGAACCTTGGCGAAACCAGACTTGGCACGATTTATTGTAAGTGTTAAAAATCAATTGCGTATTCCGCCAAGGAATTTTTCATTTAAACCAGTTATACTAATCTTTGAAGCATAAAAGTATCATCACACGTATTGGGTTCCTGTCTCTCCAATCACTACATAGTATAAAACAGTCACTTGTTTTGTCCCTATGTGCGCTTAAATCTTTAAAACTACGCGACTGATTTTCATGCGGTTTTTTAATAGATAGAGTGTTTAATAGAATTCACGAAGGTTTTTATATACATACAAAGTTTACAGTTTTTCTATAGTATATTTAGTATCAGTATTTCACCCGAGAGAAGCCAGGGCAAGCTCGCTAGTTTTAAATAAATCACTTTTAACGGTTTAAAACGTGAGATGTGTTAAGTGACTTATTGTGAGGATGCTTTGCAGTGCCGTATTCACGAGGGGCTGAAGATGGAGGGTGTACCTGAGTTAACTACAATATTTCACGTTTCAAACCGTTTAAAGTGTTTTACTCTAATATGTATTACTCGCGTAAACTACAGACAGTGCTTAATGAATTTTAATAATCTTTTCTGTTTGCACATTTAAGAACTCTAATAAAGAATCAAACCTAATATGGTAAAATCAATTATTCTTTTAAATAGAAATAAATGTGGCGGTGTCCGGCGCTGGTCTCAATTCGGTGCAGTGCAAGGAAGGTTCCAGGTTTTTGATGATAATGGAAAAGTTGTGAAAAGTGATTACCTTCGAACTAGAGGAGTTAAGGAGAGAGTCATGACTACCAAAGGCCCGCGACGGTCACTTACACTAACGGTAGCTGCAAATGATGGAACTATTGTGAATCTCCAAGGGCTTTCATACGAGAATTTGTCACAGTAAGTGCATTTCAATAAACCTGTTTAAAACACTATACAACGGTTGCAAACCATCCAACGTTAGGCTGTAGTTAAATTAAATTGAAAATAAGTTTAAACCGTTGGAAATTTTTGATTAAAAAATGTGTTAAAACCTGTTGTTTGAAAACTTTAATATTTTAAATATGTTTAATTTTTCTTCAAACTAAAATCGATTTTTAATTTATCATCATTTACAATAACGTGTGAAAAATGTAATAAAATAGTAAAAAGTTCGTTAGAGCTACGAATCGTGTTAACCGTAAGAGGTTATCTCGGGGATACATATTCCTTTCGGGTTGCACAGGGCACAGACATCGGATGACTTACTCGCAAATAAAACAAGTCAATGATACCGACAGAATTGTGTTGCCCCATGCCCCACGGAGGAAAAGAGATTTCACGTATATTTATTCCTGGATGCTTCCTACAACATTTTACTTTTTTCAGATGTATATCTGGCAGCACTAGGATGCCTGACTTTAGCCTACAGAACGTGACCTCGTGTGACCTGATTCTATCAGAATTTTGTGAAACCTCCAATGAATTACCAAATACTTACTGTATAAGTGTAAATGGTGAGTGTTTCTTTGATTTTACAGTCACTTAAATAACACACATTCATTTTTTACGATAGAGGAGGACAGAAAAGCATGGAGTCCACTTGATGGTAGGTGAAATAGGCACATCTAAACCAGATCGCTGTCGACCCATTTTGACGTTGCAAATTCGGAGATCCACAGAACCGAAACGCGATTAAAATTGACGGCTTTTTCATCTGTTGGTGGTTTGTGACTTGGACGGAATTTCGATACCCATTTGATATCAATTTTTCTAGACGTCCAACATAAAGGAACTAGGACTAAACCCACGACCCGTGGACTATTGGCAATAGCCACACATTGTTACCATAAGAACAACAAACCCGTGAAATAGAGTTGCAATCCAATTTATTAATTTAATAATTACAGTTGGTAATCGATGTTTGAAGTTGGTTTTGCGAATATCTGATTATGGATCTCGTCTGCTTAGCGGTACGAAGCAAGAATACGAAATTATATATCGCGTTGTTTTTGCTGAAATCAACGGGGAGTGCGCTACTGGTGTATTGGAACTGTGCTACGAAAGAAAAGGTAGGAATATATCTGTTATTATGAAAGAGAATATGGAACGGCAAAACTTGAAATCATGTCACCATGACCACGGCTGCAAAGCATCTGAAACCTCGGGCCGTAGTTAATATAAATTTCAAATAACTAATATATCTCGCATTTTAAACCGTTTAGAGAGTCGTCAAAGTCAAGTCGCCAAGAGTAGTCGTCAGGTTGTTGTATTAGAATGTACATCTGACTACTGTTCGTGTGTTCGATTACCGGTCGTGCAGTATAAATTTTTTCCTTGTGTAGGTACTGTTCTGTTAAAGAGTCATGAAATCGATAATACTTAGAAAATGCGTCATCTGCCGACACACATTTGAGCAGCTTGATAGATAAAAGCCTATAAACTTTAAAATATAGAAAAAACTTATTATTTTTGAACTAAGCATAGTTTTTTATAAAATATGGTTTGCCTTTCAGATAAGCTTGCGTCGCCATTTTCCCTAAAACTAAAACGTCATTTAAAATGGCGGGAAATAAATAATATTATAGAACCAATAGCGTATTGCGTCGAATTTGAAGATCCAATCGCATCGTGTGTGGAAGTTGCTGGTGGAAAGGGGGCGTCGTTAGCACTACTATCTAGTGTTCAGAAGGACGAGGTAAAAAGTCTAAAATACGACAGATTTTCGCTTCCAGTGAAATGTTTTTAATGGCACACTGGAACCAAGGGTAATCCAGCTTTTGGACGTAGGGTTCACAATCGTGATAAAGTCAAGGACTTATAATTCAATTTTTATGACAATAGCTGACAAAGTACATACTTACATACATTTATAATCTAAATTTATATACGGTCTCCCTGTGACCACGGCTGCTGCAAAGCATCCGAAACGTCGGGCCGAAGTTAAAAATCATTTCCAAATAAGTAGAAACTAATATATCGCGTTTTAAACCGTTAAGTGTTTTATTTAAATCTAAATTTATTTTAGACACATGTTGTACCTGTTGGGAATCGAATCCAGGAACTGTTTATATCTATCTAGCCCTATTTTGAACTATTTTTGATTTAAACAGTGCACAGAACGATTGAAAAACATAAAAGATGCTGCTTGCATAATATTATTCGTATGTTATTATTTTTAGGAAAATCTTTTATATTACTACTTCACTTCTCAATTATTTAGGGTTATCAAGTGCCTCCTGGGTTTACCATCACGACAAAAGCTTTAGAGAAACACCTTGAACAAAATCCGGATATCAAAAACGCAATCAAAGACATAGAGTTAGCTGGAGTGGAGTATGAAGAAGCGGTTTTTAAAGAAAAATGCAATAAGTACGTATTTATTGATAAGAGTATTCGAGCTCATTGAAATAAAATATTTATAACGGTTTACAACTCGAAATATATTACTTAACTTATTTACAGTCTATGGTTTCAAAGAAGGTAGAAAAGGTAGGAATATCTGTTATGATATAGAATATGTAATGTCCTCCAAATTAGGCTGCTAATCAGGCCCCACCGTGACCATGGTTCAAATTAAATTGTAAATAAGTAATATATATCGCGGTTTAAACCGTTAAAGTGTTTTGTTTAAATGTGCATTACAAGAGCAAAATACAGACAACACTTAAATCTCTCTTTGATAACTACATCTGCCTTCTACCCTTTTTAGAGCTGTGAAATTATTTTTAACCAAGGAATTATCCGGAGAATTGAGAGGTAGCATTCTGAAGAACTTGTCGAATCTTCGTTTGAAAGCTGTCGCGTACAATTTAGAAGCGGAACCGCGGTTTGCAGTTAGGTCTTCCGGTGAGTTCAAAGATTTTAATATAGGGATATCATATCGTTTGTTCTTCCGTTTTATTTGTTACTTTTAAATTTTCACTCCCTTGACGCAATGCACATGATTTTTAATTTTATTATCTTATTTGAATTGCACCAATATTAATAGAGGAGGGTTAATTTCTTATATTCAATAAATATTTTGAAATTTAAAAGGTTTTAAGTTTAAAAATCGATTTATTATTAAACTATGAAAATGCCGCTGCAAAATCGAAAGTCGGGCAAGTAATCATTTCCAAATAAGTTTAATAATATATGCGTTTTAAACCGTAAAGTGTTTTATTTAAATGTTTACTATCGGTATAGACAGTATTTAAAATGTACGACACAGACAGGAATTGAACCGGCATTCTACAGCGTTCCGTCATGTCGCTCTAACCGATTGCCCCTTACCGTCATCGTCAATTTTTTTTCAACTTATTGATACCCCAGTCCCTCTTGTGCAATGTAATTATAATATACAACTGCTATCCACAGCACGGAACGTTGTGGCAGCCGGTTCAAGGCCTGCCCTTGTCGTTATTATTTTTAATCTAAAATCGATATTTTTTATTATTAAATGCATCTTGTGTGCGCATAGAGCACAAGGATCATGGCGACGTATTTCGGTCGTGCAGGGCACCGTTGCACAGATAATGTCGAAATGTACGATACACTGGAAGCTGTGACTTATGGCGAATAACTAAATTCGTTTAAGTTTTCATTTATACCGTTCCAGCTGTTGGAGAAGACAGCGAAGCATTATCAGCAGCTGGCCAAAACGATACCGTGTTGGGTATATCGAGTGATGAGGATGTCCTTCGGTCTGTGCTGAAGTGTTGGGCTTCCATGTTTGCTTTTACCAGTGCATATTACAGACGGTAGATTACATTTAATTATCTATACTCTTATTATTATATAAACTGAAGAGTTTGTTTTTATGTTTACGTTGCGTACTGATTTGCTGCAAAAACGGTTAAGGATCCCCAAAAATATGTACTAAAGAATTCCTATTTAAATAATCTAGAAAAATGTCTAAGTACGACAGTATATATCTATCTTTTAAGATAGCAAGAGCAATGTTCAGCGGACAACGCCATTATTTAATTTAAAATTTATTTGCAAAAACAAATTCTGATGCCCAAAATGACTATTCTACGCGGACGAAGTTGCTGACATAGCTCTTATTAGTATAATGTAGTCATACATTAAGTCTAATTATTAAGACAGAATGATTATAAAAAAAGGCTAACAATTAGAGGTATTTTTGAAAAAACGTTATATTTGCAGGCAGAATGGTCAGCCGTGTCTTTGTAATGGTGCTGTTGCTGTTCAGCTCCTGGTGGAGCCCCGAGTGGCTGGCGTCATGTTCACGAGACATCCAGAAGCTGGAGATCCCTCCCGAATTCTGATTACTGCTAATTATGGCTTGGGTGAGGTATGTTTATCACTAAAGGGAAATCAGATACTTTTTTCAATTCCAAACCATTCAACGACTTCTTCTTTGATATGTAAACGTAAACCCTGGATTTAAAATATTAACAGTATGAAATAATACATTTTCCAAGAAATAATTTAGTTTAAGATAGATTTTGAAATAGGAAAACATATAATAACTTTAATATTGTTTAAGTTTTTGTACGTTGGCATTACATAAATCTATTTACATTTAAACAATTTTAATCTGGTTAAGCTAAGCACAGAACGCTGTGGATGCCGGTTAAAGTCCTCAAATTTGGCCCTCTTGTTTAATTATGCTATCGAGGTAGTTTGCCCACATAACATCTAAGTAAGATGTTATGTGGCTGAAGAATTTTTGACTTTGGATATTCGGAAAAAAATTCATGTTCCTATGTCATCTTTTGCCCCATCAATTGATTCACGCGTTGCATAAATATTTGTATTAATGTTTTATTAAGAACCTATATTTGACTCTAAATTTTGATTTCATTTCTTCATTTTATTTCAGAGCGTCGTCTCAGGATCTGTTGAACCTGATACATATATCATAAAACGTAGTTTGCACGGAACGTTATCGATAGCGAACTTACAACTTGGGAGCAAAACGAAAAGGATTGTCACTAAAGGAACTGGAGTGGATTGCGAATATACATCAGACGGTGATCGGAGTACCGCCTGCTTGGAGGAAGACGATGTTTTAAGAATAGCCAGGGTCGGAGCTAGGCAAGACGAATTGTGGGGCGCAGGCAGAGATATCGAGTTTGCTATTAGTAAGGTGAGATATAAATACTGTCTATAGTTTACGCGAGTAGGACAATTTAACATTTAACGGTATAAAACAGTACACTACTTCGGGGAGTCTCCCCGTGACCTTGGCTGCTGCAAAGCATCCGAAACGACGGGCCGAAGTTTAAAATAATTTTCAAATAAGTTTAACTAATATATCGCGTTTTAAACCGTTAAAGTGTTTTATTTAAAGGTGAGATATTTTAAAACTACTAGCTGTGTCAGCGACTTCATCCGTTCTAAATATTATGTTATTTATGATATCAAAATTTGTAAAACTCCTCCTTTAATATAAGTCCCAAATGTTGTTTTTATATGAAGGATATCGGAAAAAATGCTTTTGTGATTTTATCTTAAGAGATAGACGTATACTGCCATCGATTTTTTTTAGATTAAGGCAGAATATATGATGTATTTATTCTATGAACAGGACGGAACTATATACCTTCTCCAAGCGCGCCCCATAACCTCCCTGGAGACCTGGACTGAGGAAGAGTTGCTGCATGAATTGGATTTGCCAATTATGTCTGACGATGAATTACTTAGCTTTGCAAATACAGGAGAGGTATCTATCTTCAATACCCTTGTGCGGTGTTTGTCTGTTTATGTGGGTTGTGGTAGACATACCCGTGTCCGTATTTACATGTGTTTGAACGGACAGTAATGTATTTTTGGTAGTCGAACTTATGACCTCACAAATGAAGTTGCACATCTATTACAGCTCAAAGACTGGGTCTCGTAATTCGAATGGGTCAGTGTTGGGGATTATATATATATCTTGGGTTACATTGATTTAGCTAACCCATTTAAATTAAAAACGTATACGAATTTAAGTTACGAAATATCTTATTAACTTTGCAGCGGCGGTGGTTGGGGGGCTCCCCCCCCCAGTTAAGTGAATAAGTTAACTACTATATTTCGCGTTTTAATTATGTAAAAGTGTTTTATTTAAATGAGTAATGACAGTGTTAAAATAATTGTTAAATAGGCTTGATATTTATTGACTGTTGACATTGACAGGTCCTGCCAAAGCCAATCACCCCGCTTACTCATGACTTGGTATACAAGTTATTGGATCGGGGGATTTCCAATCTTATCCCAGATAATCACGATATTTACAGCAAAAGCGTAGCTATGACTCATAATAGAGTAGCTGTACCGTTGTATAATGTAAGTATATTTAATCATATATTTGAACGAAACGCAAGCTAAGTTTAATGTTTAATTTGATCTCGTTTAAAGTAGAGGTGGTTGGTTTCATATTTTTTACAATCTAAAAAATAAAATTATTTTTCATTTCACAAGTTAAATCTTTATTTGTTCAAAGTAAATAAGTAACCATACCTCGATGCTCAAAGTTGTTCGTAGCGCGTTAAGCATGAACAGGTTCGAATTCCAAACAAAATCTATTCAGGTTGTGCAGGGCTCATTTTTATTAAGTACTGCCTTGAATAAAATCAATTAGTAAAATTGCAGTAAGTCATTTTCCAGAATTTTTCGGTAGCAAAAGGTACCTTAACTTTCTTTTTGAGTGAAACAGGCAAAAAAATAGATAAAGACCCCCTTCTTAGGCCTAAGGAATGTACATACAAAATTTCATTAAAATCAGTTCAGCCGTTTAAAGTTCACGAAAAAACACAGACAAGATAATGTTATACTTATATAAGGTTATATTACGCAGTCTATATATCGCCGAGTGCCAAAAACGATAGACATTAATTTACGTATGCTGGAGATATCAATACACGGGCACAAAGTAGCTGACGACAGTACATTAAGTACTGCCTTACATCGACGAGAACCGAAAATTACTGACAAACTATTCTCCATTCTGGATATGATTAAAGTAAGTATATTGTTGTGTACTGTCTGTAGTTATAATATTAACGCTTAACGTTGCAATGGCCGTGATCACGGGAGGCTTTAAACCGTAGTTGTAACCAATTGTAAATAAGTTATCTAAAATGTTTCGCGTTTTAAGCCGTCAACAATGCTTTATTTATATATATTTTGGTGGGTTATATGTGAGTGATTTGTCCAAACAACGGAATCAGTGTTCAAAGATTTAGTTAGGTTAGGTTAGGTTAAACTTGCCTTTGCATTTTTTTATAAAAGAAAGAAAGAAAATTTTGGTTATTGCCAACAAAAATAATATAATAAAACACAAACAGTAGACTTAAAGGGAAATTCCTTAAAAAAATAATTAAATATGCTGATTTAAGTCTACCGCTAACATATTTTAATATTATACATAATTAAATTAGTTACAATAAATTTAACTAATACATCTCGTGTTTTAAACCGTTAAATGTTCTATTTAAAATACTCCTGTAAACTGCAGCCAGTAGCTTGAGCCTAATAAGTAATTTATAGACATGTGTCTGCCCGATGTACCTAACTAACAGGACGACCTATAAATTGTAAATATTTTTCTCTACAGTATTTAATAATATCAAAATGGAGAATGAACGACACGGTTGAGAGGGTATCGAAAATGAAGATAGACACAGACACAGATAGTGTGTCAGACATGTGTAAATATGTCACGGAATTCGATGAAATTGCGTATTTCAGAAACCACAGCATCACGTCTGCAGCCAGCACGTTCACTCAATTCATTGCTATGTCTGTTTTGTTGGAAGGAAAATCTGGTTAGTAGCTTGTGTGTAGTGACAATCTGTAAATGAATAAAAATCGATTATGAATTTAAAAAAAAAACACGAGCAGTTCACGTCACCCACCTTCACGTCATCGTCGATTAGTGTCATGTGCAAAAAATCAAATATGTGAAAAGTATTAAAGTTTCAAATCTGCAATGGCGGATGGTCTCATGCTATCTCGCTCACATGCTCGCGCTATCTCTATCGTGCATCGTGCAAATAATAATGAGATTGGTACAGTCCTGAAATAAAAGTTAAATACAAGATTAAATTCCTGTTACCACAAGTATTTAAAAGCCGACTATTATAACATCGATATTTTTTCGATTTGAGAAACATTGGTCCCGTTGAGAATGGTTCCCACGTCCCGTTAACCATACATTGCTAAAAAGTACCTATTTCGTTTTAGTCAGTTTTGAAGTTTAGCTCTTTGATGTAAGTAGCAACGTATAACCAACGGGTCGTGGGTCGATCCCCACCGGGTGGAAGATGTTTCTAATCAATTTAAGTTTTTTCGAGACATGTTGGACATCATCTGGAAATCTGGATATTAAATGAATGGTAGAAATATCGAAAGTCCGTGCGGGTAACCGACAACCACAGATTTAGTCCGTGGATTTCCGAATATACAAAGCCAAAATAGCTTGACAGCGTATCTTGTTTAGATGTTTTATCTACCATCAACTGCTTGTTTGTCCCCTTCTATCATAAAAGTATTTCAATATTATAGTAGTATTTACTAACACTACTCGACTTTCAGACTTCTCACCGGAGCAATGCAACGAAATAGGTGTAATGTTAAATTCTGGAGATGTTCTCTCTGCTGAAGTGCCACAAGGTTTGGAAAGGTTGGCTCAAACGCTTGAGGATTCAGGAAAAGATGAGGAATTCAAAAAACTGGATCCCAAAGTAGCGATGAGCTGGCTTGAAACTAATTTACCTGATGTTTTTGAACAAGCAACGAGGTTTCTTCACGAACATGGACATAGATCTATTATGGAAGTAAGTGTAAAATTCTGTTTTTCAAACGTTAAGCCCTGTAATTTAATCTTAAATGATTTAGCACTAGACACGGAAATGCATAAATATAAGGTAATAATAAGGTTGTAATTTGGTGTAATTACTCTTGGTGTTGAAGAAATTCGTCGATGACATAGTAGCTCAATTAGTTACAGCAGCACGGAAAGCTGTAGATGCCGGTTCATATAGATATTTTAAACTTTACTTTAATAAAACTATGGGTGTTACAACAAACTTGATTAGACCCGTGTGCGAATACCACTTTACATTTTTTAGTTTGAATTATCAACGAAACCGTGGGCGTTAGTACCGGAAGATCTGATGAAGGTATTGATGCATGTCACACCAAATACAAACGTCAAACAACCTAAGACTATGGAAGAAGTTATAGCCTCTCTAAAAACACCACAAAAGCCAAGCACAAGGTAATTATGGTTTTATTTTTTAAAATTTACTTTTAAAACAAATTTATAAATTTGGAAAATCAATAATCCATCTTCGAATCTTCTCGTCGTATTTAAGCTGTGTGTAATCCTTTATAATATTTAAAATAACTTTATCTTCTCTATCTATCAGAAACATTTATTTTTATTTATAATTTACTAATAAGTGTTTAATTGATTTCTATATTTTTCAATTGTCTTATCTGTGGTTAATAGACTCGATATCAGATTACGACTTCCCGAGTTCAAATCCTTGGGCCTAGCAAAATGTTAACACTATTTGCAATTTTTCTTAGAAACTTTCCAGTGCCAGCCAGAATTTCTGAAGTAAGAGGTGTTATCACCCCCATAATGGTGTTGTTGGTTGGAATAATTATATTCCATAATAGATTACTATTGTTACTCATTTGTAGGAAAGCTCTGCGTTGGATATTGCCTCTGTGCCAACGCGCCGTTCGCTACAGAGAATGTACCAAAGCACATTTAATATTGGCAATACATAAGATAAGACTAGCTGTTATACACTTGGGCCACCTGATGGTGAAGAATTGGTATTTACCGAGACACGACCTCGTCTTCTACTTCAGAACTCACGAGTTGAGGAAATATGTTGAAACAAGAGATCCTGCTTTGTTAAAAAAGTGAGTATATCGCAATTTTTTTGGTTAATTTAACAAACACAAAAAGATAGATATTTTAATAGATAAAATTCCCTAAGAGTTTTAATTTCTAATCAGGATTGTCGACCTATTTTTGCTTTAGGCATTTGGGAAATTATAGACTGAGAGTAAAACATGATTTTACACTTCATATGCGTTTTATTCGAAACCTTCGTGTACAGATTTCGAAGTTGATTTTAAATATGCCGAAAGAAATCGAACTAACGATTTTTTTATGATTAGACAGACAAGCAAGAGCTTCATTTGATGAAAGGAGAAGTACCTCAGCCATATGATATCTGACCAAGATGTATTTTCGACGTGCTTCGGCATTCGATTATCCGAAATGCACGGGCAGAACAAGAGACGCGATAGAAATTCACAACTATTTGATCTGTGGATTCACCGTCCATGGATGGATTCATGACTTCTATCGTAGTCTCCAATACAAAAAAAATAGTACATAATCTAAGTAACAATAATAGTACGTAAATAAGTGTTTTCTTTGTTTAAGAGCAATCCAACGTCAAAATTACTATGGAAAATGGTGTAAGTTAAAATTTTCCGAGTTAAACACGGGTTGGGTGGACCCTCTTAAGGTGGAAGGGCCAAAAATTAGTAGCGATGGCAGTGTAAAGGTTGCGGGTACGTCGGTGTGTGGTGGAGAAGTAGTGGCGCGCGCTTGTGTTGTTAGAGATTTGTCAGAGGTCAGTTACACTTTTTTACAACAATAACCTTTGAAAACTTTATTATTTTTTACATGTTATTGCACATGAGGGCACTTTGTAACATCGTCGTCAGGCATCGTCAGCGTTGCGTGCTGTTGCTCTCAAATTGAACGCTGACGATGCCGGTTCTAGTCCTGCCCGAGTCGGAAATTTTTTGAATTTATTTTCGATTTTTAAATTAAACAATAACCTTAATCAAGTTCAGACGAGCAAAACAAAAAGGAATTTAGAAAAGAATTTTAATTACTTCATTTAACAGAGAAGAATCAGTACCTATTTCTTATTACATATAATATTTTTAAAAGTTTAAAACGCGGAGTGTATTGGTTATGTTTTAAATTGCGTTAAGTACGAGTGCATACTGGTGGGAATATCGGGGAAATAAAACGTTATTTCGGTTGGGCAGGGCACAGAAGTCTGATCAACTACTTTACTTGGCTGTCAATAAAGCCGATGTGTGACGGACGGGACAGAAATGTGTTTGCCCCACGCCCCACGGGGAACGAAATTTCACTTTTTAATTTTTTAACTACCGATGTTTCGGATGTTTTGCAGCAGCTAGCAACAGGTGCAGTACGGGCAACTACAGACAAAACTTAGTATTTATTTCGTTCTTGACTTACATTTTGTAGCGAGTGTGTGGTGAAAATTTAACATCGTTTCCGTATGAGTAGTATGTCCTTAAGTATTGTCTGTAGATCATGCTAGTGTCGTTTCAATCCGTTAAATATGTTACTTTTATGTAGAAATAGTTTTTAATATAACTTGTAGAATTGTTTTTTTTATAGATCGACACACTGCGCAAGGGAGATATTCTAATCACTCACGCTACAGACATCGGCTGGTCCCCCTATTTCCCACTACTTAGTGGAATCGTGACTGAACTTGGTGGACTTATATCTCACGGTATTTACCTTCGTCTTTTCAACTCATTTTCTAGTCTATCTTGTTTGAATGCAGATGATATAAAGATAAAGCACCAAGACACGGGCGAGAGTAACAATTCGACGTGGTAGCTCAATTGGCTAGAGCAACAGCATGTGACGATGTGTATGCGGGTTCAATTCCGGTTTTTTATTATAACTATGCAGAAATTGACTTCTGCAGCTTTGCTTATTTGTCTCTTTTATCTTTTGTTTTTGATATCCCCAATAATACTTATTACCTTTATTTAATTGCTTATCTATAATCACAGGTGCTGTAATAGCTCGCGAGTATGGCCTGCCATGTATAGTGGGTGCAGTGGACGCAACGTCTTTATTCCAAACTGGAGACCACGTGTGCTTGTCTAGCACCACTGGGGTAGTAGAAAAAGTCAAGGTAGAAAGCTGAGGCTTGGTCTCTTGCAGAGTCTTTGACAGCGACAGCCTAAATGTTTTCACATTGATGAATGACTAATGTAATAGAAGTGTCACAATATACATTAAAAATTAAAAATATTTAAATAAGGCTTATATTACATATGATTTAACGAACGCGTCGGTCTATTGTTGGCTAATAATCAATGGGTAAGGAATATGTCCAATTCCAATCGTCATTTAGTGCAACATAGATATTACTGTTTGAGCAACTATAACGTCATACCAACCTCAATAAGATTATCGCTAAATTAAAACCATTTTTAACACCAAGACATATTTCAATTTACTAAAAACAAGTGAGATCTAAAAATAACATTAAAAATAAAAATTCAAAATAAATTCCAAATGCAAAACTCGTACATCTCAAGATACAAGGAGGGCTTAATATCATAAAAGCCGCCTCTTCAAAACCCAAAAACACCTCAATTTGAACATATTTCAAATTAAAACGTAACTATTCCTTCTCCGTGAGGACTAACAGCTCATAGCAGTTGAACGCAAAAGGTCTACCGTAGATGACGACGTGACAGCGATAGTTAGGGGCGTGTACAGCGCCCAGGAGGTGTGACCCACGGTAGTGGACCCTGCCGACGTGAACTCCCTGGGGCAATACGGATCGCGCGGGCCCCGACCTCCCCTGCCCTCCACGCTAGCCATGTTACTTCTGCGTTACACATTACCTAAAACAAAATAAAAAGATGAATGTTTAATCACCATTTTATCATAATCCTGACATGCTTATGGAAGAATGAACCGATTATCCACAGACTAAAGCCGAGACATGATTACTTCATTGATTTTTTATCTGTGGCTCGTGACCTTAAAGGAATTTTCAGATTCCAAACACGCATCCCCGTCTTCCTTTGAATGTTTCAGAATAATAAATTGATTAGAAACGGCACCCGGTGGGGATTGAAGCCACGACTCGTCATCATTCGTTCTACATACAATAAGACAAAAATACTTAACAATAGGTTGGATGTATGTGGAGCGAAACGACTCGTTAAATAAGTTCAAACTGACTATTGTAGCTGGTAGAAAGATATTACCTGATACTTAGTATAGTGATGGACAGCTCCGTCAGCGTACACAATGCAGCAGTGCTTCGAAGGATGCAGCGCAGCAGGAAGAACATTGCACCTATTACAACGAACATGTTCCTTTTTGGTAATCTTAAAAATAATCAACACCTACATATATTTTGATATACGATATATTAGGCCATAAAGAACTTCTGAAGTGAAGAAAGAAGTGTGGCAAGATACACGTGTGAAAAAGTAAGCGTGTGATTTTTAACTGCGGTAATTGTGAATTGTATAAAATATTTACGGGCATTTACGTTCAAAATAAATAGAACAATAATATCGATAGAGGAAAATTGTTTCCTAGTATGTGCAATAAAATTGGCTACTTACTGGGTACGAATCTCTTTCGGTCGGGCAGGACACATAAATTTATATTTCTAACGCCAGTTTTGCCTTTCTTTAATAGTTCAACTAACTTGCAAGCTTTTTAATTGCTTGTACAATATGTATACGCACTTGTGCGTAGTCCGGGCGACCCAAGTGACTTCTCCTTCATAGACTCCCGCCGCAACGGCACCACTTGGCACAGCCCCGCAGGCGCTTACGACCCACACCGGTCCTGGTTGACTCCAAGTGGGTAACCATTCTGTAAACTCGCACAAGTACTATCAATGACATGCATGGCATAACTGTCGGATTTGCCATCACTTTGTAATATCACACTGCAGGCTACAAGTCTCCTCTCACATACAGGAGGGGTTTCTAACAGCTTACACCCACCAAGCTGCTCCGAATGACACCAAATGACTTCCAAATGACTGCCCTCGCTAAACTCGTTGTGATAACTGGCACAGAAGAAATCAAAATAAAGAAGTAACATTTAGTTCGGCCCAAGATTCGAACCTGATTATTCTTGGGGGTAACTGCATTACCCCCCAGAAAGGAATTAGCTTGGCCTTGAAATACTCCAGCACTTTAACATCTTACGATGAGCTGTCCGACCTATTTGTCTTAATATTAAACAATAGCCGTGTACCGGAAATTGTTTTCTTGTGTTTCTGCTCCCAGCAAATTTTCAAATGCGTGTTGTAATTCTTCCAGTCTTCAGCGTACTCTTTTATTTTCTTCTTGAAATGATCCCATCGCCTGTAATAACTCAGGAGCATCATATTATGAAGTTGTGATGAAGTGCATTATTACAGATTAATAGGAGACAAACTTGGAATTTTATGCATAGTAATATTCAGTTAATAAGAAATGCTTCTCTGTGTAAGGTCAAGCAAAATCATCGTTATATACATGATGACATTCAGATATCATGATAACTACCATTCTCAATTATGGTTGCCGATCTGCTCGAAAGCCCAAGCTTTGCAAATTGGCAGCGAAAGAATTATACTTAATTTATAATTATACATTCAAAACATCCTATGATTTAACTTTACATACGTACACTTGTGTCAATGTCGCATCGGTGTCCGTCTCCTGTTGAAGAGTATCCGTTTCTTTGATCTGAAATAAGTATATCTATATAAACAGCACATTTATTAATTACTTATTATTATTAAATTTTATTAGCCTTACTTCCTAATATTAGAAGCCTATTTTGTGTAAAAACAAGAACGATTACAAACTTTAAATTATTGTAATCGTTTAATTTGCTTTCAGACTTTCAGAACGTCATGGTGCAGACAAACGATATTAATAAATTATATATTCCGTGTTTTAAACGGTTCATATTAGTTTACTCTGTTATTCTTCTGCTTAGCACAGTTTGAATACACACCACAAGTGTCAACCAGACGGTCCATTTGTTGAACATCTCAATAATATCCAGCATCTCTTCCTGGCACTTCAAATATATGTTTGTTTTTACTGTACCTCTGGTTGGTGAAAGAATCTGTAATTAAAAACGGTTATAAACATTATTTGTGTCAATAAATAATCAAAATATTTGTTAGTTTATTATATATCCTTATTGACCTGCTTATCTCTGTATCGCAAGGCTAGGCGAAGAGTCAATTGCCTACTGAATTTATTGTACTGTCGCCATTGTAACGCTTCTGTCGCCACACGTCTCTGAAATGCTTTCCAAGACTCGTCGACTTGGCTCGGTCCTGTGACAATATTATAGTCAAAAATAATTTACCAGGTAGTTAGTTTCGTATGCAAAGGATGACCAATATCGTCGTTAAATAGTTTGCCAGTTTTACCTCGAGTGCTTTTATCTTTTGATACTAACCTGCCGAGTCCATTGTCTGGTTCTGGAAGGCCAAGGCTCGATCAAAATTCTCTTGGATCCAATCTCGCCAAGCTTGCACGTTCCACATAAGGCTGACCATCATCGCGTGCCAGTCACCCATTTGATCCGTGATAACTATGGGTGCCTCTATGGAAATATTTTCAAATTCAAATATAACTACACACATCATATACACTAACTTTGTGGAAGGACATCACTCAGCTGTTGCTGCAACAACAGATTTGCTGCATCGTTGATTTTCAGTGATGCCCCATAGATAACAGAGTAGCAGCCCGTAATAATGACTTTAAAGTTAATAAGAAATATAAATTAAAATGAACAACTATACAAAAAATAAAATGATAACATTATTTTCTCGTGACTGTTATATCCATAGTCCGCCTGTCAGGTTTAACAGTATTTATAACTCACTTGAACTAAATCCCTTTTGCTCTTGCGTCGTTCTCCTTGGTATTCCCAATGGCTTTGTGCTAACAGGTGTTTGAGGGGCGTTTGATGAATGAACCTCAGCAAACATAGCTGTTGGAAACTGCAAAAATGGTGGAGAGGTTCCGTCTGTAGGATTTGTGTGTCCACTTTGTGGAGTATGGAATGACGAAGACGTATCGGTTTCTCGTATCGGACTTGGCGACCTTTGCTTGATATCCGAGGGTATTATACCACCAAATCTTCCACCGAAAGAACGATTTGTCGAAAGAGGTGATCTAGATTCGCGGCTTCTTGATAAACGTAACGGTGTCTCCAAAGAACTGCTTTCAGGTGATAGTTTTTCAGGACTGTAGTAGAGAGACCGCCTATTGGCAAGTGTGGTGGAATAAAACAGATAGGAAGCAGTAGTTGTTTGATTGCATTCTTCACTGGGTTTAGGAGCTCTACAAGGTCCAGGTTTCGGTCCTGGTCCGGTGACTCTACTAATTCTTGTGGGACACGGATGTATAGAAATATCGAGGCCGTCCGCATATGCTCGCGATGTTCCAGGAGTGGCATGCAGAGTCCTTCCGGGGGCCAGGTCGGCCAGGGCTTGAGTTGATATGTGCCTTGAACAGGTACAACACGGACGAGCAACTCGGCGCAGAATCTCATCGCACCACAGTTCACATTGAACGAACACGTTCTTCATACACTTGCATACTTGTATGACGTCTGAAAAAAAAAAAACAAAAATTGAATGTTCTGGCTTCATAAAATATATAAGATAGAAAATTAGTGTTTATAATAAAAAGAAATTATGTGGGCTAGAACATTCCCACCAAAATTCAATCCTATGCTCCATACTTGATTTTGCAGTCCTCCTCGGGAGGCTTGACTTATAAAAAGTCCTTCCTTTGAATGAGTTCTTGTCTGTGAGTGTGTTACAGTCTTATATATTTGTAAGTATTATCTTTTAGTTTGTGAGTTACCGTTTTCTGTATAAGTCTTCTCTAATAGAGATAAAGAGTATTTAATTGCTTGCTTTGCTATTCAAGGTACTCACGTGGTTGTAAGAAGTATACTGCCAAATACATCGTCGCATCTTCGATGACATCTATAAGGAGTATAAACATTATTATGGTATTGAATACTGTTTGAAATGGTACCAATAAAAAAGCCCTACCGTCCATAACATTCATAAACTTTTCCGGGGTACAACTGTGCATGATATTGCGCAGTTTGATTTGGATTTTTCTAACCACCACGGGATCCGCGCTCGGAACTGTTAGCTGATCAGCGTTTTTAGTACGTAACCTGTAAATATTTTAGAGAAAAACTCGATTTTTTACACCAAACGTTATATTATTTGAGTCCGTAAGAGGCAGAGTAGCCTAACTGCAATTTTGTGACTTGAGTTAATTATATTCTAAAAATGTTTATATATACATATGAGTATATTAGTACGTTGGCTGAAAATTTCAATATGATTTTTACACAAATAATAGTACAAATTAATTTTCGCCTAAATTAATGGTGTATTTTTGTTTTGTAAGTTTTGAAAATCATGTTTATTGTTATTAGGCCACTCTGCCTCTAGCAGCCTCGTTTAACAAAGTTATTATTTACATATCGGCCCCTTCTGCGTAGGTTTTGCGTATTTTCCCATGCCTAAGTAAGACGTTTCCGCCGTGCAGGTCCATTTGTTCTATCAACACTTTCAATGCTTCCGTCTTCTCCACTAAAATACATTTTAAAATACAATCGAGCTTCTCGTAAGATAAAATATTACGCGAATACACCTAAATAAAACACTAAACGGTTTACAATAATAAATGTATTAGCTAACTAAATTACAATTTGTTAAGTCAAAATAAAAACGCGTTTCAAACCCTTAATAGTGTTTAATTGAATTAATTTGATATTAAAACTTAATATTTACCTAGTAGCATTATATATGACACTAGCAGTTTCGTCGAGTCTGATATAACACCTGTAATGTGAACCTTGAATTTTAAACTTGAACTCCAAATATATTTCACTGGACGTAGCAATAACATACCATCAACAACGACTTTTCCGAAACCAGTAGCAGCAACATTTGCCATCAGATTCCTCAGTTTCGATTCAGTTGTTGATTGCAAACCCGTATCTGGTCGTCTGATTTGATCATCAAACGATGTCAACTGACGTAAGCTTAAAAAAAAAATATATAAATTACAATAAAACAAACTCAAACAAAACTCGTTAAGTAAATAAATAATGTTTGAAAATTTTTCACATGTTAGCACATGATGGCATTACATAAATTAAACATCGTTTTTAGATTGAAAAAAAATTACGACACGGTGTACAATTTTTTTTTTTAATTCAAATTTTCTTTTTAATTTAAAGAAATAATCTTAGTATTAGATCATCACTTTTCATTAAAACTTACTAAGCTGCGGAATCTTTGTACGATTTCGGTATACTTCCCTCTATTAAAAGACTATCTCCTGCCGATTCCATTTCATTTAAAAGTGTGACATAAGCCTCGATTTGCTCGTCTGAAAACACGAAATACTTTTAAAAGTATAACGACACGAAAACGTCGAACTAAAGGTCGAAAGTCGTCAGATACAAAAAAATCGCGACGAAAGAATCAAGAACCATGATGGAAAGCCACAGGACATAACAATAATAACATAACAAATTGACTTATTTGGCCAAAAGCTCCCAATTAAAATTCACCCCCCTCTATAGGGAGAGTAGTAAAATATATATAAATAATAAATCTATTGAGAGTTCCAGTTGTGTTAGTGATAATTTGGACTCAGTTCTAAAACACTAGGAGAAGCTGGTTTGACTTCATGGGAGGTGAAATACCCCGGCCATATAACATCTATGCAAGATGCACTGTCGACTTATTGTAGCTTTTCGGATACAATAGTTGCTAAGGGGAGCATTAACGTCAGGCCATCGTATTATTATTGTTGACGTAGCTTTGGTGTTCTTCTTTATCATCAGGTTATCATGAAACCGCCAATGAAGGTTGACAAGGCTGTAAAAGAATCGGGTGACACTGCCCGACTGCACAAGAAGTTTGAAAGGAAACTTGGTGCTCTCGTTTGTAAATCCACCCCCGATGATATGTATGACACAATGCAAGGTGCATAATATTATATTGTCCTTACATCCTACATCGCCAAAAGAGTATTTTTGAAGAATTAAAACTCGATGAGTCTGTAAATGTATATAATATGATCTGGTGTTTCACAGATAATTAACTAAACAATGAATGTCTACTTTAAGTGACTCCTATTACATACTATGCCGACGACCAAATATATACAATATATATATATATATATATATATATATATATATATATATATATATATATATATATATATATATATATATATATATATATATTTTTTTATTTTTTTTTTTATATATACAATAGCACAGTGTAGGTAGGTACTTGTCCCACAATTTGGCCCAACGCGAAAATGATAAGCTTATAAGGAAGCAAAAGTCAACAAGCTACACATGACGTATATTTGAGTGTATAATAAAAGGCCGACAGTCCATAATATCATGGTCAAATTTTGTTTTGTTAAAACGTAATGGACATGTACATACCAGGCTTTGTCACATGCGCCGATAAAAAGTCCGATGCTTCTTTGATGTGATCTGTAAAATACAATAAGAAATCAAAGTGCTTCTTCAATAAGGTAATAAATAAAAGGGTAACTGCATACAAATGAAATTGTTAAAAGTCCACATACAACATACTTATTGTTACTAACCCTTCATAGCGGACGTTAATTTTCGAGCCATGGATCTACAACGGATCATTTCTTCCAACTTTTTTGTTAAATAATATGCAACTTCTATACACGGCTCTGAGACCTCTAGTGATGTCGTCTTCTTTAATCTAATGTACAAAGAAACAAAAATGGCATTAAAGACTAAAGTGGAAAAGCAGTTTTTAAGTCAACAAAACGGCATTAAGTGACTTACTTAACGAACTAATGACTTTGACATAAAATTTGTATAAGCGAAGATTCAAATGATAGGATGTAAAACATTATAATAATAATTAATAAGTTGGAGACTGTCATACAAACCTTTGCGCCGCAAAGAAATGCGTCTCTGCTGCACGATCCACTTCGATAAGAATCTCGTTTCCACGTTTTTGCATCTCCGATATTAAAGCTTCCCGCACGAGAGCTTTGTAGCCTACGATGTATGTATATAAGTAAAACTTAATATTCATATGTACGATGGTTGTAAATTATATTCACAATATTGATATTTTTCCTGACATACAGGAAAAAAGACGGCTGTTACTTGATATTACATTAAGATTGGATGAACTTATCATAGCCATAAACATATAATTTCTAAAAATGTCAAAAGGCATTTACTTTTGGTAACAAAATATTCCGATAATATCCTTGACGATTCGATGATGACATCTGAAATAAAAAGTTCAAGAACTGAGACTTTTTACTATTTATATTGTATTATATTAAATTGAGTTATTTATACTAATATTATACAGCTGAAGTTTATTTAGATTAACTTGCAAGAACGACGGGACGCGCCCGACGTCGTGGGTAATCTTACCCTCTCTATAATTTATAAAGATGGGGAGGTTTGCAAAAACCAAAAAAATTTCGATGCCCATAAATATTATACGCGGACGTAGTCATCGGCAGAGCTACTATGTAATCGGGGTCAGTTAAACTAGACATTTATTGTTTAGTTAATTATCTGTGAAACACCAGAATCATATATAAATTTACAGACTCATCGAATTTTAATTCTTTAAAAATACTCTTTTAACGATGTAGGATGTAAGGACAATATAATATTATGCACCTTGCATTGTGTCATACATATCATCGGGGGTGCATTTACAAACGAGAGCACCAAGTTTCCTTTCAAACTTCTTGTGCAGTCGGGCAGTGTCACCCGATTCTTTTACAGCTTTGTCAACCTTCATTGGCGGTTTCATAGATAACCTGATGATAAAAAAAACATCATAGGTACGTCAACAATTACATTCATTAATTTTTGTGTTAGTTACTTATTTTGCCTTGTAACACATTAGATAGTTCTGGGTTTAAATCTAAGGATAATGTAGCATACAAAAAGTCTATCGTCTTCGTCCCTTTAAATATATCAGTGGAGCGGTGAGTGGATATTATAAGTAGTCATATTTTGTAAACGGAGTCTAAGGTGGCACGTACAGACAAACAACAAACAACAACAACAGTTGGTCCCAGTTAACAACATCTAGTGTCAGCGCACGTTAAACCCACCAACCCGCACTGGAGCATCGTGGTCTACGCTACAAAGTACAAACCCTTTCTCCTACATTAATAAGTTGGAACAAAATATCTGCTCTACTACATAAGTAGTTTAAGTGAATCACATTAGATATTTTATTTAATTCAGACATTATTATAATAAAATGTTCAATAACCATTCGGAAGCTTGTGCGTGGGTAAGTTCTGTATGTGGTTGCTTGTAAAGCATTTCCCCTCCCCGAGCGCGCAACTGTCCATGCAGTATTTTCAAAGCTTCTTCGCGTTCTCTGTCATCTAAAATATCAACGGAATATGTACTAAATCGAAGATGGAAAACTTCATACTCACTTTGTTCAACGTCTTAGTGAATCTGGAAAATTTTAATCAAACATCAAAAAACACCGACTTAGTGAAACGCAAAAAGGTAAACAAACCGCCACTTGGACCTGAAACAAAAAGATTGAATTTTGAACACTTCATACTAGATAATACATATATGTGTAAGAAACTTAGGCACCATTAAGTATATTATTTTTTTAATCATCTAATGAAATAAAAAAAATAGTATGGACGTCAACGCAAAAATACATAGTAAATTTTCAGCAATACGTTTAAAGAACGCGCTTTGTCCAATTCTTTAATTTCAAAACTATCTCCACAATTATTTTCAAAAAAAATATATTAACATTTTAAGTTTAACTTAAACATTTATGTCTGAAAACAAGAAACAAAAATTACCCTGCTGCTTCCGAGCCTCCAATCTTTTTAATCGTGCCGCTTCATCTTCAGCCCCTCGTCTGCTAGCATCGGCGTCATCTAGATGTGATGTCTGCATTCTATCCGAATCTGATGGTGCTGATGGTGCTGATGGCGTTCTTGGATGCGCTATTGACTGCGCTACTGGCGCATGTTCAGCACCCACAGCCGGTTTACTTTGAGTATTTGACGGGTTTTCTGATCTAGTCATAGATAGCAATGTAAAGCAAAAATTGATATATCTAATGGTCTAAGCGGAATATTAACTTACTTTCCATCTAAAGCGAATAGGGCCTTGGGGTCCAATCCACCTGTTAACACAGTTTATATAAATACCACGTCTTCTAACTCAAAGTTAAGTAAATTTGCATTAAAGATAATAATTCTTACATTCTTTCGTGGCAACTCCGGCAACGTAATCTGTGGTTATTTTAGTAGTTTCTGAAAAAAAAAAGATCATTTTTTAATAGAATTCAAGTAATTTTTTAAACTGTAAACTCATTTACAGTTTACAAAATTGCTTGAATTCAATCCATCATTCATGCAAGAATGCATCTCAATGCATCTTCTTACCTTTAGCATACTTCTTCGCTGTATCAGGATATTGCAAGGGCAGTAATTCAATCTTGGAAGAAACTTTGTCCGCAATAACAGGGAAGGGATCCTGCCCACCAAAATGTGTTGCACTCGAAATCCTGACATTAATCACGTTATATGCACATGATTGTATTTTAATTGAATAGCATCTAATTAAATTATATTCTATTATACCACGCACATGTCAGCCACTTGGTCGTGTGTTTTCGAGAATTTGCCCAATGTCAAAAACTCTTTGTCTTTTTCTTTTTTCAAACCGTCGTGTATTACTTGCATCGCTTCAGCTGGCGAATGAAGTTTTTGTTATTGAAATATATATTTCTTAAATGAATATTTAATATAATATAGTTTTTATCACTATATAAGTAAACCATACCTCGTCCTTTAATAGTGTCAGCCAGATAAGCTGCTCCCTCCTTCGCCGGCTCTGGGAAATATAAAGCTTTAATCTTTCTATCAGGACCTCGTTTGTATTTTGAGACATACCAGTTCCTATGAGCAAGTTTTTTTATTACTTTTTACTTTATTATTACAAAAAAAAAAACAAACAAATGCGACTAGAACATAACAATTATTCGATACACAAATCTCTTTTGTAACCTGTTATGTGCCGGCCCTAAGCTGCACTCCATTAGGCGACAGCCCTAAGCTGTGCCACTACGGGGAAACTGCTGATTGTGCGCGTATTCGATACCCGTGCGATCGGTATGTGACGCTACTGTTGCCGTACCCATTTTAGCATAAGATATTAATGAATATAATTGTAAGCGTCGAACTGATGCATCGTGCACAGGGAGACAAGTAGTATTAATTAAATGTAATATTTTTAATTAAATTAATTAATAAGTAAATGAGTTTTTTTGCAACCACCGGTGGCGACTAACATAATTGGCGCAGTCGGTAGGATACTCGGGTCGTCATAAATCGCGGGAATTTTTCGGAACCCTAACTTTGGACCGGGACCTGCGAGGCTGACCGTTTCTTTCAAGAAACTATTACGAGTATCATAGAACCAAGGAGCCCCGGCGTATCCAAACTTCGATACCGGTCGCAGAATGCTCATGTAAGTACACACAAAATTATCTATTGTGTTGCTTCCTTTATTTTATAAGTCCTTTTCACGATTTTCCATCCACGGAAATCTCGGGGGTCATCCCTTGATCCTAAGGGAACCCGCCAACAATCCTCTCGATTTCGGCAAATTGATAGCCTACGAGATTTGGATAATTTGAGGAATAATTGCGATTCCGATAATTGTAGTGATTTTAGTTTTAATCATATTTTAAACATGACCTCGGAGCAGGATATTATTTTTAAATCCTTAAGGTTTGTGCCGGATTTCGACGGCAACCCACATGTATTGACTAGATTTATAAAAATTTGTGACGAATTAGTTAGGCAGTTTATGCGTGATGATCCGCAAGCATCCTTATCAAACATTTCATTAATTAATGGAATTCTTAATAAGATTACAGGACATGCAGGACGTTTAATAAATTCAAATGGTATTCCCGATTCGTGGCAAGGAATTAGGGACTCTTTAATAAATAATTTTTCCGATCAACGAGACGAAACCGCGTTGTATAACGATATCGCGTGTCTAACTCAAGGACAAAACTCTCCTCAAGAGTTTTATGACAAATGCAATAACTTATTTAGTACAATAATGACCTATGTTTCGCTTCACGAAACTATAGAAACAACTATTGACGCGAAAAGACAATTATATAGAAAATTAACACTGCAAGCGTTTATTCGTGGTCTTAAGGAACCACTAGGGTCACGCATACGTTGCATGCGCCCTGAAACAATAGAGAAGGCCTTAGAGTTTGTACAAGAAGAATTAAACGTTATCTATTTGCAAAATCGTAACGATGCTCTACCTAAATTTCACCACACATTAAAACCGCAATCTTCAGTTCAAACGACACACACACCACAACCTTTACTATATAATGTGAATAAGCACAATTTACCTTTTCCGAGAATAAATACACCTTATACATTCCCACAGTTTAAATCAAGTCAACCTAATCATTTTATGCCTAGATTCCCTACACGTACACAACAAGTTTTTCGTGCTCCTCCACCTAATTATAATCCTAACAGTAATTTATTCCGTTTACCTCCACGTAACCAGGTAGCCCAAAAACAGGGACCTACTCCAATGAGCGGTGTAAGTCATTACGTTACTAAGGAGTTACCTTTGACTGGACATGATTGGCGTAAGCACGGCAATCCACCTCCTACAAACTATTTTAAAAGTAGAGATTTAAATGTCAACGAATGTGTCGAACCCGATTATTACGATTATTATGACCAATACAACCCGACCGTAGAATATCCTGACTATTATTACTTTGACCCTGACTATAATTCGTATTATAACTGTGAAGAAATAGAACAATCGAATGAAATTCCTGACAGTGACGAATGTGCTCAAGTGACTGAAACTGAAAATTTTCCGAAAGGCAAGAATTCAGAAAAGCCAAAATAGAAATTAACATACAGACACAAAGACAATTACCTTACATTCAAATTAGTAATCCACCTCTTAAATTTTTAATTGATACAGGTGCTAATCAATCTTTTATCAGCCCTGAAGTAGTGCAACGATTTTATTCTCATATACCTTGTAATTATGATCCGATTGAAGTGACGAATATACACGCGACTACAAGAAGTAACTATTCTATTACATTACCTTGTTTCCCGGAATTTAACGAGAACATAGACATAACTTTATTCGTATACAAATTCCATAATTATTTCGATGGACTTATTGGACTTGATCTTTTAGAAAACTTAGAGTCTACAATTGATTTAAAAAATAAAGTACTTAATACCAGGAATTCTAATAATCCATTGCATATGTATGATTCGCGGAATTGTAATTTATATGAAGCAATCATTCCCGCTAACTCAAGCAAAGTAGTTAAGGTACCAATAAATTCTCATGACGGTGACGTTATTGTATCAGACCAGATTTTGTCCAACTGTACAATCAGTAATTGTATAACCAGCGTGCGTGACAGTCGTGGCTTTATAGAGATAGTAAATCCAACTAGACACGATGTAGTTTTTTCGATGGATAGGCCGATAGAAGCTGAAGTTTTTAACCACGATATACAACCGGCTAAACTAGTTTCAGGCCGAGCAGCCGAAGTTTTATCACGATTAAGAACTAACCATTTAAATCCAGAAGAAAAAGCAAATTTAGAAACACTTTGTGCGCAATATGCCGACGTCTTCTATATTGAAGGTGAGTCTCTAACCTTTACTAATAAAATTAAGCACAATATTAGAACAACCGACGAATTGCCCGTTTTCACTAAGTCATACAGATATCCTTTTATACATAGGCGCGAAGTTCAAGAGCAAATTAGTAAAATGTTAAATCAAGGTATTATAAGACCTTCTCAATCAGCATGGAGTTCTCCGATATGGGTAGTACCGAAAAAAGCCGACGCCTCAGGAAAAGTAAAATGGCGAATAGTAATTGATTTCAGAAAAGTAAATGAAAAAACAATAGACGATAAATATCCCATTCCAAATATTAATGACGTATTAGATAAGTTAGGGAAATGTCAGTATTTTACTACTTTAGATCTCGCAAGTGGCTTCTATCAAGTGGAAATGAACCCTAATGACATTCATAAAACGGCATTTAATGTAGAACACGGTCATTTTGAATTTTTGCGTATGCCCATGGGATTGAAAAATTCACCATCAACATTTCAAAGAGTTATGGACGATGTACTGCGTGGGTTACAGAACGTTATCTGCTTAGTATATCTCGATGACATCATAGTTTTTAGCACCAGCCTTCAAGAGCATATGATTAATTTAGGAAAAGTATTTCAGAGACTTAGAGAGTCAAACTTTAAAATACAAATGGATAAGTCAGAATTTTTAAAATTAGAAACATCGTATTTAGGACATATAATTAGTAGAGATGGTATAAAGCCCAACCCTGATAAAATAGCAGCGATTAAAAAATATCCCATCCCAAAAACTCCTAAACAAATTAAGCAATTTCTTGGTTTATTAGGTTATTATAGAAAATTCATTCCAGATTTCGCTCGTGTAATTAAACCTATGACACAATGTCTTAAAAAAGGTAGTAAAATTATTTTAAATTCGGAATATGTTAGTTGTTTTGAAAAATGTAAAATCCTTTTATCCAATGATCCTATTTTACAATATCCCGACTTTAATAAAGAGTTTATACTAACAACAGACGCATCAAACGTAGCTATAGGTGCCGTATTATCTCAAGGTCCTATTGGATCCGATAAACCCATCGCGTACGCCTCACGTACTTTAAACGATAGCGAATTAAATTATAGTACAATAGAGAAAGAGTTATTAGCCATAGTCTGGGCTACAAAATACTTTCGTCCTTATCTTTTCGGTCGTAAGTTTAAAATTATAACAGATCATAGGCCATTACAATGGATAATGAATATTAAAGAACCAAATTCACGTCTTACTCGTTGGCGTCTCAAACTAAGTGAATTTGATTATACCGTTATATATAAAAAAGGTAAAGCTAATACAAATGCTGACGCGTTATCGCGAATTGAATTACATAATGAGAATGTAGCATCTATGGTAGTTAATATTTCTGATTCCGAGTCGACAGTGACCGCACCTGACGACAGACCATTAATTAGCAACTCTTCTACGGACACTGCACCTACTTTAAGAGCTTATAGTTCTGATAGACAGGAAGACGTTAATCCTGGTGGAACCAAGCATACCAGTCACGAAGATCCCATCCTTGAAATTCCCATTAGTGATGATCCTTTAAATATTTTTCGACGACAAATTGTTATAAAAATCACGTCTACTTCAACTAATACAAAACCTACTGTTAGCAAGCCTTTTGAAGGATATTCGAAAGTTTCTGTAACTATAAACGAGGCTAACCTAGAAGAATCAGTAATCAGCTTAATTAAAAAATACGCAGATCCAAAAATTCGCACAGGCATATTAGTTCAACCTTTAAAACATATGTATGACGTTGTTCCTATAGTGCAAAATACATTTAAAAGTGCAGCCATGAAACTTGTTCTTGTAAAGCGACAAATTGAGAATATATCCGACTATCTAAATCAACAGGACACAATTCGAAAGTATCACGAAGGTAAAACAAATCATCGTGGCATTAATGAAACTTATCAATCGCTTTCGCAGCGTTATTTTTGGCCTAAAATGAAAGTTGACATAGCAAAATTTATTAATTTGTGTGAGACATGTAATTGTGCAAAATACGATCGTAAGCCCATAAGGCAACAGTTCAAGATCGTACCGCCTCCTTCTAAACCTTTTGAAATTATACATATGGACGTATTAAGTATTGACCATGACAAGTACCTAACGTTAATTGACGCTTTTTCAAAGTATGCACAAGCATATAGACTAAATGACTGTACTGCACCGAATATCATTAAATCCTTACTTTCCTTTATTTCCCATCACGGTTCACCATTATCATTAACCACCGACCGTGGTACTGAATTTACGAACCAGGTTTTTGCGGAATTTCTAAAATTACATAAAATTAATCATCATTTGGTAGCTCCACATACACCAAACGAAAACGGTATGATTGAACGCTTTCATAGTACCCTTCTAGAACATTTAAGAATATTAAAACTTGTTCACAAAAATGAACCGACTTCAAACCTTATACCATACGCGATTTTAGCATATAATAGTTCTATTCATAGTTTAACAAAATGTAGACCTTTTGACATCATAACGGGACATTATGATCCTAGAGATCCCACGGACTTAAATTTATCGGAAAGACTTATGCAACAATATATGCAGAACCATAAAAGTAACATGCAGACAATTTACAATATAATACATGACTCATCATTCGCGGAACGTGAAGCTATCACTTTACGACATAATTCTCACAGAGAACCTGAGACAGACTATGCACCTGACCAAACGGTTTACATAAATAATCCTATGACTTCTCGACGTAAAGTAGCTCCACGATACTTAGCTGATAAAGTGGTATCCAACCAACCTATCCATATTTACACCTCAAAGAAAAAGTTACCTGTTTCCAAATCCCGTCTTAAACGGTTACCAAAAAGCAATAATTTGTTGCAGACTCCTCCTGACACTGATGCTGGGCCTAGTAATGGGTCGAGACATAAAACTTGAATCTATGGACAATGGACCTGGACTTTTACCTTTTGACCTCGGACATATGAACTTGATTACTCACTATCATAACTTTTTACATTATATTGACATAGACGAAATTGATTTGAATATTAACTTAGTAAAAGACCAAATTCGTGACATGGAAAGAATATTTGACAATCAGACGTTTTCCTTGTTAAATGTACGCATTACACACATACAAGCAAAGTTAGATCGAGCATCAAATTTACTTAATGCCTTAAGGCCTGGACGTTACAAACGGGGATTGATCAATGGATTAGGTACCGTAATAAAAAGTATAACCGGAAATTTAGATTATAGCGATGCGATTAGATACGACAATGCAATTAGTGTTTTAACCCAAAATCAGGATAAAATTATTAGCGAATCAAATCGTCATATTAGTTTAACTAAGAAATGGACTTCAGAATATTCCAAAGTAATCGATAAGTTAATAGAAAATCAGGCGGAATTAAATAAAACTATAATATATAAATAGTCTATACGCGTAGTTGTAGTGCACATCATATAATGCTAGGAATAGATATGTTACGCAGTATTTTAGGAACGCTAGTGAGTCTCTACGACAAAAACCAATTATTATTAGACCTTGACCTGCGAGAATATTATAGTATTATTCGCACTGGGTCATATTATTCAGAAAACAGGATAGTTATAGTGTTGAGGATTCCGATTGTCTCTCCAATTATGTATAATCTTAAATACTGTCTATAGTTTACGCGAGTAGTACACATTTAAATAAAACACTTTAACGGTTTAAAACGCGATATATTAGTTAAACTTATTTGGAAATGATTTTTAACTTCGGCCCGACGTTTCGGATGCTTTGCAGCAGCCGTGGTCACGGGGAGACTGACGCTCTGATGCTCCACATCCGAAACGTCGGGCCGAAGTTAAAAATCATTTCCAAATAAGTTTAACTAATATATCGCGTTTTAAACCGTTAGTGTTTTATTTAAATGTGTACTACTCGCGTAAACTATAGACAGTATTTAGTATTGTTCTGTTTTAAGACTACGTACAACTCTATTGGCTGTTTAGTAAAAATACATAGTTAGGAAAATGAAAAAAAAAATTGTTGCTGTAGTTCTTAAAATTCAACCAAACTACAGACAGGTTGATGGTGTAATCCTCATAATAAGACCTGTTAACACGTAAGCGACGGAAAAACCTTTTAAAATATCTTGAATCTTCTTTTCGTCTGGTATAACAGACTTGATGCTTTCGTGTATTTCCCGCTTAGCGTTTTCGTCTCGCGCCGTCGTCACACCGACGGGTGCGTGAATAATGCTGTAAGTATATATCATTTAAACATTTTACTTCGAAATTAAGTATTGTGCGACTGAAGTACTTACTCCTGCCCGGCTTCGGTGTACGTGATTTTGTAAATTCCCTCTGTTCTCATAATTTCATCTTCCTTTCGTGCCATTAGGTCCGCTAGCACTTGGCGTTTCTCTTCGTCAGCTAAAATAATTTAAAATGTTGACATTTTCTTAGTACATACAGAAAGTATGTACTAAGAAAATATCAAAATTTTACTTGTTATTTATTTTGTCCGAGCAGCACCTACCACCTCCGTGGAAAAAGTGTTCAAGTCGGACATGCCCCAACAGTTTGACCTTGTATTTATCAATCAGAACGGACGCACAAGTGCGTCCGCCCCACAAAGGGAAACGGGATGACACTTAGTCACATAATTAGATGTCATAATAATATAAATAGAAGACATTCAAATAAAACTTTGACAATTTAAAATGCAAAGCATCCGGAGCGACGGGCTTTTAACTATGTAAAAAAAAACTAATATATCGTGTTTAAACTGTTAAGGTATTTTATTTAAATGTGTACTACTCCCGTAAACTATAAACACTATTTCTCTACTTCTGTTTAAAGTCTTATACATGATAGCTTACTTTCAGGAAGTGGAGATGCAAGAAATTTTGAAGCGTCATCTACAACTCCTGTAACATATCAAAGTTTATGAGTTAGCGTATCGGGTTTATTTTTGTATCTGCTTTGATATCTATTGGTAAATCAAAAATCGCGTTATCCCTACCTGGCATAACCTTTGCATGTTCTTTCTTTGGTTTGGATTCTACCAAGGATGTAAATTTCTCTTTCAGACTCTCATAAAGCCCCTTTTCAACCTTTTCGGTCGCCAAACTCTTGCTTTGTTCAATTCTGAAATAAAACAAATATTAAATATTTTCGAACAAAAAATATCCGGGTATATTTTGTCTTACCGTCTTGCTCCATCATTGTACGACTGTTGGTAGCCTTGAATCGTACCCAATGGAGCGTCACCTTGATCCTTCATCAGATTCACCAAGTGCTGGAGTGCTTCTCCTAAATTTGCGATGATTATGTAAAATTAAGATAATACAGATAAATAATAAAGGTCTTAAAATAAAAAAAAAACATACCTTTTTCCATTCCAACTTTAGCTAAATGCTTAGAAGCGTCATCCATCGTAACTGAAATGAATATCCCTCGTTAAGCTTCAAGTTACTAATAAATAATATTATTCTATTTAATTATTTATTTATAAAAGGCTTACCAACTACAGTAATATATATAATAATAATAATCCTTACTACTTATGTATCTAACTTAAAGGAATGCGCAACTTTAACTAAATATATTAAATACAGATAAAAATAAACATGAGTGGAGTTGATAACTTAAAACATTGCCTGAATGAGTGAATTTAAACCATAATTATTATGTTTAAATTTTTTTATGTACTGAGGAAAATAGGTGATAAATCCACAATTAAATGATAGAACTCAAATACCAACAAACAAATGTAGAAGAGATGGGCAATCAATGTAATTACTTAACAACGCGTGGAGGCATGTTAACGGGCATATTAGCAGTGTTTCTATGTTGTTTAAAATTTAAATATATTTCAATTGTAGTTGTCACAATGGTTACAGAAACTAACTAAACTCATCATTTCACAATATTGATTTGTTCTAACCATTTATATCAGCAGCAAGTGCGGGCGAAAGTTTTGGTGGCACTCCTCTTTGCATTTCAGCAGATATCTTATACTGCAGTTCTTCAGCTTTAGGGTCAGATTCTAGGGGCCCTGAACATTTCAACCTTTCAAATACAATACCATATTAGCTTTAAAATTTTTAGTGTACACTTAAAATTTTAATCAAATATAAACTCACACATCAGCCCCGTCGGAATACGTTTGACCTAATGCTTTGTATTTGAAAAGTTTTCTCGTTCCCAAAGAGTTTTTCACGGCAGCCAAGAAATTAATAGGATATCGTTCACCAGCAACTCCACCTGGTAATAGTCAGTACAGGTGTATAAATACAGCACAAACAAGTGGTAATCGACCGTCATGTAAGTTCTGGCAGGATCGTTGGTCATAGCAATTTATAGCTTGTAAACAACACGTCATGGGTTGGATCCTCACCTGATCTAAATTCTTGATTTAAACTTATAATTTCCATCGGTTACAAAGCGAACGTCCACAAATGAATACACCGTAAAGTGTAAGCGCTTTTCGGTTTCAGTCTGTGGATTTCCGAACATCCAATGCCAAAATAGGTCGAGAGGACATCGTGGTAGATCGTTATATGGCTTTGGAATTTCATATTGTACCTATGAAGCGTACCCTATGCTTGTGTATTCCTCCATCATAAAAATATTATATTAACATAGCGGTGCCGAAATAAGATTAGTAAAATAAAAAGGAAATGGGCAAAGCTAGCCAAAAATCTTTTGGTCACATCAAGTAATGTAAAGATAAACGCAAAATATAACGGTTACAATGTCTTGGAAGTTACAAGCTAAAAAGTAGTTATTATTATCAAAAAGTTGTTTTGAATAGCTGAAAACAACAATATTTCAAAAAGCGTAGCCCAAGTAAAAAAAAGTTTTATTTGAAATCTACTCACTTCGTAATGCAACGCCTTGAGACAAAAATCTTGCTGCATCTTGGACTAAAGCTAAAAAAATAATCGAAGTTAGGTAATGAAGTTATTTTTTGGTATATCTAAACCAATTTTTTTTTACGTTAAACTTTGTAATTTCATCTTCCATGATTTTGATGACGTATAGGTCCCGGTAGATCAATTGGTTAGAGCACGGAACGCTGTGGATGCGGGTTCAAGTGGTGCCAGAGTTTTTTTTTTCAATTTATAAACGATTTTTAGTTTATAATTAAACTATACTAATTATATTTTTAAATAATTACCTTTCATTGCTATTTTTAAATTTGGCGGTGTGACCTTCTCCATGTCTTTATTTAGGTGCTCTTTAGCTTCATCCGCGATGTCTTTGATAGGCATAAACGGTACAATGAGGGGCGCAGATTCGATTCTACAATAAAAAAAAAAGAAAAATATAATAAGAATCCCTAAATAATAGATTTATGTTAATGTAGAGTTTTTTTCTTACTCTTTCACTCCCGTATCATAAGTCATGCCGTAATTAAGTCTCTTAGCAACGTCATTCTTCGGGTTGCTCTTCATCATTTGAATCAGAGCTTGCATTGCCTTTTCTGGTAAAAACGAATGGATTTTAAATAGAGTTAATCGCGTCAATGTCGTTTAAGTAGTTCAAAATAGGTACCTCTGTCTCTAACGAATGCGGACAAGTAGTTAGCGCAGCGTTCGATCACCTCTGAAAATAGAAATTGTAGTCTAGTAATTGTTAGTTTTTGATATTCATATTGGATTCATTAAAGTATGCAACGAATGAAAATGATTGTTATTGGTGGCATTATTTGTTAATTACTTTTATAAAGTCGATATTTTTCTCTACTACTCTTTAATTTTAAAAGAGAACGTACCATCCATATCTTTCTTCAAATTCTTTGGAGTAACAGTGTCGACAGCTTTATGCAAGGGGCCGAGAAAAACTGGTGCTGTAGTTGGATCCGGGGTAACACTCGTCAAACCAGGCGCCGACTTTAATCTAAAAAATTAATTAATTAACATCCCACACAGAATGAGCAGAATTTTATAAAGGCTTAGTTATGCGCGTGAGATTGGTTCAGATCATTTGGTTTTACCGTAGATGGAGAAAATGTTAAATAAAAATATATTACGTGTAAGCAGCGGCGAATCGTGTGGGCACAACTGGAAATTCTGGAGTAAAGGACTCGTGTCCGTGCTTCTCCAACTCCTTAATAAGAAGATCGAAAGCCGGACCGCGCTCAACTAAAAGAACGACACAATTTTTTGCATAAATACTTTTAAAAGTTAGGTAGTCTACAAAGAAAGATAGATTTTAAAAATACTTACTTTCATCTACAGCGCATTGTGATAGGTATTTAGAGCACAAGTCTAGGGTTTCTGAAAAAAAAAAAGATATTTTAAAATATTATCTGTAGTTTACACGAGTAGTACACATTAAAATCGGTTTAAAACGCAAAATATATTAGTTAAAGTTATTTACAAATTATTTTAACTACGGTCCGACGTTGCAGATGCTTTGCGGCAGCCGTGGTCACGGGGAAACCACCTGTATAATCATTATAGTGTTTTATTCAAAAAAAATATGGTTAGACTCTTGTGTTGTTCTTTCTTTACCTTTCATGTCTACTTTTAAATCAGCAGGTGTTTGACTCTCCACCAATTTAGATAGAGCATTGTGTATTTCTTGTGACAAGTTTGGGTCATCATGGTCGCTCTCTATACCTTTTGCCTCTTCTAGTCTATAGTATTATGTATTACAGTAAGTTATTCTTCGTAACTTTGGTTTAAAATATCACGACCAACAATAATTAAAAACCAAAATATATGAAATATCGAGCTTACTCTGTAGCTGCTTTGCCGTAAGTTCTCCTCGCTTTGCCCTTTTGATACAACTGTTGACTTCCTTTTGTTTTCATCGCCTTAACTAATAATTTAAATGCTGGTCCTTTGTCCTCTAAAATTGACAGATAATAATAATGTATCTATTTGAAAATACTAATTTTAACACTTCGTTTCTACCATACTTACTATTATATTCAGCATATTGGGCTAAATAGTTGCCGCAGATTTCAACCATATCTTAAATAAATTAGACATTTATTAGTTTGTAATATCCTCCAGCAAAAAGTAATATTATAAAATATTGCAGTTCACAAAAGTCAAACCTTTCATAAATGGCTTGAGGTTATTTGAAGTGTTTGGTTCCGCTACTTGAGTTAGATCTTTCTTAACTTGGTTTGCCAAAGTCGTGTTGAATTCAGTCGCATTGAAGTCTGTAGCTTCCTTTAATCTAAGAAGGTTTTCTATTAAATTTCCCTTTTTAACTCAATTATTACAAGACATTACGGAAGTTCGAAAAGTGTTACTCGCACCTGTCGCTAAACCAAGTCTGACGATATTTATAAATAGTGGTAAAAGTCTAAATTATATCAGTTCTCTCTCTTTCTCTCTTATATTCTACTGATTCTACTCACTCGTCTGCACCTTCTGAATAAGTGGCGTTGAACTTTCCGTGTGTTAATAAATGATCATCTCCTTTACTGTACATGGCTTCCGTTAGAATATTAAACACCTCCAACATTTCTCCTGTTTTCAAAAAAATATATTGAAACTAAAATATTAATAGGAAAACTAAATTATCATTCTCGAATGTACAACTTACCAGTAAATTTCAGATACGCAGGTAGTGCTGAAAATATTACGATAATTACCACAGTTGCAACGACTATACTCATTTAAAAATTTTGAGTAGCAAGTTTTTATTTAAAATATACAAACTAAGTACTAAAACAGTTATTAAGTAAATATTATTGGTACCCACGTAATTTCAGCAGGCCGCCCTGAAAAAGAAAATATATATTATAGGTATAAAGTACATAATAGATATGTTGTTTAATCCAAACTAAAAATAGTCCAAATATTCATCTTTCATTCTAAACAAATGAACACTCATAAGGCAGAAACTTTATTATTTATATTTAATTATTTCCATAAATTAGAATGAAAGATGCTTCAGACACAAATGTGTTTTAATAGGAAAATTTTATTACCTTGATGCGTGTTCATTTGAATGTAACCAGTGTGTTAATGAAAATAGCTCGAGAATTTTACTTTTTTTTTATTTTGTAATTAAAGCAAGTTATCGTGAAAGGTTTTGTCAAGATTGAATAGATTCCATAATTATTGGCCTAATCGTTTCAAGTTGGCGCTGTTGGTTGAATTTTTGGATGGACTGTTTCTAAGGTATTATTTGAATCTTTTCCCAAGTTATTACGCAGACCAAAGAAGCCGATTTCGTTACGGTCCTGGCAGGGTAGATAATAAAAATAATTAATGGCCGTCTTTAAAAACTTTAAACACCAAAAATTCTCTTCAAACGTATTATAATCCACAGCTAAACTATGAATACTTACGTCTCCTCCCATCATATTGAGGAAGTCATCAGCAAACCCGGCATCGCCTGCTTCATCGGCTTCTACGAGGTCTGTGAAGAGTACAAGGAATTATAATATATGCTACGTTTAATCAAGTACCCTACTTTTTCATCGGCTATTTACGGAATTTTAAATTGGCGTTCACATAATTTCATTTTGATTTAGCTCCATTACCATTGTCTATTCCTTTTGAATGCTAGTTTTTGAAGCCTTGGGTGTTGTTGCAGCAGAACCGGCGGGAGACATGCTAATCGCCGAGCTCGTACCTTCCGAGGGAACCTCAGACGCTGTTTCTTCTACCGCACTCTTTTCCACTTCTTTATTAATAAAAAAACATACCTTTCAGCATCGTCCCTCTTTCAATAAATATACGGTTCGAAATTTATTTTTTAAATATAGTCCGTGTGGCAACAAAAAGGGACAATTTCATCGGACATCTTACCTTGACTGCAAGGATAGTCCATTTTGTTGAAATAGCAGCAATTATTCAAACAGATATCTCACCTTCGTCTTCGTCGAAGTCCATCATTAGCATCCTGTCTTCAGATTCGCAAAGTATCTCATCAATCCACACGGCGACCTGTAATTATCGTTTCTTTAGTAAACGTGTGACTGTCTGTAGTTTACGTGTAGTAAAATAATTCTCAAACAAGTTAAACTAAAATATATCAATTCTGACGATGTTTGTAAATGCTGGTAAAAGTCTAACTATATCAGTTTAATCTACCGATTCTACTCACTCGTCTGCCCCTTCTAAATAACTGGCGCTGAACTCCGTTTTAAACCGTTATAGTGTTTTATTTGAAACGTGAGACTGTCATATAAATTATGAAATCATTTCCTAGAAGATGCATTAAGTGTACTTTAGCTAAAGTAGACTTATTCATACAATTATTACAAATATTGGTCAGTGGTGACAAAACTTATAATAAAAATTAGTGGAATTTTAGAGTAGCGACAAAATGGCTTTTAGTTTAGTTTGAAAACGTTTTTGGTATGTTAAACGAATTAGCTGTGAATTTTAAATATTGAAGTTCCCTCCGAGTGACGACCATACAACCGACGAAAAAGTCGTAAAGTTTCTTTCGCGTCTTGGTTTCAGTCTGTGGATTTCCGAATGTCCAAAGTCAAAGTATGTTGACAGCGTATATGATAGAGGTATTTCATCTTCCATCAAGTGATGCCAGTCCATCCTCTCTCTTTCATAAAAAAAACTACAAAAAAACGAACCTTATCCGCCATTTCCATCATGAACTTAGCTTTGGGATGTGTCGACCGTCTCGAAGGCGGTCTCGTATGCATGTATGAACACAGGTCTTCTAAAATTATGTTCGACAACCGTAACATGCTAGTGAAAGAAACAATATATCAATGAATTTTTGTTTTACTTGCCATAAACATTGATGGGCAATAATACAATAAATCATACAGTTTATCAAGTTCCGTATCGATATTAGATTGTAAAAAAAATAATGACATGGACATGACTTGAACCGGCACTCACAGCGCTGTTGCTCTACCCAATCGTGGCACGGTATTGGCACGGTAGCTCAGTTTGGTCAAGCAACAGCACGGATGCGGGATCAAGTCCTGTCCATGTTGTAAATTGTTTTAAAGCTAAAATCGTTTTTTCAATTTATATGTAATCAGTAATAAGCCAAATGTGAGAATACTATAGAGTTCAGTATTGTCTTTAAGACGTGTAAGTTGCTAGTCGCTATCACACGTCTATGTATTTTTAAGGAATAAATACTTAGAATTACCCATCCGCAAGTGCATATGACCCAGGTTTGGAAAGCCGTTGCTGAATGCCTCTCGCGAAAGCCACCGTGGCATTTCGCGCCCAGACGAACCTCTTATCGCCACACAATGCCAGAATATCCTTCTTAATCTGATTAACCTTCATCCTATCCAACGTTTAAATCAAATCAAATCAAATCAAATCAAAAATCATTCATGTAGGTAGCTTAGTACACTTATGAACGTCAAAACGGGTAAAAACTTAAGACTCTAAATTTACAGTTACTACCAGTTCCCAAGTTAGGGCGTAGAACGAACGAGAAGAACTGGCAAGAAACTCGCCGCCACTCCTTTTAACTGCCAAGTTTTTATTACATTTCCTTATAGTCCTTACGCACTCATTGTGTACATTTCTTCCTTGATAGAGCGGGTTCCTCCATAGCCCAAGCATTTTTATCATTTAAATATTCATTTACGTTATAATAACCCTTTCCAAGCAGTTTTTGTTTAACAAACGATTTAAACTTACTTATTGACAGCGTTTTTACTTCACTAGGGATGATATTAAAATACCGTATGCAGTTACCTTGAAAAGAATTACTTAACCACCTTATTATACGTGATCCACTCTTTAATTTTGCTATTGCGAACTTACGTGGTCCCCTTCTTCTTGGACTTCTTGAGATTAATAAAGTATTCATAAGCTTGCTCTGGTTTGAAGGGCTGATCTGCGTCTAACATCGTTCGTAGTCGAGCAATCTTAAAAAAAAGAACTTTATTATAGAAAGCTTCACGTCATTCACTTCTCCAATGCATTGTAATCCTAAAGTTGTTGCTAGTTCTATTCCTTCACTTTGAAGAAGAGAAGAGAACCAATATTTAACGACGAGCAGAGGATAAACAAGCATGATGGTAAATGAGATACCCCTTACGCCTAATTGCATTTAAACAAGATGCCCCGTCCCGGAAATCCATAGAATGCAACCGAAACACGATTAAACTTTACGACTTCTTCATCTCTGGGCCGTGGTTCGTGAACCCGTACGGTACGGAATTTCGATATTCCTCCTACCATTTAATATCCAGACATGTTTCAGAAAATTGTAAACTGTTTAGAAAAATTTCAAATCCGGTGGGGATCTAACCCACGACCACGACAATCAGACCTATACATCGTCTACAGTGCCCTACAAACGTTTTGGCCGGGCTGAAGTAAACTCGGACGGTTGCGCAGAACGCAAAAAGCAGGTAACAGTTGCAACAAAGCGGGTGCGCGGAGGATGACTCGATTTTTTGCTTAAAATTGACGGTAGGTACCATGTGCAAGATGGCGGTCGCGCCAACTTCAGCCCGACAAAAACTTTGGAGAGAACTGTAAGTAGGTATGAATCCTAACTATAGGTACATGGTATGATTTAAAAAAGAGATTAACTGTGTCCGCTGGGAGAGTATGTGCATATTGCCGCCACAAATAAATGATGCTGCGAATTGGAGGCTTGGACATCCGCTCCAGTCTGTCTGTGAGCACAGCACCGTGACGTCGTAGGCACCGCGCGTGGGCTCTTGCAGCGCGTCGTGATAGTTTCACATCAGTAGCCTTTGGTCCTCTATGGTAAAGGAATATAGTGTACATGTGTGAACTCTATAACTTTACTAATATATAAAGGTGAAGAGTTGAACGCGATAACCTCAGAAACCGCTGGTTCGATTTGAAAAAGTATTTGTATGTTGGTTTGAGCATTTTATAGCCTTCCTCTGTAAATTATGGAGGAACATAACTGCGACATAGAAGCGAAGAAACAGTGAAAATGTGGAACCAACGAGGAAAATTTTTCATCTTTGAGAGTTTCCGTTGCGCTGCGAAAATGGTTTCAGATACCCAAACATATGTATGAAAGAAAGATTCCTATTTCTAAACAAAAAAAAAATGTTCCTGACAGTATATATGTTTATCTTTTAAGATTAACTTACAAGAACGACGGTAGCCAACCAACGTCGTGGATTATAGCTAAAATTTAAAAAGAGGGGAGAGAGATTTGCAAAAGCGAATTTTTTCGCCCAAAATAACTATTCTACGCGGACGAAGTCTCTAGACTATTTTTTATTAAGATTAAGGGCCATTTTTTTCGTAACCGTTATATAGAGCGTATTATATTATAAATAAGCCGTGCTCATATGCTACAAATATTAAGGTGTTATTAACGTGGTGTCACATAAATAGTATTTTTTTATTAGTCCAAAAAAATTAATGAAAAATATTCAACCTAAAATGATCTGAATGCATACTGTAAGCTCATTACAGTAATAAAAGCGTACCTACTATTTATCTTGTTTAAGTGAAACACTTAAAACGCGAAAAATATTGCTTTACTCTTAATCTAATGCAACGCATACGCAACGTCAGGACAGAGTTACATAAATTAAAAGTTAATTGATATATATATATATCACGTTTGATACTGTATATTGTTTTGTTGTTTTTTTCCAAATACCTGCGACTATATAATATGCAGATAAATAAAATTAGTAGATATTGAATGGCCACCTACTTAGGCTTAGCTGGTTTTGGCGGTGGTCTTACGGTCTCTTTTGGCAATGATTTATGCTGGACTCTTAAATCTCGACCTGCCAGAATTGTATCGGCAACCGAAGGCGGAACCGATTCTGTGGCATAGGGCGGGTAAGGAGGGAATCCGCCGGGAGACTCTGCAGCTGGAGTTGCTGTAACACCAATTAGGTAAGACTTCTTAGTTAAGTGTGTAAACACCTTAAGTTATTTACTGTTAGTTGAAGACACAGTCTTGTGATTGTTACCATCTCCCATTTCAGAAGCCGGCATTTCACTTGGAGCGTAATCTGTAGATGGCGCGCTATCCGCCATTTTTGTTTAATAAAATTCTCAATTTCGTGAAAGAAACAGTCCTTTTATTGTAAAAAGCGATGCACTCGGAGTGAAATATTAAATTTATTCCGAGGTTACGTGCTGTAGTTAGCTGAACATTTTCAAGAATGGCATTAAGCTTATTTTTTAATCGTCACTTTTATTACGAAGTTCTATCAGCCAGTAAAATAGTCTTAACGCTATTAATAATTGAACATAAAGTATATAATATGTCTGTATTTTTGTTACATGTGGACACATAATCAATTTCTAATAGAAATTAAACATTTTTGAGTCCTGAATTAAGTCATTATTATTACTTACTACATGGGTTGTTACTCGTTAAAGTAGTTAGAGAAATTGTTCAAAAAATTCGTCAACACTGGCTGTTCTGTTGCCACAGGCTATCACATCGTTCAGCTACCACAGGCAGTGACAACGATTGTCAATTCAAGTTGTCAGTTTTAACTCGAATCGTATAAGCAGTGCGTATAAATTTTGAAGTGTTTCTAAACTAACTAAAACTTGTTATATTATTACTTCTAGTACCGTTTGTTTTATTCAATGTGCTCTATAATATAATTGAACACAGACTCCCAATTTTTAGATAACGTTATTAGGGAGTGTTGAGGCAAAATGCAGAAAAATGACGGTAAAATTGGAATATGATACTATGTATTAAAATTAAAAGTTTTGATGAAGTTAACACTTCCTCACTCGTAATTTATACGCTTATTTGGTTTATTTAAAATATCTTTTGTTAAGTAGCATACTGGTGCGTATCTAACAATTAACTTATATTTGATTTTCCAGTTTGTATGTCAATAGAACTTCCATATAAATTATATAAAGCTGATGCCGGAGGGTTCAAATTTAAACTACTTCCGAAAAAAGAGCTCCACGAACATGATTGTCAGCCTGCGTTTCATCTTATTTCAAAAGATTGTCCACATAATAGCCTTTATGAGGTCAGTAATACAAAATTTTATTAAAATGTTGAGCAATAATTAGTCATTGAGGAAAACGTTAAAATATTCTGTTATCAAGTTACACAGGATGGTGTAAGGGTTTATTTAAGTTTTAATTATACAAATAAAACTGATGTATATAGTTTTACTACCCTTTTTTATGTTTGATTTTTTATATTACTTTTCAGCTTTTATAAACATAATTCTTGTAATTATAATTTAAATTTGAACATAAGTTGCAGCTTTTTAAAAAGATCAGTAATAAATTCAAAATTACTTTTATAACAAGGATCCTGTGTGTTCTTACAGATAAAATTGGACTTTGAAAATAGGAGATTGTATATAACTACCGGAGAAGGTGTTGCTACAAACTTTGCATTACCAAATGAATTAATGGGATCAGAGGAAAAAGATATGTGGTTGTCATATTATAACGAAGATATTCTTTTAGGAATGGGCAATAAAACATTTTTTGTGTACCCAAGAAATATTACAGGTGGTAATTCAGCAGATCAATTTATTGGGTATATAAAATTTGAAACAAATTATGGATTTGAGTGGATAGTCCGTGGTAGGTACCATAACCAAATTTACTTAATAGGGATTCTGTGTTCTGCTTTTAATAAAAGTAATATATATCAACCAATACTAAAAGAAAATATTTAGGGTTTTATAGACACTCTTCAAATTTTTCTTTATTTTAAAATCATGAGCAAGTTATACCAAACTTCAACTAATGTAGATTTTTTTTACTATTTTTAGAAGCACCACAAGTTTATAATACTCCTAGTGTTTCGATTGCTATAAATGAGACGGAAAATTTGCATTGGCTGGCTCTTGACCAAGACCAAAATTTACCAAAGAATGCTTTAATTGGAGGATTTGAGAATACTCCTTTATATATAGCTAGAGCAATGTATTCTGGCTCTTTGTGCCCAGGAAAATATGTTCCAGAGGAAAAAAAAGCTTATGTGCCTTGGGGTGGTAGGTCACATGAGAAGAGCAATTTTCAGGTAATTTTCAAATACTCCAAAAATAACACTTTCGGGTTCAATCTCAATCTTCAATCTCAGTTCTTTACTACGACAAAAAATTTCTCTGGTACTTTTAAAGTTCACAAACATAAATAGCAAGTAAATATTTGAAAAAGCCTTTTAGAAGAAATCCATTAAAATTGATATCTTTTCTTTTCTAATCCTACAAGTTAATGGTAAAATTGACTGTACTATGAATTTTTTCCCAGATTTTATGTGGACATAACGCAGACTGGATATTATGTAAGGATGATAATATTCCAGAAAATGCTTTCATAGCTGGCACATCGGAAATACATAACGAGCCTCTCTACATTGGTAGAAGTTTTGTTGACTATAATTTAATTGTGGGCAAAGTTCATATGTTGTATACATCATGCTATTTACCATTCAATGGTGATGAAGTACAAGTAAATGAATATGAAATTTTAGTTGATTTAAGTGTTAAACCCAAGGGAATACCTTGTCGTGGTAAATGTAAGGTGAATCTGACTTGCAAAGATATATCTTGTATATAAATAATTATAAAAATCTAATTATACATTTTTAAAGTTTAAGTTATAACTTAAATAACTTTGTAATTTCACCTTCAATGATTTCTTAAGCTGCAAAGCATAAGATGTTGAAACTTAATACACAAGTGTTAAGGTTGAAATTACATTGAACGATAGGTGCATGTATCAATAAGTTGAAAAAATTCGACGATGAGATGTAGGACTTGGTAGCTCAATTGGTGGAGCAACAAAAAAAAATGCTGGTTTAAGGCCTGCCCGAGTTGAAAATTTTTTCAATTTTTAAATTACATATAGTGCCTTCATGTGCAATAACATGTAAAAAATAATAAAGTTTTCAATTGTATATAAATTGTTTTATTATTTTGTCATTGGATTTATTACATATTATGATTGCCTGATATTGCACGCCTTTCATCTCTTACTAAAATATATAACATCGATTTTAAAAAATAATTCTTTGTTAAACTTATTTTTATTATCTGTAACTATGACCCCAATGTCTCCAATGCTTTGCAAAAGCCTGCTCTGCGTGAACATAGAAGTATTTTATTTAAATCTTCACAAGTTGTTCAATTCATTAACTATCATCATATTCTTGGTAAGTTTCACAGTTGACTACAGGTGTTACTATGCTATTTGTACATCTCGGACTAGAATATGGAGCAACTAATATTTCGTAATTATTTTCATAAACTGTGTCATTTCCATAAGCAAAGTAGCACACACTATGTGATGGGGCGACCTTTCCTGGTATTAAATGGCCATCTCGAACTGCGCGGCCTATATACATAACTTCTGCACCAGCATATTCAGTATATCCAGCTGGAAATGCTCCCGAGGGAATGACGTTATTTGCAGTAGGCACCCATAGGCAATCATGCATACATAGTATCTGAAAAAAAAAATTGTAATGGTAATACTGAAAATTACAGACAGGCTGCAACAATTATTGTAAGCATAGTCCCATACCTCAAAATCAGTTTTCACATGACTCTCCGAACCCCATGCCACAAAACCGCATCTCATTGATGGAACAAACTTTCCTGGTGTTAGAGATCCTTCATGTGGTGCTCTCATAATGTACAGAAACTCATTCTCATAACCACCTAATAGAGCACCATATGGCAAGATCCCATCATATTGCACCCAATATGGTTTACCTCCTATTATAGGCTTTAAAGTAGGTCTCTCTACTTGAGGAGGTACTGAAAAAATATAAACGCAAAAGTTTAAAAAAGGGCCAGATCTTGAAAGGCCAAAATAACATGTTTGAAACAAACTGTTTATAAGCTCCAAAATCAATACTTAAGTGCAACTCACATAGAAATTTCCAATCTATACTAACATCATGATTCAATTCTGAAAATGTTACAAATTGTACTTCCTTCTCTATGCTACATTCAATGGAAAAGATGGGTGTTGTTTCACCAAATCTACTAAGTTCAATTTTCTTTCCATACCAAGTCAGCAGAAATTTCTTATATTCATTATTATTCAGGATGTTTGGGGTATTTACTGTAACAATATCTTCATCAAATTCTTTCACACCTGTGTTTTGATCGTAATCATCAATAAAGATCTGAAATTTTTACATAACAAGTATTAAAATAAAAAGAATGCTTATATTCTGCCTAAATGATGCAAATCCTATGAAAGACAGTAAATTAGGTAAAACCATTTGAAAAGAAGAGTTGTAAAGCATTCTGGCTACTACATACTATATCTACATGTCTTATGATAATAACAGGTTTTATTTTTTTTCACTTCAACTTTAAAAACCGGTTAACAACCTGGGAAGTCCAAACAGAATAATTGGTTAAGGAAAACCTGACAATAATAAAAAGCCATTCCATGATAACCTATGGTTTTTAGTTACGATATTAGTAAAAGTTGTTAAGCAATTATGTTCTTTTAAGTCCTACCCAATGATGAATTGAAGAATAGCCAGGACAACTTGCTAGTCCAATGTAAACATTTTCAGGTGCTCGGACTGAGAAAACTAAACACTGGCTGGAAAACTTATAAAATCTTCTACCATGTCGAGGCACTGTAGTATACTCTGCAATATAACTTAAACACATTAAATTTCTAACATACAATTCATTAGATTCTCAAGTTTTCTTTTTAGATCTTACCAATTAATTCACCCATATTAAACGTTTAAATTTCAAATCACAATTGCATACGAATTGTTCTTATTTTTAAAAAAAAATAAGTTACTAAAGTAAATTAAGCACTTTTAAGACACATAAACTATCGGATGCAACTGGCCGCTGTCCAAAGAATGTAATATTTACTATGAGCGACTGTCAACCGGCCGTAAGTGATCTCCACTAGATTCTGGTAATCTTAGTGGGAGTGCGTTTCGTATTTTTATGACTTTGGCATCTTATTGTAATATTTTACTGATGCTGTACCCACAGATTAATAGTTGTGTTAAAGTCCGACTGACAAACACTAGTCAAGTATAATACGGCCGACGTAACTTGTCAAGTCCGATCTTAGCGCGAAACCGCCAAAATTGTTTTAGGTGTTAATGAAAGCGAGGTGCGCGGGGCAGAGATCTAGAGATTGACTCAATGTCAATACAATCGACCGTTTATTCTATCCAATTTCGTCATCGATTTTTATCGATTTTGATTATGAATTTTTAATCGTATGGGATATTGTAGTAAATTCATTTATGAGCACAGCGAATGGTGTTAATAATATATTCAATTATGTCTATTTCAATAGGAATCCATTAAACGGCACTCTCAAGGAACAAGTATAGACATCTCTATTGGATTATTTCGTAAAGCTTCGTACATATTCGGTAATATCCGGCAAACAGTAGTGTGTCTCATTCAATCCTTGGAGTTTATTTCGTTATCTTTGTTTTGAGCGCAGTCCGTTAGAAAAGTGATTGTTTATTGTTAAATTTATTTCTCTTTTGTTACATTTTTGTTTTGTCTCTGTATTTTAGGTGAAAGATAAGTGTTCGTAGTCTATCAATCAATTATTGGTACGTTACTTTTGCTTGCTATAGGTAAATTCTTTCATTTATTCTATTAACGAAAATAAATGGCAGTATTAGTTTTCTTTACGAGTGTACATGCGCCAAATTTCGTCTAACCTACGTTCAGACTTGCCAAGTTACCTCGGCCGTATTATATGCATAATTCTAAGAAAAACAGCTGTCAAGTTGTTATTGTTATTTTTCGTTTGTGTTTTGTGTCTGACTGAAGAACTTAAAATAATATTATGGTAATATCCTAAATATTAAAAGGGCTGTAATTGATAATTAAAACCATGAGTGATATCGTTGGTAATATGTCATATATAATATCTAAATAATGAGTCAATATGATTCATTAATTGATTAAAATACACGTTGGTGGTTTCCAAAAATATACAATTGTTTTTCAGAAATTACTACTTTGCCGGCGCATCGAAATATATTTTATAAAATAACTGGAAATGGTCTAATCTTTCTTGTTAAGAGTGGAAATAGGAGTGACGTAGCTATCGGATTGTCTAAGCAACTTCATCGGACCTGTAATTATTGGGTAAGCTATTATGAAAAAACATATATTATTTTGTTAATCCTTCTATTATAGTTGGGATATACCTGTCAGATGTAATGAAGTAAAATTAAAAAACTGATAGAACTGTAGGTTAATTAAGTGACTATGGAATCTTGATGTCAACTGAACTACATAGCTAAAAAGGATTTGTGTTTACGAAGAATTTTAAATATCTTACAGATTTATATTGAAGACGGTCACACTTGGATCAAGTGTTCAGAGCAGGATCGGTATCGCTACAATGCACAGTACACACCAAATCTATTATCAGACACAGAATTTACCAAGTTTTGGCTCAATTGGGATTCAAGGGGTTTATTTTTGGGTAAAGTCGGTGACCCTACACCTATAGTAAGTGAGAAAGATGTTAATTGTGCTGACATCAAATACATAACTTTTTCTGGTTGTGAGACAAGAGTAAATTGGAAATTCAACTGTAAGTACATTTAACGTTGAACCTCAGATATATCGAACCCCTGAACGACAACCATCAAGACACATAATGAAATTTAAACATTACATACTTACTTTCTTTCCCCCCTCCTTTTTTTTTTTTTTTTTTTTTTTTTTTTTTTTTTTTTTTTTTTTTTTTTTTTTTTTTTTTTTATATTGTGTCTCTTACACTAATTTGATAGAATAAAAGAAGGGTTTTTTAAAAAAAAATTTTTTTTTTATTAGATTTTTTGGTTGGGAAATGTTCCTAAAATGCATCTGAAAATTTAGCCGCAAATTACAAAATTGTAAGGACCACCAATGTCCGTCAAAATTAATTCTATATTCTGTCCCAGGTTAAGGAACTGTTTAAGGGCTGATGGTAAAAATATATTTTTAATATTTATAAGCAATCATATTTCATTCCAGTACCTCCCCAAATACATAGACCAGCATTAAGAGAACTCAGTACAGGACAACCCCAGTGGGTGAAAGCGACCGACCAGTTGCCAGATGGATCCTTTATAGGGGGCTATGAAAATGAATTTTTGTACATCATCAGATCTCCACACAGGGGTTCACTTACTCCTGGAAAATTTGTGCCGTCTTTGGGCCTAGGTTTCATATCTTGGGGAGGATCGTCTCATGAGAAGAGTGAATTTGAGGTGAGAATTGTAATATTTGAACTTTTTTGTGCTGTATGGCTAAAAATTTCTTTTTAAAATAAGTATTGAATTAATATAATTAAGTAAAAATAATAGCTAGTAGTAGCCGGTCATTATTTAAGACAGTATATAAAACTAGCTGTGTCAGCGACTTCGTACGCATAGTCATTTTGGGCGTCAACATTTGTTTTAGATTTTGTCTCATATATTATGAATTATAGCTTATCTTCGCGTCCCGTCGTGGGTTTGTGCAAGTAAATATTAAAAGATCATACTGTTGCATTTTTATAAATAATAATCTAATGTGGAATCTTTCTTACTATATCTTATGAGTAAGTAAGTACGTTTGTTCTATATTTTTCACTGGACCCAGCGTAACGTTTTATAGCCTTTCTTGATAAATGCTCTAACCAACGAAAATATTTTTTTAATTTGAACCAGTAGTTCCTGAGAATAATGTGTTCAAACCAACAAACTTTTTAGCGTTATAATATTTATATAAAGTAACAAATTGTTTGCAACAGGTTTTATGTGGAATTGACTGTCAATGGGTCCCAGCCAATGGGGAATCCATACCTGTCACAGCGGTAGAGGCTGGCTATTCAGAAGGTCATGACTCTGGACCGTTGTATGTGGGAAGAGCAAAGCACGAAGGTCATATCATACCAGGGAAGGTTCAACCTACACATAAGGTCTGCTATATACCCTATGATGACCGGGAGATAGCGAAATCTGAGTACGAGGTTCTGGTCTTACCTTTCAGTAATAAGCATGCTGAGAATCGTGTATTCGCCACGATAGCGCATGGCGAAATAGCTGATGAAAATACGGACGCAGAAAGCGTAGATTTGTAATGTGTTTATAGTGATGATAAAATTTTAAATCCTAAGTCCAAAGCTTTACTTACTTATTACAGATTTTTAATTTAAAAGTACATTTTAAATCTCATCAATTTAGCTAAGAATCATTTTGCAAAATATTAAATTGATTGTATCAAAATCTTGACCTCCTCCGGAGTTCCTTGTTTAACTTAAAAGAAGGAGGTTATCAATGGATGAACACAGCTAGAGATTTCAATTTCCAACAACTATTTTCATCATAATTGGTTTTAGTTAAAAAAAACGAGAGTATTGTTTGTATCTTACTTAAATAAAACACTCTTAACGGCTTAAAATGTGATAACAGCAGCGATGATTAATTTTCACGTTTTAAACCGTAAGAGTGTTATGTATAAATGTGATAAAAATATATTAATTTATAAATAAGGGCATTTAATATATGACGTTGTGAATAAAAAGTATATGTATTGTTGCAACTTTTGAATAAATAAATAATAAAATACTTTTTTATGAAAACGAGGCTTTTTTTATTTAGATACCTATTCAAATAAATTTGTCTGTACGTGACAAAATGACTTTCATTATTTTATCCAGTGTTTTATTTAACACTAGCTGTGCTCGCGACTTCGTCCGCGTGGATTAGTGACTTGGGGTAGAATTTTTATTTTATTTATTAAGTATTAATTATTTTACACAACACTCTCACTAATCATTCCTACACTCACCTCCACTCCCATCCTATTCCAAAAACCAGCAGAAAGTTTCATTGTTCTAGCTTAAAAAACCCACGATTTCCCATAAAAACTTTCTCCCTTTTTTTTTCCCCCCCCCCCCCCCCCTATGGCAAAAAAGCCAGCCTTTCTCGTTAATATTTTTTTTTAAATCAGTTCAGTAGTTTCGGAGTTAAAGCGGGACAAACAGACAGAGTTACTTTCGTATTTATAATATTAGTATAGATTGTTCTCGTGTAAACTACAGAGAGCACAGTGTTGTTCAACTGCTGGACTGAAATTATGTAAACCGACTTGTTAATAAAGAGTAAATGAATTAACACGTTGAAAATAATTTATTAAAATATAATTAATTGCATTGTTAATATAATGCAGATGCGATACATAACTTACTATATAATTTATAATTTAGTAATTGCATTTAAAAGCTCTTGGGTAGCTAAAACAGTGCTCAATATTACGTCGCTTAAGCCATAAGAATTTCGTACTCGGGGAAACCGAGTTCTTGTCCCGCAAAGGGGATGTAGCAAACGCCGTGCGTTTGCTGCACCTTGCCGGTCGTGATGCTGCCTTCGTGACGGACCCTGCCGACGTAAAGGGGCTCGCCGTCTTCTGATTCGCCACCTGGGAACGCTCCAGGTGGGATGTTTGAACCGCTTGTTGGCACCCAGTTATTGGATCCTCCAACGAGAACCTGTAAATATTATATGAAGGGATTAGTGTTAATCGTGTACAACATACGAGCTTCTTGGTTTCTATAAATCACTAGCTGGCCCACGACTCGACCTACGACATCGTTCGTCGCTCTTGTGAGTTAATCTTAAAAGGTAAGTATATAATGTTGCGGACATTTTATTAGATCATTCAAAGAGGAATCATTCTTTTATCCACATTTTTTGGTTTCCTGAACTGATTGATTTTCTTCGTTTTTTTTTAAATACGAAGAAAATCAATGCTGCAAAGCATCCGAAACGTCGGGCCGAAGTTAAAAATAATTTTCAAATAAGTTTAACTAAAATATATCGCGTTTTAAACCGTTAAAGTGTTTTATTTAAATGTGTACTACTTGCATAAACTATAGTCAGTATTCTTCGGTTGTTTTTTCACATGGGAAATGTGAAAAAAAAAAACGAAGTTCTGTTCCTTTGCTCCTGTTGGTCGAACGCTGACGTTTTATAAACTAAACGATCCAACCATCCCAAAAATGTCAATTCGACTCAGCAGTTCTTGAGATTAGCGCGTACAAACAACAAACATTAACCGCTCTTGGCCGATTTCCAATTTTCATAAAACTCAATGCACTAAATCTACACAACACTTACCTGGTACTGCTGCTTTCCATTTTCCACACCTCCCCATGGCACGTAAGCGCACTGGTGTGAAGCAGCAAGTTTTCCAGGCAGCATTGCACCTTCGTGTTGTGCTCGGGCCACGTACAGCGGTTCCCCGCTACAGTCCTGTCCTCCGACTACTGCGCCAGGGGGTACTTGGCCAGAACAAGCGTCAACCCAAACTGCGCCACCGGCTGCTGGTGGTGCTCCACCTGGGTAGCCAGGGGGAGGAGCATATAAAGCTGCCGCAGATGGAGCCGAAGGTGGTACTGTAAGATGCAATTTAAATTATTATTATTATATTATACAATTACAAAGATAATAGCCATGGTCAATGTTAGCACAAAGAAGTCGATTAATAAGCGATGCATTCATCCGAACAAATAAAATAATCGGAAATGTAATATCGAAACACATCGATTAATTTGGCGTAACCCAAACCAAAAAGTTGATAGAAGAAAGAATTAAATTATCGAAAGAGATGAAAGGCAACAAAATCGTACATTGCGGAAAATAATTGTTGTGTAATGTGCGTTATGTGGACAGAAGCTTTGAAAGCCGACACAAAATGTACCCAACATACCACTGAAATATCGTACCACGCTCACGACGTGCGTTATCAACACATTCATAACACCAAACGGGACGTTTCTTAGTCTACCTATACTTATGTTAGAATCAACACACGTTTTGTATAACATTGTGATTATAATTATTCCATCGCAATCTAGAAACAGCAATACATTAAAGCGGCATTCCTAATTAAGATAACACTCAACGGGGTTGCTGGATGCCGTCTTTGTTGAAATGAACAATTCGCCAATTGCCGCGGGCGCCCCAACCCGTGCGTACGCCGAAGTGCGTGATAGGGAACGGCGAGGGATCCACCCAGTCCATCACAACTTGACCGGTCTTTCCGTCCCGAACAGAAATCCTTCCACATCGCCATTCAACGATATACTTTCTAAAGTCGTTCGCATTCATTAGACCCGGCGTCGGTACAGTCACCTACGGTAAGTAACAAGGATTAATCCCGAATCAAGTTAACGGAATCCATTCCAACATCACCTCAGTTCTACCTTTTCAGGTTTCTGTCTGCAATATCTGATAACGGATTGGCTGTTCTCCCATCCGCCAAGGATAATTTCGTAGATGGGATCGACTTCGGCCGGTGCAGATGTGAGACAAACATGGCAGTTGTGGGGACCACGAAAATCGAATTCAAGGGAGCCGGCCGCTACTGGACCGAATTTGTACTGTAAGTTGTCTGGAGTGTCGAACTCGGCTCCATCTGTATAAATGTTTAGGGCCTCTACAGTTCATGTAAACAGCACAGACACATGTAATGTAGTCTTAAGGTACGCCACTCAAGTGGTGCTTTTTTTAATGACAGTTCAGTTGGGTACATTTTGCAAAAGGTTTTAATGATACACACCTTCAATTTTCCACGTGCCAGTGGCACCCCAGCCGGTGGATACACCGACAAAAGCCACAGGGAAGGGTTCCGGGTCTGACCAAGAGATGAAGGGGATAGCTTCGCCTTCTCGTCCCGCGGAGATGATGCCACCGTCCCAACGCACCCAGAAACCACGGAATTCACCTCCGTTCACGATGCCGGGCGTTTCAATTTCAACCTTGTCGGGTTTTGTTCTATTTCTTCTGATGACGCTCTTTGTGTTTCCCCAACCGCCGATGAATACCTGTAATAATAAGTCGGGAATAGGGGTGTAACAATATGTGTCAAGTTTTAAATAGTACAACTCACTTAATAGCTGTCCTATTCGAGGTAATTTTACTAGGAAATAAAGTTAACTAACCTCATACATGGGGTCGGATTCTTGGGGACCCATTGTGAGTGCGACGTGCGCATCATTAGGCGTCCTGACCTTGAACTGGACAGATCCACTGGATACAGGGAAGAACTGGTACTGGAGGTTGTCCTCCGTTGAAACATCTGAGAATTCAAGGAGATGTTAAACAATTAAGTAAAGGTGAGGTAAATGTAAAAACATGTAACTTATCATTTATTATATAAATATCGTATAGAGTAGAAAACTAATATAAACCATATACCATATCAGTGATCTTACTATTGCCTCTGTTGCGTGCTAAATATTATATAAATTATATGACTATGTCCGTTTCCCACGACATATCCTGGGTTCGAATACCGGGGAAACAACAGACTATTATAGTCGAGCAATGCACAGAAGTGTAATCAATGAGTTGCCTGTAAATAAAACCAATCAATAAAACGGAAACAGAAATGTGTTTGTCCCATGCCCCACGAAGGAAAACGGGATTTCTCTTTCTTGTACTTGTTTTGTTTAATATGACATCTAGTCGAGAATGGGTGCCAGTCCTATATATCTACAACGTGATGTAGCATGTAGCAGGTATATAACTATCTTTCACTACGTGCAGAGACTTCCGACGTGCAGTTAACGGAATAAACATTGTATTGTTTCCGTTCAATTTGCTGAATTGAATTCAAAGTACTACAACGTTAGTTCCCAAGTACTAATGACTTCAAATACGTATATTATAATTACTATAACTATCGCCAATGATCTCATTCAATTATCAAATGTACTCCCAAGTGACCTTCACGTAGTTAAACAATTTAAAAACTAATTTAGATTGAACAAACGGGACTTGAACCGGCATTCACAGCGTACCGTGCTGCTGTAACCAATCGAGTCATCAAGTATTTTTTTTATTATTAGTAAATACTTTGCAAGTGGGTCATTCCACTTAAAATTAAAGAAGTAGATTAAAAACGAAAATAAATTTTTAAAAATTAAACTTGGGCAGTACTCGAACCGGCATACTGTTGCTAACCAATTGAGTTACCGCTTCGCATACCTCATTGTCAATTTTTTTCAACTTATTGATACGCGCACCTATAGCGTAAGAAGTGCAATCGTTCAAGTTCAGCTCGAGTCGAAAAAAATTTATCTACATAGTGCCATTATGTGCAAAACATGTAAAAAATATTAAAGTTTCCAAACATTACAGGAGTAGTTAATCGTTTAGATGCTTGGCTTAAAAGTTATTGTCTTATTACAAAATAAAAATAAAAAAAAAAATAAGATAAAAACATCGTGCAAGTCCATCGTGGGTCGAACATTAAGGTCGTAATGTCTAAAAGCTAGAAGGGTCTCGACGGTGATGTCATCTTACTCAATCAATAGTGAGGCGACCTAGTGTCGACCAAGACATTTAAACTAAGGAATGTAGAATAAGCGCAAATAAAATATAATTGAATACGCAATTTAAATATATTTAGTCTAAATATTATAAAATATAATTACAAGACATACATATGTATATTTACTATGTCAATTAATATTTTATTGTTGTTTCTATAACTATAAAATTAAAAAAAAACACTTTTATCGGTTTAAAACGCGAAATGTATTATTAGTTGAACTTATTTACAATTTAATTTATTTTAACCAATAAGTTAAACTAATACATTTCGCGTTTTAAATGGTTTAAAAGTGTTCGATTAAATGCTTACTACTCACGTAAACTACAGACTTAACTATAATATTTTTATAATAATATATCTTGTGCTCAACTACACATAATTAATGATCAAAATAAGATTGTTACAATGTAATAACAGAAATTATAGATAGAGAATTAGTAGGTACCTACTTGCAAAACAAGCGCACACAAGAAACCTTAATATAATAATTATTAAGTGTGATTTCATCGTTATCTTCGATGACCATCACGGTTTACAATGACAATACACGAAGGTAGTACATTTATAAATAGTGTAAAACTACCGCCCATAAATAAATAAAGCATAAACACAAGATGATATTTCATAGTCACGCATCAGGAATCAAGGTATCGTTACCATGTGTTCTGTACAAGTACTAAATTGTTAACGACAAATTTATGAAATACAAAGCAAAGTATACTTGGGATTTTGATTCTTTATTGATCCTAGTTCTAACAGAAGCCGCAGTCCACGCCCGATATTGGCCTTGCGCCCAAATAACACTAGATTTATTTTTACCGGCAATTTATATGCAAACATAATATATAAGCTACATACTTGTAATTCCGTCAACAACGCTAACAACTTAAACATACCATCTCTGTATAACATAGGTGAAGTTAAGCTTGTCAGTGTGTATATGTTTAGTACTTTATTAAATATATAGTTTAACATTTACTCACCTAAAACATTAGCCATCCTGTAATTAACTTCACAAACTAGTAACCGAAACGTTAGTGCACAGAGACCGGAGTTCTTGTACTGAGTCGCCAAACCTCTTCGTTGCGAACGATGTAACAGGATGATGTCATACCGGCCTTAAACCGGCGGCTATAAAAATATAGTCTGTTGGAATAGAGTTCAAATTAGACTCCTATATCGTAGGACATACGATCGCTGCCGACAATAGTGAGAAAAAGCATAGAATGCGAATGATTTCACGAAATCTGTCTAAAGTGGAATGTTCTTTGCGCTGAATATTAATTAATGATCTAAACATCGCTTGCACTAATGAGAGGTGTGGACTCAGTCGTGTTTGAATTGATGTCCTATACTTGTACGTATATATGTAATAAAAGTGTACGTACAGAGTAGAGACTCGTCGTTTTTTAATTGTTGTAGTAATACTTGATATCTATATCTATACTAATATTATAAAGAGGAAAGATTTGTTTTTTTCTATTTTTATATGTAACGGATAAACTCAAAAAGTACTAGACTGATTTTAATAATTCTTTTTTCATTAGAAAGCTACATTATCACAGAGTAACATAGGCTATATTTAGTACTTGATTACTATAGACATCTATGGAAATTCTTACGGAAGGCGTAATAGCCGTAAAATGTCTTTCTTCGCATGCGCTGCGACAAGTATTAATGATAGGACAAAAAAATGTTCGACAATATTATTAATTATAGAATATATCATATCAAATATATATATATTATATTATTAATTATATAAAACATCGCGAGAGCGTATTATGTCAAACTATTGTAGTTACGTCGCTATAACTACTTTTTTATATTTAAGAAAATGATAGAAATATCGATCAAAATCAAACCGTGTTATCCATACCATTTATAATTTTTTATCCAAATAAATAATTTAACATTCAAGACTGTCTCAACACACACACTCAAACACTAACATTGAACGCTCGCAGCGGCTCCTGAACCAGCGAGATAGACCACGGTCGTTAACAGAGAGGACGCGCAATACATTTTTTTCTAATTCAGCGATTAATAGTCGTTTTAATTAGCATGCTTATAATTTTAATATCTGTACTTATTTATGTCTACCCGTGCGAAGCCGCGACAGGGCCGCTAGTATTAAATAAGGTAGCATTATTTGCTTTATTATGTATATAAATTGTTTTGGACCTGACGCCTAATTTTGCAAAGAAATAATAACAATTGTATTTGTAATGAAAGCTATGCATGAAAATTTTATATAATGTACCTAGATGCGTAAATCATGCGTGTTTTTCGGAAAAACTGTGTGTCGATAAAAAATAACTGCTAGTTTGTATAATAAAAATTATTGGTTCTAGGACACGCCGTTTTTCTCACCATGAGAACATCTCATAATATAAGTAGTAATAATTCAAACAAGCATAGTATTGTGTCATATGTAATAATACATTTTGGTCACCCGATTCATGTGAGTCAGAACAGAGTGCTGATTCAAACGTAACCAACTTAGTTTTTTTGATTAATCAGGTCAAAGGTCAGATAACACCAATTTATGTAATAAGTACAGGTTGTAATGTAAATTACATTGTAAGCTAGCAATTAAACAGATTAATCATAAATGGTATTTAAATACTGTCTATAGTTTACGCGAGTAGTACACATTTAAATAAAACACTTTAACGGTTTAAAACGCAATATATTAGTTAAACTTATTTGAACGTCGGGCCGAAGTTGAAAATCATTTTCAAATAAGTTTAACTAATATATCGCGTTTTAAACCGTTAAAGTGTTTTATTTAAATGGTATTTTTTAATTTAATTGTATGTTCTTTCTGAAGGTGTGTGTGTTTTTTTGTTGTACGTTCTTCGTTCTATTTTTAGCAACAACAAAACTTTATATTATCCATTTATTGTTATTATTGTTACAGTGTTTTAACTAATTAAAAATGGCTCCTTACACTTCATTGGTTCCAATTATTAACAAGGTAACTATTATGTGATAACTAAATTTTAGCCGTGATAAAGAAATAATAAAAAAATGTGTTCAGTAAAGTAAAAAAATCTTTATCATAGTTTATAACACCCGATCAAAGTAGATGACTAAACCTACGAATACGTCATAAAAGCAACCTACTTTTAATATATACGGGTCGTGGGTCGTAAGGTCGATTTCTATCTCTATATCAATAAGCCTAACCTTGTTATTGTTCTGTTTTCGTATGTAATAATGTCATTGTATATATATGTACTTAATTTAATGAAATAATAATAAATGTAAGAATGTTTTTTTTATAAATACCGAGTAAAAGTTGTAAACTAATCATATTTCTAATTAACATAATAGTAGCTTACTGTTAGCCTTAATTACAAAAGCGACTATCTCATCTTTGTCTAATATTATTGTAGCTAAAAATAGCTTATCTGATAAAATCAGAATAAAAAATTAGCTATAACTTTCTTGTGTTTCAGCGGCATCCAATGCCAGTCGAGTAAACTATAATGAATTCCGTTTTGCATTTTGTGTTTAGCGCCATCTACACTTTGCTTAATGAACTATTAAATACCTTCACATGCATAATTTAAAGATGGCAGAACGTAACATCGGACACACCATATGAGTGAAAACGCAAAAAATATTTTGATGTTTATAAAAAGGCCAAATTATTATTATTCTTAATTGTAATTGACTAATCATTTGTTTTAATAATCGATTTACTCATTAATACTAGTAATCGATATTGTCATTAATAATATAAAAGGTTATTATCAAACTAATAATACTTATAAATACTTGTTTTTAAGCTTTACCAATTAAGAAGGGTATTTTATTTGCAAATGGTGCGTCGCCATTGTCACTACAAAAACGACTAACTAAAAAAAGTTAAAACATAATTTTGTATTGCCCTAGGGTATCTATTTATAGCTAGATATGTCCTAAGCAAGCTTTAGTACAAAAGAATATTCTTTTTATACATTACGATTTCTGTCATATTTTCCTTTGGTGGTGACTTCACGAAACTTGTATATACTTAAGATTTACCTACCTGGAAAAAAAATAATGTAATCCTCAGCATTCACGTTGGTATCCTATCTACTCGAAGACAAACACTCGTTCTATACACGTTGTTCATTGAACCGTGACGTAAAAATTTCAGATTAATTTTATAAAAAAAACCATCTCGCCATCTGCTACCCCAAACCAAGGGAGGCTAGCAGCTGGTGGGGCACGCGCAGTTGACAATGGCCGCGATCAACGAACTCACGGCCCACGACCCCCTAAGCTTTCGTACCTACGTACACTATGAGATTCATTGAATGCAGATAAAGGGACGATTCCGTTTAAAATTATCGACCAGCTGATCTATAGAATAGGAAGCTGTAAAAAATGTTACAATTTGAGAAGTTACCTTATTTATTAATGCATATTGCGACGACAGTTTATTCTTGTCTTAAGATTTCATTGTCATAAGAATAGTTTGTACATACGTGCATTAATCTATAGTAATATTATGAAGCTGAAGAGTTTGTTTGTTTGATCGCCCTAATCTCAGAACCACGAGTTCGAATTGAAAAATTATTTTTGTGTTGTTTAGAACATTCATCGAGGAAGGCTTATAAAATTAGTAAAAGTAAAAAGGGGAAATTTTTATCTTTGCTTTCATTTGCGTACGCTGCGAAAATGGTTCTAGATAACTAAAAAATGTGTATGAAAGAATTATTCCTCTTTAAATTAGAGGATCAGTGAGGCTACCAGTAAGTTTATAAAGAGACGGGGTTTGCAAAACCTAATTTGGATGCCCAAAATTCTCGCGCACGACGTCGCTGGCACAACTAGTATAATATATATAATATGACAGATACGAGTGAAAAAAAGATAGATAGATAAGAGGGAAATGTGGAAACGGGAACATTTAAACATCTTTGAGGGCTTTCGTGCCTATCGATTCCACACAGCCACAGAAATGTCTGTTCCATTATCCGCGTTGAAAAGTCTGATTGAGGTCTAGTAATTTGAAGTGAAGATACTGATTATTTTGGACAATAAAAGAAGACGAGTGACTGTGTTTTGATAGAAGATTAATGACTGACGACTAATAGATGAGTCCTAACTTTTGAAAACATTAATATTTTTCACATGTTATTGCACATGAAGGCACTTTATTTAAAACGAAAATAAATTGAAAAAATTTTGTCGGGCAGGCGAAAATTTTTTCAATTTATTTTGATTTTTAAATTATATAGTGCCTTCATGGGCAATAAAATGTGAAAAATATTAATGTTTTCACTATCTTTTAATTTCATCTTCAATGTTTCTTAAGTGCAAACATAAGACATTGAGCTTAATACGCAAGTGTTAAGGTAGAAATTACATTGCGCGAGAGGTGCATGTATCAATAAGTTGAAAAAATTCGACAGAGGTGTAGGACTCGGTAGCTCAATTGGTAGAGCAACACGGAAAGTCCTGCCTGAGTCCTAACTGCTGAATTCTGTGTCCGTTATACTGATAAGTAATTTTACTGATAAGATAGAGGACTACTTGCTCTGTAAAATACCGGCAAGTAGTCCTACCCGACACAAAACAGTCTATTGTGGCTTCACTAGCTAGGCAACACGTTAGTGCGACGTGTCCAAATTCCCACGAGAAATCAATGCCGAGATTAAAAGAAGTTGCTAACATTCGTGAGCGCCAATGAATGACAATATGTCTGTAAAACACAGTTTAGTAAAGAATCATCATTGCAAACGGTGAAGGAAGTTGGTTGTCGGCATAGAACAATAGGTTTCCCACACGTGGGACCTTCCTGTGATATTCGAAACTGTATCGCTGTGTCCTGATCACCGTTTATAATATTACATATTTCCTGGAAGTGCGATGTGTGGAGGTTAGCGATGTTTGAAACTAATAAAGTTGAAGAGTTTGTTTATTTGTGTCTCTATGTTATCTCAGGAACTACTGGTTCGAATTGAACATTTTTTTGAAATGAAAAATGAAAAACCATTTATCGAGGAAGGCTTTAGGCCATAAAGCACCAGCGACCAACAGGCGAGCAGAAATAGGAGGAAATGTGGAAAATTATTGCGTTCAGGCGCTGCGAAAACGGTGCAAGATACCCAAAAATGTATATGAAAGAAAATATTCTTTGAAAACTTTAATATTTTTTGCATATTATTGCACATGAAGGCACTATATAATTTAAAAATCGAAAATAAAATGAAAAAATCTTCTTTAAATGATTTAAAAAAAATGTCACGTGGAGTCTGGCGTCTCCAAAACATTGGGTCGTAGTTAAAATAAATAAAAACTAATTTAACTAATAAATTTTGGAATTCCGTTGTTCCCTTTGGGGTATGGGGTGTGGGCGAACACCTGATCGCGAGTTTGAACGATTTTATTTACAGGCAAGTCTTATTATCTGTCGGCCCGATTGTTACATTATTATTCCGGAATCCGAACCCAGGACATCTCATCGCATTGCTAGACGACGCGTCCAACATGAATTGCGAATGGTCCAGTCTATCTAGAAAGATAAGAATTTGAATTGAAAACATTGTATACCTATTCAGTTACTTTTTTGATAAAATAATATCTTTATACAATGGTAAATCTGGTATGTTTGTTTCCAAAAGACATTAAGGGTTTAATATCTGTGGTATTTTATCACGAATTTATTGTCCTTACTTTATATTTGTAAGTATTATTCGACGGACAATCGTGGGTTTTACTTCATGGAAGGTGACTTCAGACATATAACTTTTAATAATATATTTTTTTATGTTACACTTACTGCATACTGTTAATATGTTTGATGAATTCAAAGACAAATTCTTTAAATTAAAAATTAATACATAATTAATAAAAATACCTTAAGTTGGTGATAATGAATTACTATTATACACAATGTCTGTAGTTTAAGTAGTACACATTTAAATAAAACACTTTAACGGTTTAAAACGCAATATATGTTAGTTAAACTTATTTTTAACTAACTAATTCTACATTAATTTTTATTATACCTAGAAATAAACAAAGAAAATTTGATATAAACATACTTATATGTCTTTAACTAGTTTGTATTCTCATGCATTTTCATTTTCTTAGCTTTTATCTCTTAATTTTTTTTTAATGTTTAAAGTTACATTTGTATTCCGGCCTAGTAACAAAATGCCAATAAGAAGTGCTATTTTAAAGTTATGTAGTAGATATGCTAATACTGTACACGTTAGGCTATAATAAGTAAACGGTGTTAAAGCGAAGGAACTGATAAAACCGTAGTTCTCACAAAAACAGTAAGCACAGGATGTTTACCTGTACTTTCGTAAATATTGTTGTAAAATTACACATTTTGTAAATCTTTAATGCTTACCGTCATTGTTTTGATTGTAATTAGGTGTAATAATTACGTTTAGTTAGATGTGTAGAATAATACATATTAAATAAACTTCACTATATTCATTTTGTTATAAGATTTAAATACATTTCAAGCGAATTTATGAATAAGTGTTTGAAGTCTCATTTCTATATTATATGTTAACCTAAGTTAGCTCCAAGGTTTGAAAGTTAGTAATTAGGCACCAACTTATCTATACTACAATAAAACGAAAGAACCCCCTGCTTGTCTGTGCTCTTCTATCAATAAAAAAAGACTTAGGTATATACAGATCTATTGAGGCCAAATAAAAAAGAGGAATATAAAAATGGTCAATTAACTTAGGCGAAAATGAATTTGTCCTATTATTTGTGTAAGAACTATGTTACCAACTTTCGGTCACTGATCTCTTGTACATTAACATTTTTGGACTATAAAAATAAAGATCATGTTAAAAGTAAAGATAATATTAGATAATGCTAAAGTCTAAATTGCAGTTAGGCTACTCTGGCTCTCTAGGAGCCTATATTATTATGTAAAGGCAGTTAAAGTGCATAATAAGACAGACGCGAGATAACGAGGCATATCATCTTCAGGCGTCGGAGGGTAGTGCAAGCACTAGGCAGTAGGGCACAACGCATCTGGCCCCGGTTCACGTTGGCGACGCATCTGGTGACGGCGGGGGAAAGGGGAGGGGTTAAAATTAGTAGCCGAGCGCCACGTGCGCTTCCAAGTCGGAGAGAACACCAGTCCGCGCGCAGCTATCACACACGTCGCACGTCTACCTGGACGTAATAAATTCTCCCCCAACTTCCGCACGCGCGGAGTGACAGTGTCTCGCAGAGTGTAAGGGTGGTCGTCGCGACGGAGGCTGTGCAAGGAATGTTGATGGCGGGCGCTCTGCCGGCCGAGTCCGAAGGGCTTCTGGCCCTCGGCACCCTGCCCGGACAGAAGGACACCACCTGGACGAAACTCTTCGTCGGCGGACTTCCCTACCACACCACAGATAAGAGTCTGCGGGAACACTTCGCGGTCTACGGCGACATAGAGGAGGCGGTCGTCATCACGGACAGACAGACCAGCAAAAGCAGAGGATACGGTTTCGTAAGTAGATTCATCTATAATGCAATATTTTAGTCGTGTATTATATTCATAATAATAAACAGCGTGTACGTAGAAACATTGCTTTCAGCTGAAACGACACGTAAACTTTACGTTGCCCTTGCGCATTCGTGTTACGGCTTGAATTGTATTATTATCGTACACTTATCGCACCTGCTATTTACCTACCTACATAATTCATGGTTTAATGCGAAAATACTTCGCGTGCTGAAGCCGTTGACGAATGCTCCTGAAGGCAATTGTCAATATAAGTTTACTTTGACTGTTTACTGTTAGTCTTGGTCACATTTTGTTGAGGCCTTCCCCCGCGATCGTGGACGCCGCGTCTTTCAGACTATTGTGTGGCTGAACAATAGACGCCTGAACACAAATAAGTATAATTTCACAGGACATAAAGTAGTAGGACGTCGCGTAATCCGTCACTATTCGCGTATATTTGTTAATTGTCGCGCGAACAATGCTGCGGAGGTGTTGGAAAGAGATTTTTTTGTAAATCCAAATTAGTAAAACATGATTTAATCTAAATTTTTGTAAAGCTCGTTGGTCTTATGGCAGCGACGTATGGCTAATAATCAACGGGCGGTGGCTTAGATCCCCACCGGGGCCATGTTTCAAATTTTTTAGTTTATAATTTTTCTGACACATGCTTCGCGTTTCGGTTGCAGTCTGTGAATTTCCGAATATCCAAAGCCAACAGTCATCTTGTTTAGATGTTATAGGCATATCGCCTACGATCAAGTGACACCATGGTCGTTTATCATCTTCTATCATAAAAACTAAGTCTAAGCTAGAGCAAAGACGAAATTCGCTCTAGAGCATCTTTACTGTTTAAGTCCGCAGCGTTTTGGAAGTACGAGGGCTCGTGGGAAATGAATCACAACCCCATTTTCAATTGAACTGGGGTAGAGCACCCTGTTGTAGGGTTTGCTGCACCCTCTGTAACATCCAAATAGCTTTAATAATCGCAATGCGTCAGTACGACACTCATAATACACCAATGTACTGAATGCAGTCTCACAGAAATATTCATTCATATTGATCCGCGGACTGAAATAACCACTGACTACAATTCTTTATACATTCTAAATCATGTTTACAAATAAGCACTGAAAACATTGATAAGTAATGTAAAAAAGTCATTTGTTTTTATTTTCTTTGATTAATACAATTATAATTTACGAATTTTCAAAAAGATTACACACTGTTTTGTACTGTATTTCAACCTAATTTAATAGAAGTAATAGCGTATTTTGTATATCTTACTTTGAATTTCACACACAAAAACTTTTACCACAAAAAAAAAAAAAAATTCTACTAATTATAGGTAAGGTACTGATTTTGGCGTAGGTAAGTGGTTGTTTGGTCGACGCCCATGCTTCTGTTTGACTGTGAAATCAAAAATCATTACACTTTTGTTTTCGCCGTTTTCAGATAACAAATATCTACAGTATTAATAATGCCTATCAAATTATTTTAAACAAAACACTCTTAGTAATGTCAGAGAGTCTTAGTAACGGTTTGAAATGTGTAAACTTATTTTAACAAACCCCTCTATGTTTCGGATACTATGTAGCAGCCACGGTCACGGGGCAATAAGGCAGGGTGACATTTATGTCGAAGTGTTTTTAAGGAGAATGAGCGTATATTTCGCATTTTAAACCGTTAATTGTTTCATTTTATTCCTTGTACTAGTCCAGTATAACAAGTTTTACATAACCCAGGTACGTAAAACAGGAGTATCGGGTGAAACGCAAGAACGTGATGAAGTACACGCGAAAAACAAAAGAACGTCATTTGATAGGCACAGTGCGGGCGAGGGCGCTTTTTGCAAGAATCTAAGTTACGTTTTGTTCCCTCCGTGATGATTAGACCACACAGCCATTAGAATCGTGTCGATTTAGTAATTGATTTTAATCATTAAGTCATTCAAATCTATATATAAGACTAATTAGCAGATGAAAGAAGTGTTTGAACAGTTTTAAAAGTTAGAATAAATTTATTACACAATGGCTGACATGACACAATTAAATATTGTCTGTAGTTTACGCGAGTAGTACACATTTAAATAAAACACCTTAACGGTTTGAAACGCGGTTTAAAAATATTTTCGACGTCAGGGCGAAGTTAAAAATAATTTTCAAAAAAGTTTAACAAATATAGCGCGTTTTAAACCGTTAAAGTGTTATATTTAAATGTGTACTACTCGCGTAAACTATAGACAGTATCTTTAATCTTTCTTATATATAGGTACTTCGCCAATATGAGTGCTGTAGATGTTTAGAACTAATTAATTTCTTAAAATACCTTCGTTGGGAACCAATAAATTTGTTATTGTTTTCCCAAAAGACAGAAAGAATATCTAACTTAATTAATCGGTTATATTTCATTGTTTTAAAGTAACATCGTTACGTAACGAACCTTAATAACATTCCGTTTTAGTTAATCTACCTGACAGCTAATAGAGGTTAAAACATTTCTTTGAAGCCGTATAACTGTCGGGTTTATCGATGCGCGAAAACTCTCAAAGTGCTAATTCGATTATTTTTATTGCATTAATTCTAATAATATGCAACTTAAATGTTATTGACAAGATCGCTGGTCCAGTGGTAATATTGTACGGCTAACTAAAGGTCCTTAGGTTCGATTTCTGCTTGGTGGTTCAAAGTTTTAAATTGTTTTATGATTGTTCTCAACCTGTCCAAGGAAATCTCGAAATGAGTAAAATACACATAGATAACTCCGGTGTGTATTTGTGAGTTTGTCAAAGTAAAAATAGGCCGACAGAGCATCTTAATTAGACGTTTTAAAATGTATTTCACCTCCCATCTAGTGAAATCCGTTCTTGTTTTTCCTCCTGTCAAAAAAAAAACGTAAATTTTCGTTGTGAAGTAACGGGGCGTGGTAAGATTCTGTGCAAATCAAAATGATTGGGCGGCATCATTCTGTACCCCGCCTAGCTTACTCTGGTTTGTATTTAATCTTATGAAGTTTTGCAGATAATTACGAGTAGAAGTCGATTAAAATCACTTACATTATTAGGTAATAAACTTAAAAGATACACATAATATAATACGACAAAATATTATATTGGCAATGTTCACAAAATGAAAAATATGCAATCTCTGGCAAAAGTTTTGAAGATTTGGTTCTCAATTTTTTTATATTATTAATAGGTCTGAATACCTAAATCCTCGAATTTCATACGTAATGCTATATACTCCAAAATTCTGTTAATTTTTATTCATTCTTAAACCTTTCGAACACACCACATTTGTTTTCCGTTCAAAATGAAATTCAGGTCAAAACAGTTAACATTTTCTATCAGCGTAAGTAAAATTATGCAGAATTTTATCAACGCGCTGCCTAATGCAGGAAAAAGGAAAAGAGTTCGATGTGTTGTTTACTTTTTTACAGTTAACGATAAAAAAACTAAATTATCTAATATTACTATTGGCCCATATCCTATGTATCAATAGTTGAGTGGTACGCATTAAAACTTCTAATTGTTTAAAACGTGAAATAAATTAGTCATATTATTTTTACTTTGACTATTATAATTCGGGTTCAAACCGTTTTAAATGTTATATATAAATATTTATTATAAAAATATTTATAGTACAGTTCTTTAGATGAAATAGTGGCTTCATAAATCCTTTAATATTTAATATTCACATAGCATTATATAAATAAAAAAAACTACATTATATAGATTTAAAAAAAAGACGACACGGGCGGGACTTGAACTTGCATCACAGCGCTCTGTGCGTTGCTATAACCAATTGAGCTACCGTGTCATGCTGTCGTGATAGCTCAATTGGTTTATCATTTGCCGTGTGGTACTTTTTTTCAATCTCAATAGTCTTTTTATAAGAAATATTTACTGAAAAATGTTTAATTATTAAACTCCGCCATATTTGATTTCTATAGTCTGTGACAAGCCATTATTTTTTAATTTATTGCAACCGCAAAGAACTGGATATTATATAAGCGTGTGCTTCAATAAAGAGTTACTATTACCAACGTGAAAAACATTAGCCTCTCTTCTGCGTCGGGTAATAATGGTCTACAAACTATCGATACTCCGTAGTTATCGATAGTTCCACACGTTCGGCTTATCGCCCTCGCACCGTACCTAAAGCAAATTTAAACGCTTTTACGTTGTGTTAAATGTACGGCATCAAAGCAATGGCAATGTTGTATTTAATTAAAATTCGCCCGTGTTTCGTTTGATTTACATACAATGCCAATTAATTTTTCAGCGCCCTAGCAATACGTGTAGTGAAATGATTTTTATCGTTCCTTTAAACTTATCTAAGTATGTCACTTGCACCTTTATCAATAACTTTGTATCGTTAATTTTCAACAACGGAATGACCTAGCGAAAAGTCCAATTCACATATAGTGAATAAGCGTAAAAAAATTAGAGTTCAAACACCTATAAGGGTCAAACACATCTACGAATATTAAATACCGAGTTAAACTAAACACATTTAACAGTTTAAAATGCGAACTATAATAAATGACTTATTTAATATTTATTTTATTAACGGCCCGACATTTGGAAACTTTGCAAAGGTCGTGGGAGAACTAAAGATGAAGGCGGATGGAAATCTGCTACGCTAGCGCCATCTGTTTTAAACTGTTAGTGTTTTATTTAAATGAGTACTACTCACGTAAACATACACTATTCTAGAATATTTTTTTAAATCAGTTTTAAATGTTTATTTCCGTGATGTTTTATGACAGGGGAGGATTTATTCCTACCACCTGTTAACTTGTTTTTGTTAACTTATTGTTTGGTAATTCCTAAAGCATTTCATCGGTTTTATTTTATTTAAAATAGTCCTCTGAAGTCCTGAACCTTATTTCGTATCAGACCTTCGTTATCTCAAAGGGCATCGCACATATACAATGGTTAATAATAGGTATTTTAACCAAATTTTGGTGCCACCAGTGCTGTGTTCTCGTAATGTATGTAATTTGAGGGGCCAAACAATAGTGGTCGAAAACGCGACCCGCGGGTCGAGCATTCATTACAATAGGTAATGTGGACGTTGTCATTGCCTTTGGCACAAATCAATACAGAAGTGTGACAGAAATTGTGCCTTTTAATCTCGTAAACTACATCAGAGTACACAACATATTAATATGTGAATTTAGGTCAGTTGTAATTAAAAACCTACTGCGTTCTAAACAGTTAAAAAATATTTTAAAACCATGCAAAATGTTATAGTGTAGTTGACGCGCAATTTTTTGCCAGCTCTACCTGCTAAACTGCGTCTACACATTTACTATTTCAATAAAACATGTTTAACCGTTTCAAACGTGAAATGTATATTTTAACTACGCCTCTACGTTTCACATGCTAAGCAACCGCGGTCACGAGCAGTTAAAATAAATTAAAATTAATTTAACTAATATATGCCGCGTTTTAATCAGTTAGAAGTGTTTTATTTAAATGTATACTATTTTCGTAAACTACAGACAATACTTATGTCTTCTCCATATTTTTTTCTTAGTTACTAACACAATTAACTACGGAAAACCTAACCGCTTTTATTTTGTTCTGAATCTTTTATATTGAACACCTTACCTTAGTGCTAAGTATTTTATATCTTATATGTTTTATTTTTCAACAGGTAATAATGGGAGATAGAGCAGCTGCAGAGCGAGCCTGCAAGGATCCAAACCCCATCATAGATGGAAGGAAAGCCAACGTCAACCTTGCAATTCTTGGCGCGAAACCCAGAGGAAATTTAGCACCAGGTAGGAACAATATAGTACAGATATATTTAATGCAAGATTTCTCTGTACTTCCTCTTCTTCTTTATCATAATCGTATAAAGATTTAAAGAGTATTCTTTATGGGCTAGTTGATTCCAATGTCTAATCGACGAGTCGCAAGTTCGATTCCGATGGGGTCTAACTTGTTTATTTAATATATTTTTTGTTAGACTTAAATCTAAACAATGGTTAATGGACATATCGATATTCGGTCTAGGTAACGAACGACCTTAAGGGGTGATTTGTTTCGGTTTTAGTAAATTACTTAATGCTTAAAGCCAAAATAGGTCGACATTTTTGTTCATAGTTTTAAACTAAAGTATTTCAAGTAACCTCATGCTTCCCCGTGACCACGGCTGCTGCAAAGCATCCGAAACGTCGGGCCGAAGTTAAAAATCATTTTCAAATAAGTTTAACTAATATATCGCGTTTTAAACCGTTAAACTGTTTTATTTAAACCTCATGCTTGTCAGTTTTGCTTTGCCATAGCGAGAGCTGTAATAGAATTTTCGTTCTGATAAAGATATACTTAAAAACGTGTTAAAAAATCAACAGACATGCTGTCGACCTACAAAAAGGTCTATCTGATATAACTTCGCGGGTGTCATCTTTGTGGGGGTACGACTTGGGGCGTACGTCCTTTTCTTCTATCGATATTTCGATTTTAAATAAATATATAATCCGTGTAAGGGATTGTACATAACTTACAATTAAAATGAATAATAAAAACTCACTATAAGAAGAATATACATTTCTTTAATGGTTTTATTGTTTTAATAGTCAGTAAATTAAAAGCCGCGTGTTAGACATGAACTATTTTGAAAAGATAAAACTAGATTTAAGCTACATTTTCTATTGTTTTATTACGACAACATAACGCACCCAAACGTTAACCAATATAGAGCCGTGTTATTTTGCTTTACGTTGTTGTACGCAGATCTGAAGCACGTTTGTTTGAAATTTATAAATAGACAATTGGCGATTGTCTTATGTCTTCTGGCAACACGAAACAATTATCGCAGCCAGCATTGCTTGCAATTAAATAACTTTAAACTCATTAATAACCTCTCAAACGGTACGCGGGCGGCCAAGGTAATTATTAGAACTAGACGCCAACTACTTTGTGCTATCTGCCTAACATAGCTGCCTCGTTAGTGAAAAAAGGCGTTCAGTACCAAGTAGTCAAAGTTTTCGACTCCGGTTGTATAGGGTAACTATGTACATATTTTTTGTTTATATTAAACTGTTCGTAGCTCACACAAGGGACGCTTGAAAAGATAAATCATCTTCTCCGTTTGCTCCACATCTCCCACTGTTTTTTTGCCCCTATTGGTCGCAGCATTTTATAAGCTAAAGCCTTCCCAGATAAATGGACCAGCACAACACTTTTCACTTTCACATGTAGTTCTGTATATTGAGATAATAAAAACAAAGAAATAGTTTTATAATATTAGTATATATTACTCTCTACGACTAACTAGTGAACATGAGTAAGCCTAAAAAAATATGGGCAAATTTGACCCCTTCGTTTCACAAAGGTATTATTTACTACTTTAAATATATTATTAATGTCGAAATATCTACTGTGCTACATTTGATGGTGGTACGTACCACAAATGGTTAAATATTCCCACCACCCTTGTAATCTCTAGTTGCACCAGGTTCGGAGTCGAACATTATCTGGTATAACCCACCATAGCTATCAATGATAAAAGAAAACATTTTTCCTATAATAAAATTTATCAGCTGCTACCTATAAATAAGCAGTTTTATTTTTCAGTTACGCTTACGCAAGATAACATACAATTGTTTAATAACATTTATCTGTGTTTTCTTAGAATTATTAACTAATGGTTTTTCATTAGCTCCAACCGTATAAAAACGTTATCAAAGATAAATTAATAAAAGCGAAATAGTGATAAAACGGTGCGTATCAGACGATAATTTTCTATCAGTTGCCTGTTTAATAGTTTGCTATCTCAATTCGTTAGATATGGGGAATAATGCCATAATCAAAATGATTAGTGATCTTGCAATGTTTCCCTCTAAACTAAAAACTACTGGCGTCTTATGGCTAACTAGCTGTGCCAGCGACCTCGCACGCGAAGAATATTTCATCCTCTTCAATATATTCAAACCTCTTCTGTATAAACTTAAGCCACGTCAGCCACGACGTCGGTCGCGTCCGGTCGTTCTTGCAAGTGACTCGTAAAAGAAAGACATAAGAAGTTCATGAGATTAGCATTCAAACAAACAAACTTGTGGTGGCTTAAGAAGACATTATAATATGTCTGTTTACGTCTAAAGATACAACGCAAAATAGACATTTGTATTTCCCCATCCTCCCATTCTGGTTGTTAATTTAAACAGTGTATCCTTGTCTTTAGAACCGTTTACATGTTATGACGTCACGGTATGTGAAGAACGGAACTGCCCGCCCCTCCGGAAGTCCCTAAACGCTAGAGCAGGAAGCTTGTAGGCTCGCTAATTGATTGGGTCTCGCACGCAACCCTTGCAAGCCTTACTTGTGGTAAATCTGCTGACGTAACAATTTATTAACCAACTGTTGAAGCCTACACGTTCTGCTTGTGGATGGATATACAAGTATATCCTTGTATATAGAAATACAACAATGTTCTTTTACTATGTGTATAAATGTCAAATCTATGTGTCTGTCGCGGATATTTCTTTCGATTATTTAAAGGAGAACCTTTCTTTCATAGATATGCTTTGTATATCTATGAAAGAAAGGTTTTCCCCCTTTTCTTCCAAATTTACCACTGTGTCCTCCCTTCTATTGGTGGCAGCGTTATGTTTTATAAGCTTCCTGCTTAAACTGTCCAACCAGCACAAAAATTAAATTCAAACAAACAAACTCTTCAACTTTATAATTTTAGTATCAAAAAGTCAACGAAAATATTTTTTTTATTAAGAAAAGATAATTGCTTAGATATTTATTGGAATCCTTTAACGGTTTAAAAACAAAAGTCAAAGTCCTAACTTCTACGACCGAAGTAACAGAAGGTGACATAAAAGAATTAAAGATGGAACAAATAGTAAGATTCTGCAAGCAAACCGGAAGGTTTGAAGGGGACACGGTGAGAGTTGGATAATCCAAAAACGCCTACTAGGAGCAAATGGGTGAAATGGTCAGCTGATGGTGTGGGCTGATCACCTGGCCTACTATGGGTGTCCCCTATAGAAAATAATATCTTACTACGACCCGACATTTCGACAACAGACGATACTTAAAGGTATTAAGGTAATCTTAATCATTTACAAAAGTAAATGATTAAGATTACCTTATCAGTGAAAGTCGGAAAAGCAAACTTGTATTTCTGTTTATAACGGCCAGAACATAAGTAAGAATATATTTTTATAAATATTCGCCACTCAGCGATATCGTGTTATGGTGTGTTTGGTCTAAACAAAATCCGTCATGTTATTTAAAAATCGAAAGAAATGGCCTTGAACGGAAAAACATAGATAACATCGTTTGAAATGTAAAACGTACGTACATAATCATCGCAACCTTTTGAAGGATGACGTGGGCAATAAAACCACCACGACTAGGTAATAGTGGTGTACAAGGACTTGATAACAGCAGTTGGTGTCACGATAATATGTAATTTTATGCATCTACGGTAATTTCGTTTATATAGGTAACTATAAAAACGATACACAGTTGGTAGTCATCTATACTTATATATAAAGCTGAAGAGTTTGTTTGCACGCGCTAATCTCAGTAACTGCTGGTGGGAATTAAATAATTATTTTTGTATTGATTAGAGCATTTATCGAGGAGGGCTTATAGGCTATAAAACATCGCACTGCGACTATTAGGAGTGCGGAAATAGCGCAAAATGTGGAGAAAACGGGTAAAATTATTGCATATAATATGGACGCTCAAATTAACTATTGTGTGCGGACGAAGTCGCTGACACAGTCTACACGTATATCGACATGATAAACATATATTTAGTATATATAATGCCACGGGTAGTACTTAAACCTGTGACCCAAGCATTCAGAAATTATGATTCGACCCATATGACCCCAAATGTCTTGGAATTTATCAAAAATGTTTCAAGAAAGTATTGGTAACGAATAACGTTTCCTTGCAGGAATAATAAACACTAATCTTATATGATTTACCAGTGATTTTGCGAATTACTTTAATTTTAAAGAAAATACTTATAACGGTTTAAAACGGGAACTAGAAAAGAATGTATTGTAACCGCGACCCAACGTTTTAAACATAATACATTTTTTTCTTACTTTGGGACGTTGGACCACATAAAACGGTAGATTTCAAAAGTTCAGCTGTCACCATTGATATTTGCTGTTATTGAGAGTGAGTTCATTATACAGAGTATCATATATGAATGACAAATAAAACAATTTAACGGTTTAAAACGCGATATATTAGTTAAACTTATTTGAAAATGAATTTTAACTTCGGCCCGACGTTTCGGATGCTTTGCAGCAGCCGTGGTCTCTTTTAAACCGTTAAAGTGTTTTATTTAAATGTGTACTACTCAAAAAGTCGTGTAGTTTTTTTTTAAGTATATGATGTTGTATTAGCCATTACTAGTCATGGAAGATACGTACTTACTTAACTACTTTCCTTTTATTCTTCTCATTAGCATTTTAATAAGTTTTATAAATTTGGGTTAAAACCTATCAATTATTATCACGTTTTAAATACTTTTTCGTATCACTACTACAAATAGCGATAGAGAAAGTGGGTACATAGTTACAAATTAATAGTAAAATATTTTTATTGATGAAGGAATGGAATCGTTTGTAAAGCTTTTATTAAAAGTTACACTGTGTATAATACAGAATGTTAGAATAGAAAAACCGTAAAAAAAATTGTGATTTCTTTGTCTGTATGTACAAACAACCTTCTAAATTATGGTTCACTGCATGGTTTTCTTTAGTTTTATTCACAGCTTGACACAGCTTTTTTTTTGTAAAAA